GTTTTGGATATAATTTGGTCAATTTTTTTATTATAAGATATAGTTTTTTTTTACATTTATTAACTAATATACGTTTTGATTTTTATAATATAGAAATTTATAAAAGTTACGTATAAAAAAATTAAAATTATTAATATATTAATTAAAAATCTTATTTATTATATTTAATATATTAAAAGATTTACCTTATTTTTATTTAAAGATTTTTTAAATTTATATTTAATAATATAAAATATTATATAATAAAAAATTAATATATAATTATTAAATATTAAGAAAAATTTTAAGATATAAAAATCTAATAGTTTTAAAAAGTATTTTTTTATATTAATTAAATGTTTTAATTTAAATTATAATAAAAATATTGCTATATTTAAAGAATATACTATTATATTTAATAAGAAAATTATAAAAATAAGAGTTTTGGAAAATATAGAAAATAGGGGTAAAGAAATATAAAGTTGAAATAAAATAAAGTAAACAATTTTTTTAATAAGATGTATTTATATTTTATTTTTAATAATTTTTATAAAATTTATTATATTTTAAATTTTATTAATAATATTTATTTAATATAATTTAATTAAAAGTTAATTTTATAGGTTTATTTAAATAACGATAAGATTTTAAATCTTAATTTTATAGTTATTAATATGGAATATATTTTTTTAATATTTTGCTTTTTTTATTTTTATTAAATATTATTATTTTAAATTATTTTTTTTTATTTTATTAATATTATTTTATTTAAAATATTTAAAATAATTTACGTAATTTATATAATAGATTTAATTATTAATATTAATAAGATATATATATATAATAGTTAAAATAAAATTATAAAAGTTTTAAAAAATTATATAAATTATAATATTTAACGTTAAAACTTTAATTATTTTTTTTTTTTTTATTTATATTTAATATTAATTATTATTATTTATTTATAAATTATATATTTTATTAATACTTTTTATATATTAATAATATAAATAATTTTAAAATTATTATAGCGTTTAAAGCAATAGTTAATACTTTTATTTTAATTTTAATTAATATTATTCTTATTTTTTTACCTATTATTTTTACTTTATTTATTATAATTTTTAATAATTTTACTAAAATTAGAATTTAATTAATAGTTTAGGCCTTTTTTAAAAACTAATTTAAATCGGTTAAAAATATTATTAAATATTTTAATGTATTATATAAGTATATTTTAAACCGATATAATAGATTTTACCTTTATAATAAAAATAATAGTAATAATATTATTTTTACTAGTTTTTAAAAAATAGTTTTTTATATATAATTTTATTAATTAATTAAAATTAGTTATTATATTAACGTAAATATTATTTAATATATTATTAATTAAATTATTTTATTTAATTATAATATATATTTTTATCTTAAGTATATTCAATAATAATAAATAGCTTGATTTTTAAAATAAAATTATTATATTTTTAAATAAATTTAAAATTAATTAATATTAATTGTTTATAAATTAATTTATAACATTATTACTATTATTTACTAATTTAATAAATTATATTGGATATAATAAAATCATTATATTAAATTTTAATATATATATAATATAAATAAAATTAATATAAAAATTGATTATTTAAATAAAATATAATTATAAATCTAAAATAATTTTTTAAAATTTTATTTAATTAATCTCAATTTTAAGATATTTATTATAATAATTGAGATTTATTTTATTATAAAAGTAATAATAACCTTATTTTTGGTTTTATTTAATTATTAAATATTAAAAAATTAAATATTTAATAAATTAATTAATAATATAATATTAATTATTAGTAAAAATGGTTGGATTAATAATATAATTAATTTAAATTAGTTTAAATATTTTAACTAATATATAACGCCGGAAAATCCTAATAAAAAATATTTTTTAATATTAAATAATTATAATAATTATTTAACGGTCCAATTTTATAAATAAATTATTAAATTAAAGATTATTATATTTTTTTTATTATTTTATTTTATGTATAAATTTTAATTATTTAATCTTAGATTTTTTAACATATTAAAATTAAAGTATTAGTAATAATTTATTTAAATTATTAAAATTAACGTATATAATTATATTAAAGTTAATTTTCTAATTGGATATTATTTTATCTATAATTGTACATTTATACGTAATAATATTAAAAATATCTAATGCAAATATAAAATATATTTTTATAAATTATAAATAATATTAAATTATTTTTAAAATTTATTATTATTAATTTTTATAATTACTTTATATTATAATAAATTTAATTATATAGTATTTATTTTTAATTAGAAAAATAAAGGCTTAATAATTTTATTTTTATATAAAAAAATTAATTAAGTAATTATATATATATTGATAATAAATTTATAAATTATTAATAAATTTTTTAAATTTATTTATTCTTATTTAAAAATCTTAAAAATTAATTAAATATTAATATTTCCTATTATAATATGCATTTATTAAAAGTTTAAAAAAATTATGTATATAATGGTTATAAACGGATTTACGATTACGAAAAAATTGTATAACTTATGTATAATAATTATTAAATAATAATAACGCTAGTTAAAAAAATATATTTTAGATTATATTAAATCATTTATGGTAAGAAACAGCCAATTCTGTTTTATTGTTAATAATATAAAACAACGCGGCTATTAACGCTAAATTATTAAAAAAAAAGAAAAAAGAATATAGTAATAGGAAGGTATTATATTATGTAAATAATTTGTTAATATTTAAATAATATTTAAAATATTTATAAATTTTAAAATATATAATTATTATAAACCTTTTTTAAATTATAATAATGTATTATAATTCCATTACCATTTCTAACGTAAGTTATAAAAAGATCTTCGCTTCCATAAAAATAACGTTATAAGGGTATATGTTATAAAATTTAATAGGTTTATTAAAAAATTAAAAATTAACCTAAATAAATTAAATTTAATAAATAGGGTAAAATTTAATAATTAATAAGAAAAATTTTTAAAAAATATCCCTATTTATTTATTATTTTATAAATTTAATCAATTTTTAATTAATAAAATTATTAAAAAATACTATTAAAAAATAATTATTTATACCTATTGGTATATTAAAATATTTTATTTTAAATAGTAAATAAATTTAGGAATTTTTAATTTTAATAAAATTAATTTAACTATATTAATATATAATAATATTTAGATTATTTTAAGGATTTTAATAGATAAAGATATTAGTAATTTCATTTTTAAAGAAATGTCAAAAAGGGAATTTAAAAAAGATTTAAAAGAAAAAAAACTTTAAAATAATTAAAAATAAATTTAAAAATATATATAGTTAATTATTATATATTATATAACTTTAAAATTATAATTAAAATCTATTTAAAACCCTTAATTTGTAATTAAAATCTATTTGAAACCCCTAACCTACAATTAGAATCTATTTAAAGCCTTTATATTGTAACTAAAGTTTGTTTGAAGCCTTTACACCATAACTAAAGTCTGTTTAAAGCCCTTAACCTGTAACTAAAGTCTATTTGAAACCTTTACACCGTAATTAGAATCTATTTAAAGCCCTTAATCTATAATTAAAATTTATTTGAAACCTTTAACCTATAATCAAAGCCTTTTATAATCATATTACCGTAATTAAAATCTTTTTAAAGGTTAATTATTAATTATTAACCTTTTATATATTTATTAAATATATTTAAATATATAATAAGGGAATAAGGGTTTAAATATGTAGAAATATTTTCTAATAAATTATATAATATAAAAATAAATTAAATTAAATATATAAATAGGTAAATAAATATTAAGATATAAATAATTATAATAAGTTAATATATAAATATATATTAAAATATAAAAGATTGGTATATAAATAGATATTAAAATATAAATAATTATAATAAATTAATAAAATATAAAGAATTATAATAAATTAATATGTAAATATGTATTAAAATATAAAAAATTAATATATAAGAAAATATTAAAATATAAATAATTATAATAAATTATAATAAGTTAATATATAAATATATATTAAAATATAAGAAATTAATACGTAAATAAATATTAAAATATAAATAATTATAATAAATTAGTAAAATATAAAAAATTATAATAAATTAATATATAAATATATATTATAATAAAAGTATAATATAATTATATAATTATATAAATTATAAAATATTATTATAAAGAAAATATATATATTAAAAAAGATATATTTAAATTATATGGGATTCTTAATAAAATTATATGTACAGGGTAAATCTCGGTTAAATCCTAAATTTTACCCGTTTCTTTAATCAATGCGTAGCATCCCCTTAGGGGTGCTACGTCGAACTTGTGTAGACAGCACTAATACCGGTCATACGTGACGTCTGGAGCTAGCGTCAGATTTTACGCAGGCGTACCGATAGTCACCAAACAAGGGCACGCAATTGGCGTTTATGCCGTTTCTGATATTCGACCACAACCCCAGGGCCTCAGTCTTGACGAAGCGCTGTTTATGGAAGATGTCGCTCAAATTGTTGCTGATCATCTTGAGAGGGTTAGTAAGTAGCCTAGAGAATTACCATCTATTCTACGGCATCTACTTCAGAAATAGATGTTCCCATCGCATGATCTTTCACTTACCCAACTTTCAAGTACATTCGATATAAGATTTACTAACCAAGTTTGCAGTGGATACAATGGGCCGCGTTTCAGAGAGAGATTTCATGAGGGGTATCTCTTACTTCTTGGAAGATTTATCTGAGTACAAGTTCCAACTGAGCAATACTGATCGCTCCATACAGGTGCCGAGCACCAAACACCAATTGGATGTGAGAGCAACCGACCCTCAAATAGATCCTCCACGAGGGCGGCCTAGAAAGCCGGGGTCAAATTTGGCGCACACTTCTATTTCCCCTACTAGGGATGCCTCTACGTATAGCGAGGCTCGAATGAACCGAGGGCCTCGATTCACTAGGGCTAGCGATTCTCAAGGCAAGGAAGCTCCCGACTCGTCGAAGGATAGCATGCGTAGGATTTTTACGCAGGCTTCGCAGTTATTATGCCAGCAAGCCAGAGCTACGGGATGTGTATTTACCGACGCTGCATCGGGCCTGTTCTTTGGTCAGTCTGAGGGAGTAATGTCGCCTCCAAATGGTACCGATCCAACCGCATCTTCGGATGTCAATTTCGAGTCAACAGAGGACGAAGAAGCCGACGCCGACAAGGAAGGAGAAGATGATTCATCTCCTGGACACGGATCCACATTATCTCAGATTGCTTTCGGCGATCGACTGGATGAAATGGCTGACGTCCTTGGCAGTGATGGCGACGGGTCTCCGCAGGGGATGATCAAGCGCAAAAATCTCAAGAAATTCATTATGCGCTATCCGTTTGGAAAATGTTTCTACTTGAATAAGGGACGCATCGTATCTCATCACAGCATGACGCTCGACGAAGTAGTTGTAGGTGGAGGCTCCAATTACACAGCTTTAAACACGTCAACACAGGATATAGAAGACCAACCCCATATGCTATTACCGCGAGAGCTTCTCAGCAGCATACCAAATGCGAAATGGCTGATATTCCTTCCCCTTTTCAATTACGCCCAAGGCCAATGGTTTGCGGCAGGCTTTATTTGGGGCGACGACTTCAAGATGGGCGATCCCGACGATGCATTGCCCTACTTTAAAACCTTTGGATCCTGCATGATGAGCGAGGTGGCGAGCATGGAGGTCTTAAACACGAATATTGCCAAGTCTACGTTCATTGCCTCCATCTCTCACGACTTGCGTTCTCCGCTACACGGAATGCTGGGAAGCCTAGAGTTCTTAGAAGATACTATGACTTCAGCGTACCAAACGAGTCTAATCGGCGCAATTGAAACATGTGGCAAGACACTGTTAGATACCATCGACCACCTCCTAGATTACGCAAAAATCAACAACTTGAACCGTGCGAGCGCGCGACTTAGCTCCCCAAAGGAAAGGAGAATATGGAAAGGATCGCGCGACGTTGGGGAACCTCTATCGACAAATTTCGATCTTGCCCTCCTTTTAGAGGAAGTCGTCGAAGCGGTCTTCGCCGGCCAGACATTTCGCAAAATCAACCTCCGACAACACGACCCTGTCGACGAGGCATCTGCGGAAATAAAGTCGATGAGTATCGATGATACATCGACAACTGAAGAACAGGTTCACTCTGGCAGTGTAAAATTCTCAGGAAAGGTCTTCTTGATACTTCATATCCAACGATTGGCATCTTGGCATCTGCAAGGACAAACGGGTGGCCTTAGGAGGGTGATAATGAATGTGGTCGGAAATGCTATCAAATACTGCAGAACCGGTAGCATCGACGTCTCATTGGAGGCAAAGGAAATCACGCCGTCGAATTACGAGGTGGATCTTTCTGTAAAGGATACCGGTATCGGTATGTCGAAGAACTTCCTCGCAAATCATATTTTCAAACCTTTTTCCCAAGAAGACTCATTTACACCGGGTACGGGACTTGGGCTCTCTATCACGTCACAAATCGTGAGAAACATGGATGGAAAGATCAAAATTGACAGCGAAAAGGGGGTTGGGACACACGTTAATATCACTATTCCGATGAAGACTGCTGACGCCAGTGGATCTTGCGGTGGAGTCCAAGATGATATCCAGCGCGAGGTTATGAAGGTTACGGCAGGGAAAAAGGTGTGCATTTTGGATCCCCTTCTTGGTACCCATATCAATGGAGAGCTGCCCAAACTGGAACTCTCCATCTCTAGTATCTGTCGGGAATGGTTCAACATGGATGTTATCGAAAGCAGGACTGTCGATACCGACCCAGACACAGCTATTTACATATATGCTGAGCCACCACCGATAGAACTCCTGGTAAGACAACACATCAAGCGAAAGGAGATGGGCTATACGGGTAAAGAAGCGGCTTTGCTTATCGTCTGCACGAACGCTTTCGAGGCCGCGGCCCTACGGGCTGCCGGCGTTAAGGATTTAATTTCTCTTGGCAGAATAGTCGAAGTTATTAGCCAACCCGTAGGCGTGCGCAAGCTAGGAAAAGTCCTCCTTCAGTGTCTCCAACGGGTGGAAGAAAGCTTAAAGCATCAGGATGAACTTGCACGGTCTAGGGCACCCTCGCCATCTCCCGAGAGCAGTCGAAATCGGGGATATAGTTCAGAGACTGGGTGGAATGCCTCAGCGGTCGTATATGACCAGACGGAAGGTCGATATAGGCCTTCGATCGAAGCTCTAAAATGGAAATCCGATCAGCAACAGTTAAAACTACCATTAGATCAGAGCATTCAGGCAGGATTTCTACATCCCGGTACGATCAGTAATCCATCCGCTTCCGCGACTATCCCGCACGGCCGTTCTCGATCTGGGAATCATATTAGACGATTACCTCGCGTCCTTCTAGTAGACGACAACACGATCAACCTCAAGCTCCTGGTGACATTCATGAAGAAGATCAAGTTGCCGTATGCCGAGGCCATGAACGGGCTCGAAGCCGTTACTCAATTCAAAGAAACTAAGGAACCTTTTGACTTTGTGCTGATGGACTTACAGATGCCTGTCATGGATGGGCTCGAAGCAACACGGCAAATCCGCGAGTTTGAACAGGAAAGAGCAGGGGAACTTACTGCTGCGCCACCGTCAACTATAATTGCCATAACGGGTGTCGGCAATGAGGCTACGCGCCAAGAGGCCATGGATGCGGGCATGTCGCAGTTTTTAACTAAACCTGTTAAGTTTAAGGCTTTACAGCAGATTTTGTTGGAGCAGGACCAGCCGTCTTGAGAGAGGGCGTATATACGATGTGTTTGAAACTTATCCTGATTGGGCGGGATAGAAGAGGTCACAATACTCGTCTGTCGGCTCTGGTCTGATTATTCGCCTGCACACTCCTATAGCGGATTGTACCGATCGAGCAACCTATTGTTGCCGCTGGTCTTTCAAGATGTGGGCAACGTTGAGCAACATACCGACAATATACAGTGGAGCATCATTTATGATTAGCCGCGAAGGGCTTCAAGCGCGAATACGATTCGGAGTGCTTTTAATATTCTGCAAATACCTGCTTTTTAACCTCATGATTATACGTTTTCGCCGAGCTAGGCGGTGCAACATACGGTCTCCGAGTGGCAGGCCTGGCTATATAGGGTACATAAAGAAGCTTAGGGGAGTATATTAAGGGCGGTTAAAGTGTGGTTCACTGTGTTGTTTCATAGGTTCCAACATCCGAATATGATAGCAAGCGGCTTTGGGTAGATTTTGCACTGCCCTTCGATTTTTAATAAAATAAATACGTACACGGCTAAGTGAACTTCCCTGATGTTGAATAGTGAAGGTTGATTTAACGTGTCTGTTATCATTCTTTGCTATGGTTGAATGAATGAATAGCATTGCAATAATTTAATAACTAATAACTTTATTGCATTAAAGAAAGTTGCATCTCGAAATTGCAAATCAATGTTTATTTGAATATATCATGTGAAAGTCACGTGATTAGACTGAGATATCTTTCCGACTTTACGTTTCGACCCGCTGTACGACCTAACCTCGATTTTAATCTTTCTATGCTTGTAAAATGAAGCAAACAGAACCCAAATGGCTTCGAATATGTAGTTTTCACGCGATGCTACTTAAATACTTATATGCAAGAAGGATATACGATAGCCAATAAAGTTAATGGAGCCAAGCCTCAAAGGACGGGTTCCTGCTTTAGGCGGCCGCAGGTAATTCTGCAGAAGCTTAAACGATTGGCTCAGAAATCTTGTAACCGCCAACCATCAATTGGCCGCTACCAACGCTACCAATAATACACAAGCGCGCGTCACCATCGTCAATTGACGAAACACCAAATGAACAAACTAAAAGTACCCCCCGACAGCGCTTAGCCAACCTTTCTTTAAACCCAATCTACATGCGATACGAAAATTAACTAGTAGTTTTGCCATGTCAAGGGTTATCCCAGTGGTCGGAACCACCTGGTCCAATACTATTCTATTGGACGATTTACCCCGATTCGTCTGGTCGTCTGGTCCTCTCGATAGGCCTCAATTTTATGTTACGAGCAGTTCGACATCTCATCTTGGCCGAAACTTTATCGAAACCTGGTCCCTTAACGTCATAATCGTGGACCCAACAGTAGGATTTTTATCGTAGGAACGGCCAGATGTGCATAATCAGTCCGTCTGGTGTTTAGTACAAGATGAGAGCTCCCCCTCCCTCCTGCGGGCGAAGATCGTCAATGCTTATAATCGTCCTTTCTAGATTTCGCTGGTCGTCCTTGTAAATTTGCGGCTCTTTATTTTCCGCTGCCTTTTCTTTGTCATCTGTTTTATTAACTATAACTATTGTCCTCTACTATTGTGCCGTATACTCAACCCCTTGTTCGGTTTTGAATGATACTTGGCATTCCTTTTAAGATCCTTAGGCTCTTTATCACATACACCAAATAATATGAGCCGCCGCTCCTCCATGCCTTCGGCGTCATAACCTATCTTTCGCCTTTTCGCTTAAATCATTTCCTTTTTCTTTTCCGATAGACTTTCATTTCACTTCAATCCAGAAAAGAAGAAAAAATCATACTCAAAATGCTCATTTTAGTTTTATTTTCACACCTCCTCTTATTCTCCGAGGCCTCGGCGGCAGGTCCGCTGAGGCGAGGAGAGAGGTACGTTATCGAAGATATAGAACGGCAAGATGGTGGCCGACTAATAACTTTTAGATTTAGATCGAGACAGCGTGATGCGCTAGGGTTTTCAAAGGTTTATAGGTTCGCGAATACCAGTAGCATCGCTACCACGACGACTACTCCCTTATCAACTGAGACCTCTTCGACCTTAATCACGAGCGAGACATCCCAAGCGTCAACGTTATCTTCATCTCAGTCATTGACATTTACAACATCAGCGCCTGGGTTGACTTCATCGTTGGTTGTGGTTACTTCAAGTGCGACTTCCACCTCAGGCCCGGTTGGGTCCAGCTCTTCTACTTCGATATCTCGGTCGTCTACATTAAGTGAGAGTAGTAGCATTCCAACCTTTGACTTCTTCCCATCTTCTACAGTTCCTATTGGTCCTCCCGCGTCTACTGCAGACTTGGCTGTTTCCAGTTCAACCGTGGTTGCTGCTCCGTCGAACTCGACTGGGAGCTCATCTCAGGAATCCACCGGGCTATCTCTGTCTACGTCATTGGCTCTTCCCCTTGCGCCAACATCTTCAGTAATATCTCTTACTAAGTCTCAATCGACGGCGACCGAGCAGAGCCAAACGACACAGTTGACGAGAAGCAGTTCTGCGGCTTCGGAGTCCACCACGTCCGTAAATTCTAACACAAATGCTGCAAGTCCTTCCACACTGGCAAGCAGTAAGAGTGCTAGTAGTCTAGAAAGTTCATCTGCATCAGCCACTACATCGGTCACCACATCCTCCCAACTGACTACTGCTTCATTCGCATCAGTTGTTAAATCATCTTATGTGTCTCATCCAGTAACGCCAACAGGGACATTAAATGACCAGGTTCCTACCATCATTAGCTCAATTCCGGCTTCGTCGACGACAGTTTCCCCCGAAGTACTTGCCAGAAACCTGGCCGATGCAAAGAGTTATAACAAGGTCTTCGCCGACCTGACTGAGGAATCTGCTTGCGCTGTTGGTCAAGTTGCCTGTGTTAATGGGAATATTGGAAAATGTTCTAGCGCCGGCGCATTTGAGATTACCCCTTGTGCAGACACTTTGACCTGTTATGCCTTGCCGATGACCACAGTTGAGGGCGTTCAGATTGGTTGCTGGGATGATGCTACCGTTCGTAAAGCTTTAGGCGGCGATGTACCTCCCGTAGGAAGCTCAACCTCTGCTGGCTCATCTACAGAAACTGAGACTTTTGATGGCACTCTAGTCACTGTAACAGTCACACCGACAGCCACCAGGACGGCTCAGACCACCATAAATCTCGGCTCATCTACACAAACCCCTTCAGAAACGAGCTCTTCAAAAACAAGTTCTTCAGAAACCAGTTCTTCAGTTCCTGCTCAACCGTCAGAGAAAACAGTAACAATTACCCATTACGTGCCGACCACTTTCAGCACCGCAACCCGGTCCTCAAGCTCTCCGTCACCTCCTAAAATAGTTACGGAAACTGTAACTGTAACGCCATCCAGCCCCCAAGTCTCGACCTCTTCACCAATTGAAACACCCCTGCCGCCCACGATTACAACGACAATAGTGCAAACTACCCCCACTGATTCTGGCCTCCACGTCATCCCAATCGAGACGGATATTATCGACTTTCCTGGTCTTGGGGACATCGGAGGTGATAGCGGGGATGATCCAAAGGGTGCACCCTTTTTCACGAAGCCTAATAACTTTGGCGTTACATCCATGACATCACCTACCCCCGCTACTGTCACTGTAACAGAGAAAGAGACGGTGACAACGATCACGACGGTAACGGATACGATTGTTACCACTATAAGAGATTAGATCGAGGATGGAAAGGAAATAGGTATTAAATATGTGTGTTGCATTTACAAATTCATTGAGCAGGGAGTTTAGGACATGTTGATAATTTGATATTTTTACCTATGTTATATTGCATACGACCAACGCAGGAAAAGTCGATACCCTTTTTTACCAATAGAAAATTTTAACTTTTCAAGTAACATTTTAATTATAAAATATTTTCGATTCTCAACAGAAGTCATAATCTTGACGATATATTGTGAACTTTGAGGCGATATTTATATTTCCTATGCCCGATGTATACTATATACTTGATAGATGAAGTTGTGTTGATTGGCCTCATGCGAAGAAGCGGGGTTGGTAGGCGTGTATAGGAGGGTGTATGGTGCAATGGTACTCGATACCAATCATATACTCATCTAGGGAAGATCTCGATTTATCCCGAAACTTATTTCAACTACCTCTCATTAATCCCACTGCCTACCTCTACCCTTCCCCCCCCCATTAATCTTAACGGCCTTCAAGTAAGTTGAAACATCCTATCGAGTCGCCAGTATCGAGCCGCCAGCCATGGTGTCTCATCCGCTTATTCGGGCCTCATCAAAGCATGCCGAGCATAACCCATCAGCAAAATACAACGCGGACGAAGAAAAGCGACTGGCGGATAAGTTCGCAGCACACAGACATCTAGTCCCACTAGTCTCTCAAAACGACGACGTCATATTCCTCAACGCGGCCTCCGCGCCGCCCTCGAACTTAATCGTCCACGAGGCCATCACGCGGTACTCGGCGCAGGCCTTATACGAGACGTACCCATACAACAGCTGGCGGGAGACGCGCGAAGAAGCGCGCAGCCTAGTCGCCCGGTGCATCAACGCCCACGACCCGTCCGCCATCGCCTTCACGCGCGACACCACCGAGGCCCTCGGCAGCTTCATCCGCTGCGTGCGCTTCCAGCCCGGCGACAACGTCGTCACCGTCGATTCCGAACACCCGAACCAGACGCTGTGCTGGCTCGCCCTGCGCGACTTCGGCCTCGAGGTCCGCCAGGTCCCCACTATTCCCGAGGCCGGGCGCACGGGCCGCGTCGATGTCGTCGATGCCGAGACCCTGCGGCCGTATGTGGATTCCCGGACCCGCGCTATTGGTGTTAGTTCGATTACGTTTGATGGCGGGCAGCACAACGACGTCAAGAGCATCTGCGCCGCGTACAGGCCCCGGGGGATCCATGTTTTGGCAGATGTGACGCAGCACGTGGGATTTTCGCCTATCGACGTCCGGGACTTGGGGGTGTCGGCTGCGGCGTTTAGTATGCATAAGGGGCTCAATGCGCCGACGGGGATCGGCGCTTTGTACGTGTCGCCCGAGGCTTTCCGGGAGCTAGGCGACCCGACGCCGCCGATTGTTAGTATGGAGGCTGTGAGGAATCTCGACGAGAGTCTGGTTGTCAAGGTGGATGAGCCGTTGGAGTTGCATCCGAATGCGCGCCGGTTCGAACATGCTAATATGAGCATGGTGGGCGTGGCGGCGGCGGCGGCGTTTACGCGGTTTTACCTGGATGTTTTGGGGGCGGCGGATGTCGAGGCGTATTTGTTTGGGCTGACGGATGCGTTGGAGAGGGAGTGTGATCGGTTGGGTATACGCGTGGTGAGTCCGAGGGAAAGGGGGAGACGCGCGCCGCATATTACTATTTTGGCGCTGCCGAAGGAGTGGGGGGCGTATTTTAGTGGTCCGGGGCGTGCGCGCGTTACGATGAATAGGTTGGGTGTGAGGGTGTCGTTTGGGTTTTATAGCTCGGTGGAGGATGTGAGGAGGTTTGTGAGGGTGTTGGAGTTGGGAATGGCTCAGGGGCTGCGGGTGTGAGGTTTGAGCGAATAGTTCTATCGTCTAGGGGTACATATTATTAGACACTGACTTGTATCCTCGGATGAATTTATTCATGTTATTAACGTGTTAGAGTTGGATGGGTAGGGTTATAAGATAAGTCTTGAGTTATAATATTAAAAACTCGTTAAGTTTTACGTGAAGTTGAAATCGGATTTTTGGGATTATACCTAGAAGCCGTTTCCACATAGTATTCTACTTCCCTACGAAGGTATCAGAATGGCCAGAACATAGCGCACTAACTGATTAATGTAATATAATATCTCCAATTATTATATTAGCATTTTGCTAATACTTCCACGTCCTAAAACTAGTCATACCACCATGGAATAATCAATTTAGTGCGTTTCCAATCACCAAAATCATCACCGTATGTGTCGCATACTTCCTCATCAACAGGACATAATGGATGTTCGGCATAGAAATGCCCGCAGCTCGAATATTCCCGCAACTTAGATTCTCCGATTATGCAGCTCGGGATATCGACGAACTCACGAAGGAGCTCTTCACTATTATCTTCCAAGGCTCTCCACAGCTTTTCCATATCGAAGTCAGTAGATAGCCAACCGTCATCTTCTCTTAGCCGACGATACGATAATAGCTCAGCCTGTATAGCTGCCCATATGTGGCCTAGCTGTCGATTATTGGAATATATTGGTCTGGGAATATGAAAACACCCGTCGAGATCCTCTTCGTCCGAATCCTCTTCGTCGTAATTCTTCTTCTCACGGTCTAGTCGTAGGATAGAAAGAAAAATCCCCCACCCACGATTAACTTCGTAGGTCCAAGATTCCTCTCTCTCTGAATGGATTTTTGATGCCAATTCTGCTGGGTTCATAGTTACATGTTGACACTTGTTCACTGATCCGCGTCCCAGTAACTCGGGAATTGAGACCTGCACAGAAGCGTATGGATCAGCGTGGTGAGTCAGCAAACATACAAGGCAACAGATCATGCCAAAAAGATTCTCCCCGGGCATTCCATCATTTGCCATGAAGAACGCTGTTAAGACCAAGGCATGAAGTGGCCCAAGTGTTAACTCTAGCCCACAACAGCTGCATCGCCTTTTGAACAATCCACTCGACGTATTAATATCTGGATGCCATTTAACTGAGAATATTGCCGATATAGAATGGCATATAGCCTGTACTGAAGTATGACAGAATACGTGCTTCCACTCATGTGGGATTTTCGAGCTTCCGGAATCGTACAATTGTCGAATACAAGGCGAATCCGCATCCCATCGACCACAGGGGTCAACCTCCTGTCCAGCGTATTGAGATTGACCGGCGGACTCGCCAGTCAGAATATCAAGCGAAACTTTGCTGTGCGACCGTAGGATTGTGACGAAAAGCGTATCCAGCACAGTAAGTCCAGAACTATCGATATAATTCATACCTATCGAGGATGAACCCTGTAGGCTATTTACAAGCTCGTGGAAGATGAGGCAGCAAGTCTTAGCGCCATCTAGGAATTTTGCTGCTAGATGGAATGGGAAGATGGTTGAGATGATTTCTGAATTCTTTCTCATGTAACTCCAGGCGATTGATGAAATGAAATCCACGTTACGTGACATGATAGCGAAAGCCAAAACATCTACCTCCAATTCATCCGGCGACTTCTCCACAGCCTTTAAAATTGAATCTATGGCGAATGGAAGTTCATTGATTTGAACTGGACTAAATTGGTTCTCTTGAAGTCCCCGAGCTAGTGTTCTTGTGAGATCTTGCATAGAGCTACTCGTTAACCACTTAGTCCATTTAGACTTATCATCAACATCAGATTGATCTTCAGAACTATCTATATCTGATAATATAGAATCATAGTCTGAGATACCATAGTGTATACTCCATCGACAGAGTTGCGTCAGGCCGTTGGCAATCGAATGAGATCTAGATGATAGATCAGATTCTAGACCTATAGAGGAATCTGTAGGTGATGGAGGAACCATGTCATTAAACGACTTGAAGTTAGTAGAGGACGGATTCTGGGTCTTTGGCCGCCCGTCCCAATACTTGACAGTTATGAAGGAGTATCTCCAAAAGTCGTGAAGCCATTCTATTATAGCACTAGAGCAGAAGAATTGGTTAGTACTTTATAGTGTGAGGTATCTAACGAATACCAACTTACTTTCTTTCATCCGTAGTTAGCTGTGCCATCAAGTCCTGATCTCTACCCTCCAAGAAAAGACGGGCTCTGTCTAATAGTGTCTTCCGGTTTATCAGCTGCATTGGCGGTGATAAGGCATCCTGGGGACCAGAAGTAGATGATTTCCCTTGTGGACTGTTTATAGTCAAACGTTCTGGAGTAAAAGTGCCAGCGCTGGACGGTGAAAAGCAGTTCTCCCCCTTTAGGCTGTGAATCAATGCGGCGTACGGGAGGTTATACCGAGCAAATCTAAAAGTAAGATCAGACTTTCGGCCTTTATAAAAATTTCGAATTTTACTTACATTCCGGGATAGAGTATTACTGGTTCATCTTTGCGGATACATTGGTCGAGATACCGCTTGAGCTGCTTTTTATCTATACCTTTTGTAAACTTACCTTGATTGACAAGTACACCCGAGGTGGTAACTCCATTTTGGTGAACAAGTTTTCCTAGAGCCCTAGTAACAGCATCCTTCTCTTTGGTGGTTGTTCTTTTCTTGATCTTCCATTTTGTAAAGTGGTATTGATATTGTCCGATTCTAACCATTGAGTAATTTCCATGTTACTAAGCACAACAAAATAGGCATAGATACCTTAGGTAGGTAGGTATATAATACTGACTGGGCATCAAAACTATACTCATTCTTCATTCGCTCTGCGACGCGTTTCATTTTGTTGTTCTCCCCCAAGTACATTTGAATGATAACAGGCTTCAAATACTCCCATCTTTGGTTATATGGGATATCCAAGAATTTATGGCCGTTGTCTGTTGAAAAGTTTGAGTAGTCCATTCTAATTTTTTATTGCCTCTTATAAAGGTGGTGATTTTTCGTGGAGTTTTGAAAAAGGGAAGAGATAGAAAATTAAGAATTAAATTTTTTTAGGCGGTGAAGCCTCTTTTATACAATCCGTCTCGCGTCTCAGGCCAGTCAGGCAACCAGTGGGATGTAGCTTGATGCATGTAAGACCGGCGCAAGACAAATGGTTGATGCCGTTTAATTAAATCATGGAGCGGATTTGCAACAAATAGCATGCGTCCAACAGTAGGGGCATATGATACCCAATCGTCACAGAGGTCGTGCGCATTCCTTGTTTGAGCAACCATTGACAGCACTGGCGGCAGCTTCGTAGCCTGCATAGAACCTACCTATTCATGCAGGCTACAGAGGAAAGAGTAAAATAGTAATTTTGAAGTATCTCCGTTACCGAACTTATGCACCTTTTTACAGCTCACCGGACGGATCCACTCTAATTTCATCTTCAACTACCTAGGTAAGTTCTCATAAAGTAAGTACCTGTTTATATCATATACATGACTAAAATAACGCTTTTCTGTGAGAGACGACAGCGCAAAATCAGCTTGTATCGAAAATTTTCCATGGCCGAAATAGGAAATATTTTTTCGCCCAAATGGATAAAAAAAAGGTAACTCAATGGGCAGTGATTGGCACATGCGCAATTATGTAAACTTGGGCATATTGTGTAGCCCGCAGGGCTGCATCCAATACAGTAGTAATTCAATATAACTTACCTTTTTCCGTAGCAGTAATAGCAGTAGGTAGCGGCAGAAAAAAAAGCGAAGATTTGCTACATGTTACAATGAGAAAAAGGTTTAGGTCGAGTCCTGGTTCGGTTGTTAACCCATAGCCCAATGGCGGGGGAGACTAAACATCAATTGACTGGGAAGTGGGCTGGGTATAAACTTCTTGTATTCAACCCTATTAACCTATCAGAGGTGAGATATTGTAAGATTTTATGCAAGGTTAATATAAGCCCAAAAATAGGAGGAGTTGATAGGTTCAGTTGGCTCGCATCCTACCTAGTGTTACACAACATCATGTACACCTATGGTGACACACGCCAAATATTATTCATAAAAGCCATACACAAAAATATAATAACCAATCAAAGAAAGCTGTTGTAGCCAATCACACAATGAAGCTATGAATATTTAAATATCGTATATACATTCAAGTAGGACCTCATGCCTATTATACCTATTAACCAGCGGAATGAAATAAGATTAACTCTAACATTCGGCTGCATATACCTCTTTCTTAGAGCTTATATATTCTCTCTAGACCTTCATAAACATATTCATCCTTTTCTCTACAATTAAAAACCATACAGTCACCAAACCTACCTATTCGATTATTCTTACTATCTCTACTACAGCCAAAGTCTAACTTATATATCCCGATACGTAAACAACTACACCCATCCACCTACCCGCACACACATACAATATATATATCACTACTCAATAACTTATAATGTCGCACACTTCGTCCTCTGGTGGCCAAGAGACCACTTCGTAAGCTTATCACTCATTCAGATAAACACAACCCCCCCCCTAGTACCTATGAATCAATTCTAATATTTTCGTGATTTTCTACATAGGTATGACAATTCTGGGATGACGAGTGATAGCACTGGGTCAACCAGGGGCTCGCCTGTGCCTGACCTACCAGACGCTCCGGGGTCTGACGACGCACCCGTAGACACACAGAACGACAACACCAACATTGACCAAGATCTACTAGGATTCGGAGCCCAGTTTGATGAGAAGAAATAAGACTGTTGGACCATGAGATATAAGAAGACATTAGTCCTACATGGATTACCATATGGCAGTCCGCGTATTAACCTATTCTCGGCCTCATAGTACCCTACTATGATGTGGGCAATGTTATGGCTAGCATAAGTATGCTATATTGACTCGTATGTGGAGAGATGGCACACATTCTTTTATATTACTATGGAATTCTGCTACACATTCATTAAGGCACGTGTTTGCCTAAGCTTTACGTATCTTGTCTATTTCGTCGTGGTCCTTATTTGGGACCATGCCCCGGTATCATGTGGTCTTTACTCAGTCAGTTGATGATTTAACGAAGCTTTCTTTTTCACATCTTAGTCTCACTACCAAGGACTTTTCATACAAGACTTTACTAGACATTAAAGATATGGAAATTGTTAGGGGATATAGGTTAAATGAAATTTCGTATTGGGTATGAGTGATACATTTCATAGCACAACTTTAATTCTGTGACAAACCTATACTTAGGTACGTTAAAGTATAGTATCGTTAGGTTCTTACTTTTAGGTAAACAGTAACAATACGAATCAAGGTCGTAAAACTGATAATGCTGAGTGTTCGTCAGGAAGGCTTGGAGTCCTTCCCCTAAGTAGTAAGTAGATACTAGGTTTAGGCTTAGATTGATAACTGTAGAATGAATGATACACAAGGAGATCTTCCCTTCTTATATTCATTCTTCCGTCCATATATTCTATTGAATAGTTTAGATCGCCAACTATCCAAAATATCTACGATAGTTCAGATGGCTGGCTATCCCAGCTATCTCAGGTAGATTCCATAGCTGACTTATTCAGTTATTAAGTCCCTTGATCCGAGGTTTACCCGTGATAGGTGCACTTCAGAGCACTTAGGTTTTGTTGATTGTATCGTAGGTCGTAACAAATTCATATCTACAAGTGAAATGCAATATTAAGTATCAATAGAAAAATTAAGAGATACTTCGATTGAATCACATTTTATCTACATTGAAGCTAGTAAATACACAGGATCCAAGTTTTGGGTTAGAGTTCTATTATAGTAATTCGGCTGATTATGTAATATAATGCGCTAGGCGCATTCTAAGACTATAAGCGCCCCCCGAGGCAGTACGCGTTGATGAATATAAATATTTTCGGACTTACATAAATATTTGATTCTGGAGCAGATAGAGCCCTGTCGATTGACAGTGGGGTTACATTTATGCCGTCTTGGGTCGGCCCCCTTATCTCAGTAAGCAACGGTATAGAACAAAAGACATACGGCAACAATATGGAAAGGTTCATATAAATAATTATTAACAAGCGTCATCATAATCATTTAATACGGCAGTGTCAGTAACTTGTCTGCTCATCTACGGCGCCTGAATCTACCCCCAAACCCAGACGGAGGTCCCTTTGCTCCATGATTCTTTAGCTTTAGCCTCTTGAAGTTGGCATGGGCTAGCTCGTTGACCTTCCTAGCAACCTTTTGGACTTTGCCATCCTTCTTTTCCGTCTTCTTTTTCTTCTCTCTACATGCTTCGTCTCCTTGGGCTCTTGACCTTCATCTTCTATGAAGTCGGATTCAGAGTCGGATCCCAAGTCTAGCGGTGGACTATCGCCACCCTTCGTCAGGTTTGCCTGCGTCTCAGGCACGACGTCGCCTTCATCATCTGTTCCCGGTTGTTCTTGCGCAGGCTGCTGTGGCCGTTTGCTCCTGGTTGGCCTCATGTTGACTTTTCGCGTAGTCCTCTTCTGTCCTTTCTTTTTGTATACCTTCAGGGGCTGTCCGCTACGCCCTACTTGCTCTTCAGGTGCACTATCGTAAAGATCCTCATCGTCAAATCCCCAAGAAGGCTGGGGCCTGACTATCTGGCTCGAGGATATCCTCCTTCTTCTTTACTGGCTTCGTAGTGGCTGATGAGTTGTCATCATTCTCTGCCTCGCGTAAGGCTTCGAGATCGTCATCTAGTGCTTCTTCCTCTAGCTTACGTAGACTCGCCACTGCGCTGCTGAGACTACGGCCTAGAGGCTTGCGTGGCAGGCGTAGGGGTGCAGGAGCTATGTAATCGCCGTTTTCGTCCACTGTTGCCAGGGGTGCCCTCCTGAGAAAAGATGGTGTAGTCAATTGCAACTTGCGGATCGAACTGGGAGTTCTGCCTAGAGGAGCATTGCTATCTCGTCGCGAAGGTGTCATAAAAAGTGTTGTGCGCTTGCCCGACACAGGAGTTTTATCCAGTTTGATAGCATCGCCGATATTCTCACTAGTAGCATTTTTGCTGGGAGTAGCTTGGATCGCACCATCTTTCAAAAATTCGCCAGTTCTATTTCTTGAAGGCGTGTTCTCGTCGTCTCTTCCAACAAATCAAATAAGCCCAGGATACGTCCATCTCTTTGGGGGGTAGGTCCAATTGAAGTAGGAACAGCAGGGCTAAACAGTTTCCGCGAGGATGGCGTCTCAAACATCTCGGGATCTATGATTCGTTCCCGTATATGGGAAGGTGTCTCAGCTGGCTTTGACCGTTTCGAGGGCGTCACTGCGAGAGCTTCTTCCGGCTCACGTTTCCGAGAACTTGATGATTCCTTCGCCTTTGCTTTGGCGGGAGGGAGTTTGCCAGCTAAGATATCACGGACTTGGTTGTACTTTTTATATTTTCGAGCTGAATAAGATACCAATTAGTTCTCATTCCCAATTGAAAGTCCATCATCCGGGTCAAATCTAACCTATTTCTGGATTTTTCTTAATATCCTCGCGCCCCGGCTTTGCACCGGCATTCTGGTTTGCCCAGTCGGCCTCGAAGTGCTTAAGGTCGACGCGTAGTTGCTTGCAAGTCTCTTCATATTGATGTCTTTCACTTTCATCCATCTTAACTAAGATATGAGTTTAAACAGTGCTATTCGTAAACGCTGCGTAAATTGTTAATAATTGTTGCAAAATAATGGATTTGAGAGTAGGGAATGTTTTTGATAGGGAAGGTTAATCCATTAAAACGCGACAAGCTTTAATGGAACGCGACGCGGGACAATCTAGTGGGGCACTTTAAATGATCTACCTTAGTACATGTACATACCCACCTTAAGGGGAAGTCATTACGTCAGCAATTCGGAATGCCGCTATAGTGGAAACCGAGCCATTGTTTGTACTCTTGTACTTTCGTATCTTGTTTATCCCTGTCAATCGCCATTTGTTTGTAACTAAATTGCCTCTAAACATCGAGGCTATTTTCAACTGGTTACAACATTCCGTACCTACTGCTCCTACTCACAGCATCACTTCCTATCTATATGGACGTAAATTTAGATGCGACCGATATACAATCTCAAATACTCCAAAATACTCTTGTAGAGGTAGCATTGTCAAAGAAACAACCCGAAGCCGATAATCCAAACGAAACATGCTGCGTCATCTGCCTCGATAGCATCACCGAGATCTGCGAGGCCAGGCCTTGCAGTCATCGGAACTTCGATTACCTCTGCCTTCTTAGTTGGCTAGAGCAGCAGAAGAAATGCCCTCTTTGCAAGAGCAATGTCGATGAGGTCTGGTACGATTTCGAAAACGATAGCCCTGATGCGAAAAGTAGGGTATACCTAGTTCCGCCCCCGAAGGCGTCATCAAAACAACCCCTACAGTCGCATGCTCAAATCTACCATCCACGAAATGCGTTTTCGAGACCAAACCGTCGACGATACGAAGAAGCGCCTCCGCGGCGGGTAACTGTTAACGAAGCTATTCTCCGCCGGCAAGATGTCTATCGCAATCAACTCTACTCCCTACACGTCGGATCGAACCAAAGATCGGGCTATCGAGATTTAACTCCACAAGTGTTCGAATCCGATCCCGAGATGATATCAAGGGCGCGAACATGGCTCAGGAGGGAACTACAAGTCTTTGAATTCCTTCGAACTCCACCCACCGCGCAATCCAGCGACGATGCGATGACGAGAAGACGTGCGAATAACGCCGAATTTCTGCTTGAGTATATAATCGCTATCCTAAAGACTGTAGATATTCAAGGAAGCCAAGGGCAAGCGGAAGAAATGTTGAAAGATTTCCTCGGTCGCGATAACACCAAGTTACTCCTTCACGAGCTCAAGAACTTTCTGCGCAGCCCCTGGTCGTTGGAGGCCTGGGATCGCAAAGTCCAGTATCCAACGGCGAGGAAGCGACCAGTTGAGGAAGGTGATGTTGAAAGTAATGCCCAAGCGAGCAACGCATCTCAGATTTGTAGCCGTTGAGAGCTAGACACGGAAGCGACGGGCTTGCGATTCCTATCGTCCTTCATACTCAACCCGTCACCATAATAGGAGATATAATACGAACCAATATACACCAGATTAAACCCCCTTACTATTATCAATTCTAATATTTGATACGTCGTGGCCTTGTATTCGAGTCTAGAACCAACAAGTTTGGCTCCTTCAATATGTCAGTGTGGGACTCTTGGATAATCATGCTCGAGTTTCTATAAGCACACTTCATAAAGTAGAACTTTTCACGAGTATCCGAGGCCGGTCGCTCAAGTCATGCCTAGGTGAGATAGCGCCGTCCGTTATACCTACCGACTTCCGAATTGGCTTGGGGTAGTATTTGAAGTAGTCGACGAGGTCTTCACATAATCATGCTCAAGATAATGAACCATTCAGACCCCCTGCTCGAGTTTGTGGGTGAATTACAGCTCATATATTAACCTTGACATATAAGAGATAACCGAATTGCTCACAAAACGAACTACTTCATGGGGGAAGACTCGCGGTGAGAAGTTAATGTGCATATGTGTATGCCCAAGAACATGGTTTAAAAGGGAATTGCTCAAAGTTAGTGATGGCACCCTTATGAGCCCTAATGTATTATATCTTACCATGTACCCTATGTCGTGCAAGATATTAGATGACATAGGCTCCAATCCGTCCAACTGACGTTATCTCACTAAGAGATCTGTCTTAGCTTTCTTGTAAGTGCGAGAAGTAACACTGAAGCCTCGGATCACGTGCATGTCTCTATTTATCTAACATACCAAAGTATGAAGAACGCATTTAACTCTAAATATTCAATGTACATGAGATACAATTAAAAGTTGAAAATATGTAGCTCCTTAGCGAAGGTTCGAATGTTGTCCAGGACGATCAAATAAAATACCTACCTAGGTACCTGGCCCTCGCTAGTGAATTAATTCCATTTCGGGATATGACAAGGATCTATGATTGGTCAGTTAATGCTGCAAAGCTTTAAGGTTCGAACCTTATCCCCAACCAGACCCACTGAAAGAGCCTCAAAGTCAAGATCAATATCAAAATCATCTATGAGGTACCTAACGTATCAAAATCAAGAAGAGGTACACGCGTACTTTCAAACGTAACTTTAGGAACCAACAGACCACAACCTTCGACTTAAAAGGCATGTCAGGAATAGTTCACATCAAACTGTAATTACACCGCCCAAATAGTATATATATTTGGACATCCCCTTTTACTCTCACATCCTTCGGCTACCCCTCCACCCATAGGCAGCCCTCCAATCCCCCATGCCTACCGATTACTCCTACAATCTTCGTGTTGTCCTTTCCAGCCATTTTGGATACATCGTACTACTTAGCTACCTCTTACTCTCACCTTCCGCTACTACTCACCTATCTATTAGCTCTCAGCTTAACCCCGGACACCATCCTCCGGCGATCGGCTGAGACTGCCTTTGGGAAGCGATGACGAGAACTTGGCCCGCCTTCCAACCCGCGAGTGACATACGAACACCAGCCAGAGGACCACATCGGCTAGCCCTCCACGTCTGCGACGGGTCTACTATTGGCTGACTTAGAGATCGAGGTTTAACCTACTCATGTTATTCGCTTCACTCTTGCACACTTAGAGTAAAATGGGAGTACCTATCTAGGTCAATGCAGTGGAACTTTTGCTATAGTTCTGACCTGCTAAAACCAAACTTTCCAACATTTCTCTCCATTGAGACAGGCATTGATATGATGTATATTGGAAAAAAGATACATTTCTAAATTTCTCCTTTGGTTACTTTATATTGGAGAAGAAGTTTAAATTTGGATAATTGGCGGCTATGTCAGACAGTTAAACTTTTATCATTACTCACCTACATAATACACGAATTTAAACGTAATATTAGTTGAGATCGATTCATTCCACAAGCATCCGAATATCTTTGTAGCTAATTTCTAAGTCCGTCTTTCATTTTGTAATCCTTTTGATAGTTTTGACAGACTTTTCTCCGCGACCTATCTGTATTAAGTCTTCCAGCTAATCCTGTGGTTCAGGAGCTCCCGATTAGGCTCTCAGTTGCTATTATTTTGTTCTCACTACGCACGGAAGGGTTTCACGATGATATCATCGGGGTTAGGAATGATGGGTACCGGATCATTTCACGGCATACCTACAGCGACAATGGTCCACCACACCTGCTCGAAATCTCGTTCTATGATATTAGGTACAAGCACAGATAGCCCCACAGCGTATATGGTAGCGTCATAAATACGATTTGAAATGCGACGGCCTGCGAGATGGATCGCTGGCGATGCAGGTGGTAAACTCACGAAGTTGTCTAGGATCGCAGTTCTAGTAGGAAAAGAAGGTTAGGCCCCTACGTACATTTGTAACAGGCTCGATACCTACCGTAGGTCCGTTACTCGGTGAGAAAATAAGGGGCTATACAAGTTCGATATTAGTAGTGATCAGGTAGATTAATTATTGAGAGTGTAAGATCTGAACTTGTGAACATTATTGAAGCCGAGAATGGCCAGCATGCATGCGCGAGTCTTCTCGATCCCCGCAAAATACACATGTCCAGCGACGGAACCCCCCTCCCCGCCCCCCTTTTCTCGCAATCATTAATTTGCCCTAGTAGGTCAAACTGATCGGATCAATCAATACTACGCCTTCTCTCAGCAATGTCGTGGCGATAATCATGAGGTAAGAGGCGGAAAATTAACATCACGCTTCTTCATGATAGGAGCCTAACCCCGCCGTGGCTTCGGCTATAGTCCTTAAATCATCATCATTGCCTACTCCGATTTGAATACATGAAGGTTATTTCCTATCGATATCGGATTGGGGTTGTGGTTCGAGTGAATAATGCTTAACATGCCGCGGGCCGGAGTAACTAACGAGATTTCAAGCCTAAGAAGGCTTGGTTGAGAGGCGAATAGTAGGGTAGGAATGACTGTACTATCACACTTGAATTCAAGCAGGCCAATCAGGGAGGGAAGCCATCTCCCTTGCAGTTTAGTACGTATACCCCAACTTGATCGTTTTAAGTTACATTTATATAAAGAATTATGGCGACGATATCATCAATATAGTATTTAGAGATATATCTCTCCTTAATTTTTAGGTGTTTTATAAGAGGACGTCATATGATTCAACCATGGAGCGCGGGCAGAGCCGCTAACACAAGGATTGAATAAGCCCAGGACAGTGTGAAGGTATTGTGAAATATCTAGTGAGAACAGCGATATACAAGTTGTATGAGTAACTAAATCACCTGACTGAGCTTCGTGGGGCAGGAGAGAAGCCAGGTAATGCATTGGGTAATAGTCTCTCAGCTATTTATTTCAACGATGTTCATAAACTAATCTCCTGAGACGTAACTAATGTTGTTTATCGGTTGTTTAAAGCTAAGGTATTGTAGTAGAACCACATAACACCATAATACCCGAGCCAGTACAATTCCCTTTCGGCAACAAGGTTATTGATATAACGATTATTTAAATTTGATATGCCTCCTTTATTTTTTTTATTATCTTCACCAACCATCACGATATACTCATCACAAATAGCATATCCGGTAATTTTATTTAATCATCATAACGCTGGTTACCAATCTCAGCAACCCTTTATACACCACCATATACGTATTCTAAGATGTGCCACTGCGACATGGCCCAAGTAATGTGTGGGACGTGCGGGAACGTATCGAAACACTACGGTAACTATAATTTCTGTGACAATCGATTGGCGTGTACTAGGTATTGTCCGAAACTAGAAGTCAATTTCTTGGGATCGAGGGTCCTGGATTGTGACAAGTGCAAGTTACTTTGGGACGTCTTCACTAACATAAACGAAAAGTATGACCAGGTAGAAGAAGGTGTGGAAACAGAGGAAGAAATGCAGAAGCAATTCGTGGAAGAGATGCTGGAGCAGGAGTATCAGCAACCGCAAGAAAGACGGGAAATACAGAAAGAACAGAAAGAAACCCCCAAGAAATAAGTCCTAGGGGTTGAAGTCAGAGCTTGGACTTGCTGGAACCTAAACCTGATTTCGGTGGTTCTACTATAGTTTATTATAAGTAATATGTTGTGTAGAGTAGTTTAGATATTCACTTTTAAGTATAGTAGCTAAGTATACGATAAGCTTACTATTGTAGGTAATTATACCTTTTTTTACTAAAAAAGTTTAAAGAAGCTGTTTTTTTCTTGTGTAAATCTATCTTCATCTACCAACTTCTGCATTCAAAATAGGCACCACGCACCCGAAAGCGTTCATGTTAAATTGCATAATTATTAAGCTTGGATTTACCTATAAGTTTAATGTACTATCAGTAATCTGGATTTTGACTCAATCGACGAATGATCTGGGCGTTTTTGCATTGGAGTCTACCCCGAGTAACTGGGATGTCTTGATGTGCTTCTTGGCGGTGGGCACGAGTAGCTCAACGAAACCTCGTAGATCATAGGAGTATTGATGTAATATTTAAGAATGCGCGGTGGTCTTTTTTAATCGAATTGGAGTTTTAAGACTGTTGAAGGTTGGAGTTAACTTATTGTTATCTGATATATAAAGACTAAGTTAAAGGTTTAAGGCTTGTAATTCTTTTCGTGTTTGAGCTTCTTTATCACTATTCGGAAGTAGCCTCGAACTGGATTGGTTGAATTGTAGCCAATTAAAAATTGGAAACATTTACGTCCTGCCAACCAAATGTAAGCCTTTAATTAATGTAGTACTGCGGGATCTGACAAGAAAGATAAGCCAAGTTTAAAGGGACATAATACTTATAACACTAGGCTATTATCGGAGGATGAGCTGACACAGCTTACTAACCAAATATTGGTGAAGTCCGAAACAATCATCAAATTGCAACATTTTAATTGGTTAAAAAGAATATTTTGGTGAGGAATCCCGATCCCTCCGATTACGATTCGCTATGTATAGACGCGGATACGGAGTTTTTGATAACATCATCCACCATCCACCATCCACCATCCACCATCCACTATCTCCCATCTACTATCACTCCTCTTGCCATTTACTTAACCACCTAACCACTTAACCACTTAATTACACTCTTAAAATAGCCCACCCTTCCCGCATAGACCATCCTCTTTCGTTACTTAAACCCTGACCAACGTTGATCAAAAAATCAACTACATTGCACTATGACGACTAAGCGTGAAGATACAACCTTGCATTTACCGCGCATCCTCTGTTTGCATGGCGGAGGAACCAATGCCCGTATCTTTAGAGCCCAATGCCGCGTAGTGTCGCGGACGCTAGAGCCTTATTTTCGCATGGTGTATGCCGAGGCGCCTTACGAGTCTGGCGCCGGTCCGGATGTGCTTTCGGTCTATGCAGAGCACGGGCCATTCAAAAGATGGCTCCGTTGGCTTCCCGAACATCCGGAATTAGAAGACGAAAGCGCAGTTGCAGACATTAACGCCTCTCTGAAAGACGCTATGGATGCTGATGACCTCGCGGGTGCCACCGGTCCTTGGATCGGGCTTCTCGGATTTAGCCAGGGTGCTAAGATTGCCGCAAGTATATTATATCGACAGCAGATCCGATCCGAGAAGCTGGGGTCGGCACAGGCGGGTTCCGACTGGAAGTTCGCCGTGCTTCTGGCCGGACGAGCACCCATAGTTAACCTAGACCCCGAAGTATTCAAGTCATCTATGTTAAGCCGGGCGTCAGAGGTCGGCCTCACAGGTGCACCAGACCTAATGGAAATGATGAGCGGGAACCACGTCTTAAAGCTTCCGACTATCCACGTTCACGGACTCAGCGACCCGGGTTTGAATTTGCATCGCGAATTATTGGAAGAGTACTGCGACCCAGGGACTGCTAGGTTGATTGAGTGGGACGGTGCGCATAGGGTGCCACTCAAAGGAACTGACGTGCAGCCGTTGGTGGAGCAGATATTAGATGTTGCAAGAAAGGAGGGTGTGTTGAAACGTTGATAGATCTCCTTATCGCAATTCTGAGTACGGTACAAGGGCGGCTATGAAACTCCTTAATGTTAAGATGAGAATTAATTTCATATCTACGCTTAATTGGAATAGAGGGGATATCATCCGAAAATTGAGATTGCCACCAAAGTAGACTTAGACAAACCAACACTAGTAGTCAGGGGACATCAGATATGACACATAGAGGTAATATGGAAACATGATGATTAACTACCTAAGGTACACATGTCTTGCTTGTGTATACCGAATGATACTTGCCTGCGTAATGACAGCAGGCCTCCCTCCAGTAGCATGTACTTACAATACAGCGAAATATACATAATTCCTCCCTAGAGAATATTCCGACTAATAAGGAACTCACCAAATACGAACCCAAGCATCTACTTCTAGAAACGTAGTAGACGAGAGACGTAGTAGACGACTCACCCAGACGTATCGGATGAAGAATGTGTCGTTTTTTAATTGCTATTAACCTACCTGTATCCCCACGTCTTGCAAACTAGAAGTCAATCGATATTGACGTATGAAATATAGGGATCGGTGTTGAAGATACAGTCATTACACCCGTCACGTCCACATCAAGCCAAGCTTCATACATGATGTGGTTCTACTCTAGGTACTATGGATGTTTTACTATATAAACATGTCCGGGTCCAAAACTCTCCTACCTTGCTTTATGTTTCCCTTAAACCCACAACAATTACTAACTCTTTACTTGCCAACAAGTACCTTTACCCTCCGCACCTTATCGACAAAAAACGTTTGCGACTTAACAACCAGCCAAGATGACGTTTTCAGGCGACATCCAGAACGTTGAAGACCTCAATACCGTTCTGGAAGAAATCAACGATCTTGAAAGCGAAGTCAACGGTAAGATCATCGATGACGAGATCCTGTCTACCAGGAAGAGGAAAGAGTATGAACGACACATCGATTACATACTCGAAGCCCACAAAAAGCTAAAGGATGCCGAGGACTTGGACGTCCTCCAGGGCAAAGAAGAGAAGAAGCGAATCGAAGCTGGAATCAACACGCTGAAGTCGATGGAAGCAAAGATCCAGTATGCGTTCGAGCGAAGCGACGAGCTCGAAGAGTCCGATTAGAATCGGGACAAAGGCCCAGTAAAAGAAGAGCGAGAATTCTTTCGGGTCAAAAAAAAAAAAAAAAAAAGAGTTGATGATATTGATACCCTACGCGTCTAGGCTGGTATAGCTAGACAACACGGCGCTGCTTTTCTATTGATTTTTTGCGCTGATCTACGCACTGAGTTACTGCGGTCTTTTATCACAGCTGGGAAGAGGTCATGATGCTTACCCGTACCCCCAGCTAGCAGAATTTAGTACTAAATATATTTTAAACCCTACATGAGGCACACAGAACGATCTTTACAGTGATAATATGACATAGTAGGCCAGTTTATATACCACAAGCTAACCGAGGTTGGCATATTTACTATCACGACATCGAATAGCGGAGTATGGTATGATAACTCCCTAATCCGAAAATAGGGGTCGTACCACGCTATTGGATATGCACCTGTAATTGAGTATCTTCAAGTCTTCAAGGTCTTGGATATTTTCAATTCTTCAAAACTCAGCTATTGGATGCGTATATTTATAAGCTACGGTCATCTTAATGCGCAAATCGGAAATCCAAACGCTTATTCCCCTCGTCAGTTGTCGTCGATAGATACTCTAATTTCTCCTCCGCACTCATGACATTCCATTTCTTATCCCTGTACCTATTCCTAAGGACGTAGTATACCTTAGTGAGGCAGTATATGCCGATATTTCCGGCCAGAATAGCTATGAGTTGTCGATTACCCCGGCGGTAGAGTGGCGCGTCGTCTACCCGATAGATATTCGATGCTATGATGCCACCGGCCTGGCAGAACATGTTGTAGCATGCAGCTGACACTGTACGAGATCGCACGGTATTGGAATTCCGCGAGTTCCAGGCGACTTGGATAGCATGGGCTAATAATCGATTGTGAGTAGATTCCCAAGAATACAGGATAGGGGTTCGAGGATGTACCATTTGGGTATGCTAGTAAGAGAGTTGTCACAGTCCAGATGACCCATCTACTTGCGCTCGCTGTATCGGCCACATTAAGATATATCAAGAAAGGCAGGATCCATAATTGTCCAATCATCGCGACGAAAGTGAGTTCCCCGAATATTTCAGCTGCGTATGTGTTTGCAAGCATCGTAAAGACTATATCGTGCAGTTAGCGGATTTATATCATTATAAAGGACACTTGGATTTTCTTACTGTGGATTACTGTATATGGAATGGATAATAGATTTGATGTGAAGGTGTCAAACTTCATCTGCCGGAGCGAGAGTGTCAAGTACTGCTGCTCTGGAACAGAGGGGATCTGAAAGGTAAGTCCGATGATGTACAGCGGCCAAAGATCGAAATCCTGGAGACATTTCCATAACAGCTTCGGAGTTATAGGCTGGCGATTGTGCATACCGCTCTTGCTCGGGTCTTCTCGAAGCACTCTATTCACGATGATAGTCTCTTCTCGGGGCGTAAACCAACCATTCTTTCCTCGAAACCAGCTAGCTGTCTGACAGGGGCCAGCCGGCATTAGGACGAATGAGAATAGCCCCACGATCAGAGTTATCAAGGCCTCCAGTAGGAACAACCAACGCCAGCCAGAATACCCGAGAACTCCTCTCATCTTCAGAAGACCGGCACCGATAAGCGCCGAGAGGATATCGGCGACACTCATCATAGTCCAGAAGAACCCAAGGCGAATGGTTAGTTCGTGGTGTTTGTAGAAGTATGAGAGGTATAGGATAACCTAGATAAACAGTCAGCATCAACTAAGTTAAAAGCTTCTGATATTGGCTACTCGCATCGGGGATAAACCCTCCCTGAATTATTCCTAGCAAAGCCCGCGTTGCCAAAAACGAGCTCCGACCCGAAAGCCAGAATTGCCCCCCGGCCGCGATAGACCACAGAACCATTTGACTCGGAATCCATCGATCGGGTCCCATCCACTTAGACACAAGCTGGGAGGGTAGTTCTGCAATCAAGAATGATAACTTGAACACGCTGTTTCCAAGATTGTAGTCTGACAACTCGTCAGCGCCATGGATATGAGTGTCACCTTACAGACTAGCCTTACCGTTCGTTGACAAATTAAGATCATTGAGAAAGTTGTCCGTCAGAGCTTGCGATATGTTCGCTCTATCCAACTCAAGCGCCATAAACATGACGCAGGCCCAGACCATAATCCTCCAGTCTATTTTCCGGACGATCGCATATTCCTCCGCCCACGTCCAACGTGCTTTCGGATCGAAACGGTGTACGTTTTCCCTATTTCCGGATGAGATTCCACAAGGTTTTTCAAATTCGATATGACGTACCAGTCATCGCGGGGTTGGTATTTCTCTACCGTCTGGGGATCGTCAAATACGCTGGGCTATGCACGTATATCTGTCAGTTATTCCTGTAGGCACTTCGTATGTTTGGTGTGAGATTATTACCTGTGTCGCGATCGCGTTGATGTCGAAGTCTTTGTTACGCTGGAACCAAAAGCGCTTCTCTTCCTTCGGTACTCCCAATGGCGGTATGCCGTCACTATCGAGCGAGATAGTTGACTCGGTAGGCGTCTTCTTGTCGCCAATATCTTGGGCGAGAACGGTTGCCATCTTGGCGCAGCATTCGCTTGGGAAGGTAGCTCTGGTCGATCTTATCGAAATAATCCCAGGATCTCGGGACTTACGCTTTATATACGCCTAGTAAGGGGCTAGGAGGAGGGAACCACGACGCCGGTGGAATGGTATCATTGATCATGATAATTAGCTATGTACTACCACCGGCCAGGGATCTAGCTCAAGGTCCCCGGGCGTGGGGGGTTCTAGGTCTGGACCCGGAAACTATTTTTTAAAGATCTCTAGCACGCTCAAATATATAGATCGAGACTTGTAACATGGCTGAATGGCGACTATGGTGTAATAGCTGATACGCACGCGCTAGCTTGGTCTAGAATAAGTCTCCTCGCCTTCAAAACAAGTTTCTCAAAGGCAAAAAGTTAAACAAGACTTATAACATGGGCTTCCTTATCTAGGATGTTGCCCCTCCTTACACGGGAGATGATGACATTTGATATGCAGTGATGGACATTGCAGAACGCCTTAGTATCACGGAGATAGCTCTCCATATTCGATACCACGGTCTCCAATGAAGCTATAGTATTTAAATCCTGCAGGTACAAATGGGTAGTGCAGCTGAGCATGTCACGTAGTTGATACATACAATTGAGTCTTTACCTGCGTATAAGTCGTCAACTACTAGGATTTGAAGCTTTAAACGCCAAGATATTTATTTATTAGCCAAGCAGTTTGTCATATTCAATTACAATAGCAACACTGCGTTAGAGAAAGTAAATGTTTAGGTAGAAAAGCAAAAATTCCAGAAAGTTATGTACGGTGTGTTCTACCGAGATTGATGATGACAATTGGAGATGGGATGTCGCGATGTGTCGCCATCGAGTCTTTTTCCGATTATCAGTTATTGCTCAACTCTGATTGGCTCTGTCGTGAACTGGTGTGTACCCATCCCAGCACCGAAAGGAATTCGGCAACCTGCTATCCTAGCATGATATTTCTGACAATGATGTTAAATCCGGCATATGTATCGCATTCATTAAGATTTTTCATACTTTAGGTGTTCATCAACGTCGACGGGGTACGCGATCAGTCATGATTTGGACCCACAACGATTTTCACACTATTGAAAACTTGACTCTTTAACTATTCACCAGGCAATTGCATATTAATATATTAGCAAATACCAATCTGTTTATAGTATTATAAAACCTACCTACGATAGTGATTATCCTAGATCCGGGCGCAATGGTTTGGTTTAGGCGAAATGATAAAATGGAAAAAGTTCGGAGTTACCAGAGATTATGATAACTTCGTATACCAGCACGAAAATAGGAGTAAGTTCCGGAATATATTTGGGATTTTGCAACGGTCCCACCCAACTCTGTCAATCAAGGAGGACGCCAGTTACTCTTGGGGAAAGTCTATTGACTTTAAATAGAGACTTAAATGGAAGGTCAAAGGTATAATTAAAACTATTCAGCCAGTTCATCCTAACCTACTTCGATAGCCAAGATTTCTAGGTACTAGACTTTCGATGAGCCATGGGGGGAACGTCTTAACGGGTAAAAGGTTACAATTGATAATAACTGCGAATTATTTCGGAGTATACAAGCATAACCCCAAGATTTTTACCTTGTGTCCTTGATATGCATAGGTTAGAGGGTAATCAGCCCTCGATGATGTCTATTGGAATGATAAGTATCGCGGTATTTGGGATGGATTTCGCAAGGTCTACTGAAACTGACCGGCCCGATCTCCAGATGAGAGTGCCCCCCCTTATAGGCTTCTAGAGGTAGTCCTTTTGCCATTTTTTAACCTCCGGGCTTCTGAGCTTTGGTGATAAGGTCGTAATTGAGGCGGGCGAAGGCGTAGCAAGATCCATCCGTGAGTGGTGGGTACGGGTTCGACACAAGGTACATGCTGGGTTATGGCAGTGGGTTTAGATGTTTGGCTTATTGATAACTAGGCAAACTGCGAATGAATCCTCAAATTTGCAGATGTTGTCAACTCTTCGAAGTCAACAGTTCATATCGGAATCAAGAATCTTTTCTTTTTCTTTTTGCTATTGAGGAAAACAGCAGTTTGTTTTTGACAATACAACAACGTTAAAAAATTGAATCCCTCCAAGTTTCAAGGTTCTATGAAAACCAAGTCTGAGAAAATTGACTGAATTTTTCATCTCATAGCAAACTAGTTACGTTTCTGAGTACCCAAGGTATACAACTGACTTAATAAGCACCTGGTCACATAGTTGGCTCTGTAATACGTTATCTTGTGTGATTTAACGTGATTAGGTGGCTTTTCTCGTAAAAGATTCTCCTAATTGTGAAATATGAAATATCAATATGCAAGTCATAATATCACGGCGATTGACAGTAACTCTGTTTTTGTCATAGATGAACTTGATACTATAGAATCATTAACAGTAGGTTTGTTGCAAGTAGAAAAATTTAAGGCATTTGGTAACCTCGTTTTCGAAAACAAGGTTACGGTTACCAAGGCGGAACATTATGTGAAAGATAAATGGTGAATATGCTATGTGTGGTTTTGGATGAGCAAATTCGAGTCACTGTAGATTGTTACGCCTTGGTGGTGAGTAGTGAATCAGCAACTGAAAAATCATTCAATTCATTCAAAAGGCGAACCTACTCGTAATTTAAACAAGTCATAAGTAAACCTTGTACTTGATACTATCATCCGTCTGGTATTGCAACGCAGCATCTATTTAAATCGGCCCACACCAGATATTTCTACCTCCTATAAACATACACTTTCTCGAACCAAACCATCTACACACCCTACTTATTTCCCTAATAAGTTGCGGATCGTCAAGGCAAATCAACACAAAACCAACTTCAACCTCTGTAGTTTCCACCATGGATAAGATTCACCCGTTGCCCGACATCGTCATTATAGATGAAGAGGATCTCGATGAACTAGTTAGAGCGATTTTAAACCTCCAGAGAGACCTTATGACCTACCCCGACAATCTCGGTCTATTATCCTCGAGGGAAGAAGAGGCCATTGATAAGCATCTTGACTATATTCTACTTGCACACGTTTCTCTATGGACGCCAAAACGCAGGAAGAGAAAAAGGCCGACCCCAACAGCAACCGTTTGCAAAAAATCAAGTTAGCCCGTGACACGTTGAGGGTCATAGAACTACATTTCGAAATAGTCATAGGTTGTAATGATAGGGTGAAAGCTACGCTTGGTAAATGAAGCGAACGAATAACGAGAAGTGGCTACCTTTTATTCTTACAAACCTGTTGTTATTCGAAGGGGTCGGATCTTGGATAGCTCATGGTTTTATTTAATCTAAAAAACGTTAAATACTAGGCCAACCGAAATCCTCCTCGATGGAATAAAAGCCGAGAGTTGATTAAACTAGACCTCGCCATTATCATCAAATGACCTTACCGTGCGCATGTCGTCGATGTCTCGAGAAACCTGGTCGCCGGACCAATCTTCCTACCGCCTTTCATGTCCGTTAGCCTAAGCGTCTCCGTTCCCTCAGTAGTTCTCGAAGCATTCGGGTACGAGCCAGAGCTGTCTGAATTTCCACCTTTCTTTTTTACAAACCCTAAGAACCGGCCAGAGAGTAGGTATTGTACCAACGATAATTATGACATGCATCTGAAACACATTAGTATGATATAAAATAGAACCTAGCACCATCGTTCAGGGGCTTTCTCCGTACCTCGCAGCTATTCCAAGTCAGTTAGATCCTCAAACGAAGACTCGGCTTTCAGAACTTACAGGTACCATATGGCGATGCTGCTCCAAGACCATGTTATGTCTCTATGATTGCCTAGATTATGGGAACGCATAAAATAGATCTTAGCAATAGTAGCTCCGGCAGCACTGCATACCGTTTAGTAAACTTAAGCAAGTAGAAAGTTATCAGAGGTATCTACAATATGCTACCCCCCATCAAGCAGCTGAGGCCTATCTTCATCTTGCGGTGAATGTTGAGTTGAGTTATTATAAGCGACGGGAAAACGGCTAGGAGGACATCCATGAATGCTGTATATGCCGACGGGATAATACCGCTATAAGAGCTTGACGATGATTTAGTGAGGAGCTATTCTTATCGATGAATTAACACTACGTACTGGAGTACGGGACTTATACAGCTCCCTTCAACTTCAGGCCTCCATTGTTTCTCGATAGGGATGCAGAAACGGAGGAGGACGACTATTGCGATAAAGTTTCCGATAACTAAGATGGTACCTAACGTCCAGAGGCAGGCTAGATGTAGTCGCGTAGCGGTAACTCCAATTAATCGAGTTAGAAATATTAAGATAGAGATCTTGCTAAGCGTCGACGATACGAGAGAAAATGAAGGTGCTATAATGGTATATTTTATTGCCATCTCTCTGTTGCGAGGATCGGTGATAGTGTCGATGTGCCTGCCGAGTCCGTAATGAACAGCGATCGTAACGAATATCGAGCAGATGATCGCGAATACCTATTTTAGACCGCAGTTAGGCTTGCCACATAGCTCAGATGATAAAAACGTACGGCAGATAAAGTCATGAAGATATCATCCCAGCTAGCTCGGTCCATTATCACTGAGAGAATTTAAGATTAACGAATGTCCTCTTAATGTTGACAGATCTGATGGATTGGACGAAAGATCGAATCGTAGGCACGTCGAAGGTAACCAAACAGACGTATTTTGACGCCCAACTTACTTTTTCTGGTCCAAAGTCTTGCAGCACATAAAATAATAACCAATGATCCGAGACCCCAGGCCAGGGCAATCAGTATGACTGAGTTACCATTTTCGGCCATTCCTTCATTTCCTTTATCAAGGCAATATAGGTGACCAGTTGGAGTTATGATAAGTATTGAGGGAAGGAAATGGTAGTAAATGAAGGCTTTGCTAGCTACCCTCAAAGGTTATTATGAAATAGGAAATAGGGTTAGAAAGTGACGTAGGATATAGGATATATATTTCCTTAATTAAAGCCATGTGATCTTTTATGTATGAGCCCCGTCAGTAAGGCCTTGGAATCATTAGCTAGGATAACTTAGCAAGTCCCCGCCCCCCAATTATTCCCAGTTCACGCCTCACTACGGTCACATACTATATTAGAGCTGAGTCCCTACCTCTCAATCCGTGCTATACAGTATCCTGATAAGTTGACCCGTTTACCCAGAAGAGTCGTACCGCACGAAAGGGGGCATCGCATGAAAGGGAGTATCATCTAATATAAGTACCTGTCAAGATCTAGTAATAATTGACGTATCTGTAACTTTATCTACTTTTCACTAAACTCTATGTGAGATGAGTATTGAAGACGTTACTGAAAAAGATTATGTGGATATTATTTAAAACGTAGTAGTAACCTTGTACCCAGATGACGATAGTCGTGCTTCAGTATGACGATAAAATCGAAGGTCTTCACTCTTCTAGACTCGTACGGCGAGATACTACATAGGTATGTTAGGGAGTACATCCTAGGATGACATGACAAGGTTATCCTGAGATACCAACGACGCCGGAACGATTCTCTCTATCCTTCTTTTGCTTTTCTAGCCTCGATTAGGGAGTACATAACATGGTGAGGCTATCCTAGATTATCACAGTAGCGTTGGATTCACGACCGCTTTATTAGCGGAAAGCTTATTTGTGTGGGACTTGGGCAAGGAATTAGTTCAGAGACCGCTCCAGAAAAGTATACTATCACTGAGGCTACCTAGAAGACTACCCAGAGGGCTACTAGAGGATTATGAGATAGAGGGGCTTTGTATAACCTCAAGAGTGAAGCCATGTTAAAGGGGGATCTATCACGATATAATAGAGGTACACCATAAGGTAGACGTTAGACATTAGTCCTATATAAGGATGTTATTCCGCCCCTTATTCTTGGAAAGTATTGGTCAACATTGCTAATAACTACATTAGTTAGATGATCCCCCGTCTCCCACTCTACACGGGACCCTATAATCTTTCCCAAACCAAAAACATATACGATTTGGTTACAGCTGATTCCTCACACCTGTGATAGGCTCATATCACGTGTCACGAAATCTCTATCGAGGATGATCGTTCTAATAGTATAGGGGCAGATTCGCTTCTACCGAGTCGTTGTAAATCTACGCCGCTTACATACCTCATGAAGACAACCCCCCTTTAAGTAACGAGTATTGCGCACAAGGTAGGATTGGTGAATGAGACTGAAAATAGACTCTTAAGAGAACAGCACTAACGTCTGCCATGGTCAGGTTAAGGAATTTCCCTCGGTCATATCCGTCTAATTTAAATACAAAGTGTGATTTTAGCACAACATTGGTAGGAGTACGCAACCCGAGAGATCCTTCAATTTATAGACCATCATTTCAACGACAACCCTCTAACATTTTCTTTTCCATTAACCTCTCCTAGGACCAAATGCAACAACTGTCTCGGAATTGCATCTTGTCATCAATATGCTTCCAGAATCTGAGAGGCTCGAAGCCCTCGAAATTGCTTCCGCGATCACCAAGACGCTATCAGGAAAGCCAGGATCAGATCTCTCTGAATCATCACGAGTGCAAGCTTTAGAAGCGATACGGAAGCTTCAGAACACCCTAGAAAAACCGGAAGATGGAATGTTGAAAGTCGCATTCGCTGTAAGATTGATCCTTGCAAATTTAAGCTCAAAGGTAATCTAATTCGCCACAGCCCATGATCTGGATGTGCATTCGGACTTGTCTTGAGCTGAACGTATTTCGTATGCTCGAAAGACAGGACGTAGTGTCGGCAGAGACGATCGCCAAAGAGAGCGGTGCTGATGAAATATTGATCCGTAGGTAGCGTAGAAACTCTTGTCTGCGTATGTTAACCATAAGACAGGACGACTTCTACGCATACTGACGGCATCAGGCTACGTCTCTGAGAAAGGCAACGGCCTATACGGATCAACTAAATGGTCAAGTCACCTAAGTCGACGAACTAGCGAAGGGATGGTAAAACACTTGTAAGTGAAATCTTATAAAAATTAGTATAACTAGATTTCTTTCTGATGGTTAAAAAGATTCGATTTATGTGCACCAGCCACTATCGAAGCACCCAATTGGTTCAAGAGGGCAGGATATCAACTCCCTACCGATCCGGCGAAGGGAATTCTCCAAACGACCCACGGCTTTGAAGAGCCTCTCTTCATTTGGTTTACGAAGCCGGAGGCTAAAGAAGCATGGGATAACGCAAACACCTTTTTCGAAGCCGATCGAGGCAGCAGCCCATCTTGGGTTTCTTGGTTCCCCGTGAAGGAGAAGTTACTCAAGGGTTATAACAAAGATCTGCCCGTGCTTGTGGACATTGGCGGCGGTCGCGGGCATGACATTGTAGAATTCTCCGAGAGGTTTCCAGACGTGGAGGGAGACCTTATCCTACAAGATCAGCAACTTGTACTTGATAGCCCTGTCGCTGACTTACCCGCCACGGTTAAGAAATACCCCATCGACTTCTTCAAAGAACCGCCTGTAAAAGGTAAAGTTGTTACGACCCATCTCAATAGACCCCAGGGGCTACATTACTAATTAAACTAGGCGCCCGAATCTACTATATGAAGTATGTCTTACATGACTGGCAAGACGATGCATGCCTTCAAATATTGAAAAATGTCTCGGCTGCCATGACGAAAGGTTATTCGTATCTTGTCATCAACGATATGATTCTACCCGAAGAAGGTTGTCCTCTTTTTCCGGCACTATGGGATGTTTTGATATTTATTGTCCTTTCATCTCAAGAAAGGGTAGTGAGTCAATGGAATGACCTCTTGCCTGCTGCCGGATTAGCTGTCGAAGGTTTGTACCAACCCCCGGGGGAAGGACTGGGTATCATCGTGGCCACGCTCAAATAAAGTGTATAAAACAGTCGGCAAGGAGTAATAAACCTATTGCAATGAACCTATAGTTAATGTGACTTGGTCAAGGTGCTGGGGTTTGCATATGGTAGATTTAGGTATACGATCACGGGTATATTCATCATTCATGCCAACTACAAGTCTCAAACTAAGAATTAGCACGCGTAATCATGAACTTAGGTTAGCATACCCCGTCGGGAATACCGTCGGAAGTATATTTAAACCTAGAGTAACTTCAGCTATCTTCATACAGCCGTAGCACCTCAATAGCGTTACCCCCCATAACCGCTCTCCCGCGGTCGGTCGCATCCCTAAGGCTTTCCTCACAGCCTCCGCGTTCCAAGTCACGCTCTCCCATTCGCCCTGCTCGTCGCTATTTAGCGGTGGAAAGAATGGATGGTCCGTGCCGAACATCAGTCTATCGGTCCCGCTAGCGTCGATCGCTGCTTTTAGCCCAACCTCAGAGTACACAACAGCATCTAGGTAGATCTGCTCCCGAAGGATCTGCCATATCGTCCGTCGGCCAGGCCCGCCTTGCCCTCCTGGACTAAATGACCATCGTGGACGATACAGCTTTCGATGCGGCCCGCTAAGAAAGGTAGCGTTCCGCCGCTATGCGCTAGTATCAAGCGCAACTCCGGCACTTGATCAAATACGCCTGCAAGGTACATCCTCGCCACCGCGATCGTCGTCTCCATGGGAAACCCTAGGGCCAGCGGAAGTACATGACCGTATTCTTCAGTAGCGGGGACCCCACACTTCGCTCGGCAGGCCATAATGCGGGTGTAGGAATATGGTCAGCTTGTTAGCGGCGAGCGCGGAGAAGACCGGCACTAAGGCCGGATCATCGAGTCCTTTTCCGAGCCCCGACGTTCCCAGAATCACCCCTCGGCAGTACTTCAGGCTGCGGATGTGTCCTATAGCTGCAAGAAGAGTTTCGGGAGGGGCAGTCAGCGGCAGAGTTGCGAAAAAGAACAGCCGGCCCGGAGTCGCGGCGCACATATCGGAAAATTCCTGGTTGATGGACTTGGCAGCAGTTTCTCCCCGTCCTCGGTAGCGACAAAGTCGAGCCATGGATTCGCAAGCGAGATGACCGAGATGTCAATTTTATGCGTGTCCATAAAATGAATCTTTTGACTAAGGGAGGAATAATGCGTCGTCACCGGTCGGCCGGGAAGGTGAGATGACGTCTTCTCCGGATTTTCCGATGTAATCTTGTCAAGCGATTCCGCTTCGGCGGGTAAGATGATGAGGCGGGGCTCCTTTGCGCCGGCGAACTTCCGGATTAGGGGTATGCTGTTTCGGGATTCCAGGAGTTGTACATATGCCGGGGGATACATATGAGTGTGGATATCCACTATCCTGTGTGTCGATGAGCTCATCGTAGCAATTTTACCACTGGACAAGTTGAGTTAAGAATAAGTATGTGATATGAGTACTTCTCAAGATGATGTGAGACTAAGATATGTGAACAATATTCCGACTTTGTAAAGTAACTCGAGTGAAATTTTGAAGCTTATCTCGAATCAGTAATAGAGATCTAGCCCATATGTCTAGGTAGTCTTCAAATCTTGGCCGATGCGAATCTCATGAATGATACCCCACATTTGGCACATTTGGCAGGTGATATTTGAAGGTGTCCACTCGAGCTATCTGGAATACATCACACCCCCTCTCTGGATTCTTATCTTATGCATGATCTATAGGGCAATCGCTTATCTACGCCGCGGGGTTTGTAGATATAGTTACGAACAGATGGAGAGTGATTGTTCTTACCTGATACCTCTTAATATAATTAGTCAAGTAATTGTGAACTTACTAGGTTCGAATAAATATCGAATGGTTTTCATCCTCTTCTAGTTTAGATTCCGTGTTCAGATGCAGTGATAATTTGATAAGATAGGTATTGTGCTCCGGATGAAAGATAAAATTCTTGCTTTAGAATACCGTCTCGCAAAGAAGTTAGAGAGTTTCGCTTTTCGTCGGATGTAGCCGAATTTCGTGGGTTCGTGTGCTTAGATAAAAAACAAGTTATCCTAGCTCGGTGTCACTTTGCCATGTGTACTTGTTGTAAGGATGTGTCTTTCTTCCTCATCGACTCGTCTTACTCTTTTTTCGATAAACCTATCCTCATCAACCTACCTAAGTTGACGTATACCAATTCTAAAGGCAAAGTGACAAGCGATCTTTAACATTTTCCAATTGAAAGAAGCAATGGAGGAAGCAGCTGTCAGAAGCGATGGCTTGTTCATCCCGGTAGGTTTCAGACTTGCACATGTAAAGCGCCTCGAGGACATATAGCTGAGCACTGTAAATCTTAGCTTATCGACTTTTCCCAATTTCTGAACGGTAACCCGGAACAGAGGAAGCAGACTGCCGATGCTATTCTTCGCGGGTTTCAAACATCCGGATTTATCTATCTGAAGGGTCTGCCCGTCAAGCCAGAGTACCGGAAGCACGTATTTGATACGTCGGCCAAGTACTTCAGGCTTCCCGTCGAGACCAAGATGTCTCACTGCTGGACCACACCCGAGGCGAACCGGGGTTACTCGGCGCCAGGCAGAGAGAAGAACACGGACCTGACGGACACGGACGCCATTAAGAAGTTGAGGGATGCAGTACCCGACCTAAAGGAAAGCCTAGAAATCGGGCGCGACGACGAGCCCGGTCACGCGAATCATTGGCCCGACGAAGAAGGCGAGCTGGTAGGCTTCAAGGAGACGATGCTCGACTTCCATAACAAGTGCAAAGAATTGCACATCGAAGTTATGCGCGCCATCGCTGTCGGCCTAGGTATCGAAGAATCATGGTTCGACAAGTACACCGACGTCGGGGATAATACCCTGAGGCTCCTTCACTACCCCGAAGTTAAGAGAGACGTGTTTAAAATTAATCCGGGACAGGTCCGCACCGGCGCGCACAGCGATTACGGCTCTATCACTTTGCTATTCCAGGATTCCCAGGGCGGTCTGCAGGTACAGAGTCCGACGGGTTCCTTTGTCGACGCGGCGCCCATCGAGGACACCTGCGTGGTAAACGCTGGCGATTTGCTAGCAAGGTGGAGCAACGATAATATCAAGTACCATTCATCGCGTCGTAGAACCCCCATCCCGTCGAGACGACATTTATCCGGCTAGATATAGTATAGCGTACGTACACGTGGAGTCTTGTCAAGCGTCCAAGTACGTGGCTAACAAAGTTTTTTACAGATACTTCTGCAATCCTAATTTCAAGGACTACATCGAGGCTATCCCTAACACTTACGCTACGGAGCAGGATAAAAATACGAGGGAATAAATAGCGGCCAGTATCTTGTCCAGAGGTTGACGGCTACTTATTAGTTAACGTGATTCGATTCGGAAGTTTCCAAGGTGATATCTCGTGCAGTTGCTTTATCTGACTGTCGTGGACGTCGGATATTGGATCGTAGGACATTTCTTTATTCGGCAATGGATCCTATCCTATCTGTAGCTTATCTGGAGGCTTCGAATTGGACGAACCAATTTTATGATTTTAAAGGTTGAGAATTGAAACTTTGGATTCCGTGATGCGCATGTGACTAAAGAGAACGGAACATTTTAAGAGGTCTAAATGATATGCTGGGGAATTGATAAGCGAAAAAAAAGCTCTCTATTAGGTGGGATTTACCTGCTGAAGAAACGTCATTTTGGAGCGAAGAACCGCCGGGGAATAGTAGAGCCCCACTGTAGCGTAGGACCCTCAGCGCCGATCCAACAGCCCCAAGCAAACTCAGCTAGGTACCCTACCTCCTAAGGTATCATGCGTTACGTGCCTACCTCCTTGCCGAGTCTGAAACTTCCCAACTTTTTTTTATCTTCCACTCAAATCTCTCTTTCGTACCCTCCTTTCGATGGGGACTCAAGATGAAGAAGACGTTGCTGTTGTGTTTTATTCACGGTTTCAAGGTGAGTCGTCGAAAATTTGCTTCTCTCCCATCCTAGTTACTTTCTAGGCAATGCCGTCTTTCTAACTGGATAATTCGATAATAGGGGGGTGACGACACCTTTGGCGAAAAGTCCGAGTTCGCCCAGCATCTCGCTGCTATCGTAGGTGCCGCGCTACCTAAAGTCTCGGTACGCGCTATCACATACCCTCAATATGAGACCCGCGGCGACTTACACGAGTGCGTCGCCCGCTTCCGCGACTGGTTGCTTAACAAGGTGATCGATATCGAGGTCGCCACCGGAACGCCTTCTCCAACCGTCGACCCTTCGGTTCGTACGATCCTAATCGGACATTCCATGGGTGGTATCGTCGCCGCCGAGACTGCCATCGGCCTCGCTTCCGAGGTACCCGTTACCCATACCAATAAAGCCAGTCATCGCGACAGCCTTACCGTTTTAGTCGGCGAGTCTCTAGGTCCTACGAGTCTCATGTTCCCCTACATCCAAGGAGTTCTCGCCTTTGACACTCCTTACCTCGGAATTTCTCCAGGAGTTGTTGCCCACGGTGCCGAGGGCCACTATAACAGCGTGAACGGCGCCTTGACCCAACTGAACGGACTATCCAGCATCTTCTGGAACAACTATAACCAAGCATCCGGAAATACCGGAGGCGCCAGCAAGAAGCCTACTGGTGCTCTACCCGCTCCCGAATCACCTCAGGACAAGAACAAGAAGCAGGGCGGAGGAGGATGGGGGTGGGGCCAGATCGCGGTGGTGGCCGGAGCGGCGGGGGTGCTCTGGCAGCTGGTGGTGCGGCGGCATATATGAACCGGGAGCATCTCACCTCGGGGTGGTCGTGGGTCAGTTCACATCTCGAATTTGTAGGATGTCTGGCTCGAGGTACAGAACTACGGGAGCGAGTAACGAAGTGGTAAAGTTGGATCAGGAAATGGGCATCGGCTTTGCGAACCTATAACGCGACTTGGAAAAGCCGCATCTGCGAAGGAGGTTAGCATGGTTGGAACCGTGATGGGTAACGAGCGTACTTTCTGCAATCTGCCTTCGCGCGACAAGCGAACAATGGGCCTGTGGAGGAAGCTATAAACGATAAGGCGAAGGACGAGATAGGGGCACATATGGGTAAGTCTTCTTGTTTGTCATTCCGTAGTAATTTGAATAGCTTAAGTGGGTACTGACGTTAGTATGCAGCAATGTTTGAGCCCAAGGAAAACCCCGGGTATCGCAAGTTATCGGATGACGCAAAGAACTTGATAGTACGCTGGTCTCGCAACGAATGGTATGAGACGAGCGGCGACATGCAATTGAATAGACAAGAATCGCTAAGCGGGGCGTGCAAGCTATTGTTTATAGGTGATTTTGTTTATACTTCTACATATATATTACCCTAAACCAATTACGTGGATCTTCATGAATATATTTATCTCTCCTACCAGGGTTTTGCAACTCGTTCCTTTCATTACGGTATTAGCGGTCATATGCGAATTCTACTTCGTGACCTTCTTTTGTGTCTTGGTCCCGAAAATCTTTCGTCTCTGAGCCATCATGTGCGTATACAAGAAATACGCAGCTAGAGGTATCATGTTAGCGTCTATTGTTCGGCAAAGCTAAGGGTACTCTACTTACACGGTGGGTAAACCAACGCGACGTATCCAAAAAGTACGGTTGAGTATAGCGGGCTTACACCGTCCTTGGCAGGCTCAACGGCGCGCCAGATCAGGTAAGCTTCGCTGGAAATACCTATAGGATACAGAATAAAGAAAGTATGGTAGCGCAGCCAGTGCAGTATCGAAGGTGGTTGCCCGCCCGACGAGAGCGATAATGCGAAGAACGAATATCGGATGACTTCGGTAACACCCCATGCTACTAGCATCGATGAGTACGCTAAGCTGCTGTAACCGTCACCGTTACCGCTTCCGAGGGCGAGCTCGGGGAATAATCCGGTAATCCCCCACACGATCGCGTATCTGCTGAAGACTTGCATGAAGGTTGTAAAGAACGGGGCGCGCACGACACCTATCAGCAATTAAGATGTTAGCTTTCTGGTCCATCCGAGAATTCAACTTTCCATAGGCTAGGATCTAATATAGAAACCCTCCTCTCCCTCCAATCATACGAACACAGTCTGTATACATAGAAAAGAGTAGCTGTGAATCCGAGATAACGTACCTAGTAGCGAGTGTAAAATCTCCATTCCAGCCAACGTCTGCGTCCACTTGCAAAACTCGCCAACAGTAGGGTAGACCGCCTGTGGAGTGCTATTCAGATTGACGATGACGACGCGGCTTAACACGGTGAGCCAGAGAGCGGCCGACACGGCATTATAGAGGATAAGATAACCATTCTTGATAGGTGAAGATTTCTTAACGGGCTTCTTAGTATCGGCCATTTTGCTTGTCGGTGCTCAATGGCTGTGGGAGACGGAGTGGTGAAGTTGGCAAGATAGGTAGTAAAGTATTGTAAATTTCGTGGGGAAAAAAGAGCTACGTATGTGCTTCCCTTGCTAGCTATAAGTGGGGCGAGAGCTAAGGATAGCCACTACGCGCGTAGCTTTGAATTTATTGGTAGTGTCCTCGATATGCTTTCTTCAATTACTCGGCCTGTCATAGAGATCGATTTTCTGTTATTAAATAATCTAGCAGAACAAATTCTACCTTTTAAACTTAGGTATGTTTGGTGAACTCCGATCAGTTGAGTCCAATTCAAACTTCTTTCCTCATAAGAAAAGGAGAGATAGAATGACAAAATCCAGAGATGATTAATACATCTTCAGTATCACATTAAATAGATCACATTTAATCATCCGTCAGATCAATAACTTCCTCTGGTATCTTCAGCGCGATTCGAGATAACTTTACGGGCCGCTTAACCTTGTCGCTCAAGTCGATGACTTCTTTGAATTCCCTTTTCAAAGTAGGCTTGCGCTCTTCCTTAATATTATCATCTCCCTAAACTTGGTTAGTAGGTAGACAGGGTAGCCAATCAGTATAGCTACGTACCTGCAACTGGACGAGTCGCTCTCCAGCTAACCGTTCTAGTTCAGCCCGCGACATTCGAGCGACTTCCCGCTTCGGCCCTGGGCTTGGCGATGGGGATCGAGGGATGACCATCTCGCGTTTTAGAGCATCTGGGATATTAGTATACGCAACTTTGAATATAATTACCGCCTGTTCTTCATACCTCTAGATCTATAATGGAATCGAAATATTGCAATTGGCTTATTAGGCCCGTCGATATATTTTTTATTACTCGACCTGGGAGCCCGTATACTTTCCCCTGATGACGAAAATCTTTATCAATTTATTATTAGCATAAGCTTCCTATACAAAGTATTGGGCCGAAAAGACGTACGAGGTTCCATGCGATATAGCTTTACCCTTAAGTGACTTCTCTGCGAGCTCCAGTTTATCGCTTGTGATGGGCTTCATGGGTGGGCATAAAAAAGATCCCAAATAAATACACCGATAAACTTTAACCTGAATCGTCCCGAGGTGCTTAGCTATCTTAATGTCATCTTCGATTCGATCCTTTTTCGCGTCGTCAACTTGATATTCTGTTAGCTCGCCGTTTCAGTATGGACAATTATATGAAGCATACCGACGTCAACGGCAGAGAACTGAAATCTTTGACGAAACCATCCCTTGGTACGAGTGCAATACATGCTGTGGCCTTTCACAATAACTTCTATTGCGACATCATTACCTATTTCCTCCTTTCTTATAACACAGCCCGTAATATCTTTACCGTCCACGTAAAATCTCCACATAAGAGCATCACACCGGTGGCTCCATTGGTAATCTCTAGTAACTCGTATCTTAATGGTAAACTTAGCCCCATCGATGCATTCGATATACTTAGTTGAAGTGGGACAAATCGCGTTTGTAGTATCTTGCTCCGACGCGTTGGGATCCTCGTACTCGGTAGCATCACTACCAGCAACCTGAACAACAGCTTCGATACCCGGAACATCCTCGAGGACGGCCATGTCGAGGCCCGTTCAGCTTTGATTTCCCTAGAATAAAGACTTGGAGTGTATGAATTGATTCAGTATAACTAGTTAGATTTGATACAAGTTAGGGGGTGGTAGAGAATCAATTAACCATGCATAGTACACAAAATAATGGCGTACCGCGATCGCACGGATAACATGCACTCTCGCACTTACCTCTATATAACCCGTGCCCAGATGCGAAGCACACTTATCAGGTACCTAGGTATATGAATATTTATTTTATTTCGTTGATACACGCACTTACCAACTCTGAATCTCTGAAAATGAAAGGTAAGGACTACCTGGTATAGGGATTCAATACTGTTACCTAACTTTATAATATACCTAGGTACCTACCTAAACTATCCGAAATAGCCCCACAGTAAAGTCAATTAGGTACCAATCAAATATGTATTTGTATCTGTTGCCTTTAGACTACTTCGTATGAAGTACATAAGTCTCAAATCTTAAACATTGACCTTTTAACTCCTTGTTATAGGTATTCTCTCTCCGATCGTATAGGTATGTATCTATCAGCTTTCTTTTAAGCTTCATCAGAAATCTCCATCCTCTCCTGATCAAGGAAATCGCGAAACAAGGCTAGATTTTCAAATTCTTCCGCCAAGTTCTCTGCCCTGGCCTGTTCGGGGTGTTTCAGTGCCAGATCCAGATCAACCATAAATGTAGCACGGGATTTATGTTCAAAATCTTCTCTTACACCATGTAGCCTTCCCTCTTTGAGTTCGTTGACTATTCTTTGCGCCTCGCTCCCTGACATGTCCGTCTCCTTTAGGGTCATGGACAATAAGCCTTGGACGATGACCTCGGAGATGCGGAACGGACGACTGAGACTTTCGTAGCCGTATAAGCAGAGCATCAGGTAGAGGTGCCGATCCGGGTCGCTCGTATCTTTCAGCATGGCGTTCGCTAGGTAAAGGAGTCCGGTATGCCAGAGGATCGAGCAGGTAGATTCCACAAACTTGCTACGATACTCGACGATAAGATTCTTAAGTTGACCGACCGACGCGGCGCAGGCCGCATCCGGAGAGCTATCAGACGCTGAGAAGGTCGTCAAACGTGGTCGTTCACCTTCTGATTTCCTGACGAAGGGTCGGAACACGTCTAGTATAGCGCAGTGAAGCCATATGCTATTCCTAGTTAGCAACGAACAAAACTCGAACAAAACTCGAACATGTAATTCTCTCGGGATACTCACTAAAGTAGAATAACATGATGGGTCTGGGCATCTGTTCGAATCAATGGTAAAGGCAGGGCTTCCGCCCAAGCGATTAGTTCACGAAACTTGTTTTCGGCGAGAGCCATCCTAAAGATATCAGGCGGGCGGTCTTCGGTTGAGGTATATATCCACGCGGCTCCATGGATTATCTGCCAAAAATGACAGAGCGCGGGGAAAATCATCTCTAGGAGGCCCTCGTCAGCCTGCAAATTCTCATTCATATCATCCTCTTGGTGTATAGGCGTCCTCTCGCCTGGTATGGGTAGTAAGGGAGCCGAGCTTGGGCTCTCGGCGCCCGGCTGCCGGTAAAACAGCGATACAAGTCTAGCATGTCAACACGCGTCAAGTCAACGAAGGCTATTTTCGTCGAACCATTTCACTTACACATTCCAATTGAATGTTCCCCATGCCGCGTAGCAGCGTGCCGTCTTATCCTCTTTCGACATATTCTCGTTTGATTGTGCTGGTCCTCTTTCGTCACCGCCGAAGAGCCCTAAATTCTGCCCTATTTGCATCGCTTCCTTTGCATAGAAGAGAATTGAGTGATCCTTACTATTTCCTATGAGAGATATGCTGAGCAATATAGCGCCCGCCATGGATGAATACGAGTCTGGCTCTTCTTTCCGCGCCTTTTGAGCTTCGTGGAGGAACTCGTCAGCAAACTGCATCGCATCCTTGTCAAAGGCGCTGTACATTTGCTGCGGCTTGTAAGCCTCGCTCGCGACTTTTTCAGAATCCTTTTCATACTTACACATCCCAGATACATTAACGCATGAAAAAGAAACCTCGAACAGAATCTATGTTGCCGATTAACCAGATCTGTGATAAAGAGGTACGGACTGAAAAGGCCTAAGATCGGGTGGTCAGTTTTGATGTAGAGAGAGATGACCTGCGCCGTAAACTCGTTGGTCACCATCACATTGGTCCAGAAATCGACCTGCAAATTATGAAGTCGTTCGTCGCAATAGCCGACTCCTCGTCTAGGACTTACGGGAGGAGGAAAGCGTCTGCCTTCCGAAGCAGCGTTGGCGGAAAATGAAGGGTTCCTACGATTCGGTAGATTAGCATCACGCGTCCTAACCGAGTTCCGATCGTTACGACGGTCGACTCACACCGGGTTAGCCTCTATAGATCGTTTCATAGGGCGTAAGAGATCACTCTTAGCCAAGACACGCGCGTCGATACGACGCAAGGGAAGAAACGACTTGGAATTATTGGCCATCAGCTCCAATTCGAGCATGTTTCGAGGAGTTAGTCCTCGGGCTTCCACATCTAAGAACGTAGACTGTCCCTCCGCGTCACCCTCTCTCAACATCGACAAGACAGCCGCCGGGTCCCCTTTATCTCGAAGCGAATTTAAGAGCCCGAACGCTTCGATCATAGGCAACGATTTTAGGAGCTCAAGCAGCTCCATCACCTCGGGTCCGGCTTTAACTTTATCAATGTAGACGCAAAATTTCACGGCTCGTCTCTCGCAATTAGTACACTTCGGTCGCACGCCATCGCACTGTACCCAGTTAACTAGAGCGATGCGGGACGGGTTGGATAAAAGCGTCAATCAAACTGCTTGCCTTGATCTTACGGCGTCTACATGTAGTGCAGGCACCAGGTCTTTGCCGTCGCGTACTTAGGCTAGGACCCGGGTCGGGATTCAACGGCTCATCCTCTTCCGGCAGAGGAACCGACGGGAGGATTGGCGGGTACCTTCTCGGCTGCATTGTTATAAAATGTGTAGGTGGTGGAGGAGTTTTTGGTCACTTAGCGCGTAGCGTTTGCAAACGTCATGATGACGATTAAAGCTAATTACTGAAATTTCCGTATATAGTAGTATAGTAGGTAGCTCATATATATATGCAAGTATTGATAGCGATAGAGATAAATACCCCACGTGATAGTCAGTTAATACTACTCCAATAACATGGCCAAGGTGAGGGACCAGAGGGCCACCCCCGCGTACATGTATCCATGATTCCTACATGTACCACTTAGGTAGCGTCTCTTCAGTGTTTAGGTATCTTTCAGGGCGTTTGGTGCTTTTAACTAAAAAGTCTAATTGGCTCAAACGATAAAGGCCCCTTTACTATAGCACCTAGACATCGAAAACTCTTCTACTCTCGCCAACCGTATTCCCCTATTCGCTATAATAATGGCAAATTGTCATAGGCGTAGGTACATGCAATTAATGCGAGATACGGGAACGACCAATGGGAGCTGAAATCGACGTTGTCAATTTCTCGGGCACTCCTAACGTAATCTCCCAATGTCACACACGGTGGCACGCTGTCGAGGATTCGACGGCATTGACAGCAGTGTTATTGCGGAAGCCAAGGGCTTCATTCGTCGTAACATATCATTAACAGGCGAGAAATACATGCGGACTCTCCACCGAGAAAGGCAGGTTTGTTTATGGAAAAGTCTAACCTGAAGACTTCAGCGGCTAAGAGAGCTGCAACTCAGCCACCATGTAAACGCGTCACCGCCCATCGAAGATTCGCCCAGATTAGTACGGTAACTATAGGTTAACTACCTAACATATGCAAAACGCTAAGAAAGCAGCCATCGTTAAACATGTCCGAATACGAGCCGCAGACTAAAGAGCAACGTTCCGTAAGATCCCGTCTTGGCGTAGGTTTCATCTCCGCCTCACGACGTCCACTGAACCTCGAAAGTCTTGAAATCGACCTTGAGCGAGCCGGTCGCGTTTTTCTCCGGCCGAGCCACCAGCGGGCTTACGTCTAGAAGCCATTCCTCGCCGCCGGCCTCGTCCTCGTCCGCGAGCACCCAGCAGATCTCCCGCAGGGGAATCTTCTCGACGACGCCGCCGTTCGCGTCCAGCACGAGCCGGTACACCCAGAAGCTCTTGCCGTGCTCGTCGCCCTCGCGCGCGATCTCGATGGTGACCCCGCCTACCTTCGCGGGATCGGGCTCTCCTTCCGAGAGCGTCAGGGGCGCCACGCTCCAGTCCGCAAAGCGGTCGGTGCTTACGGTGCTCAGCTGCGGCCGCCCAACGTAGTACTCGACGCCCGTCTTGATCCATTTCTCGGGCGGAGAGATGTGGGCGGACGAGCGCCGCTTGGGTACGAGGAGCAGACCTCCTTGGTCGTACCGCTCTGTCCAGTCAGCCCAGAAGGTGACGCGGGCCGATTTGAACTTCTTCAAGAGGCCCGAGGACGTGTGGGAGATGGGTGCTAGGAGGGGTTAGCTAAGAGTTAAAGGTATGACGAAGATAGGAACGTAGTACCGGTCCAAATATTCGTCGTCGGCGGCTTCTTCCAGATGTCGGTATTTGGTCCCGCCTCGAGAACGACGGATGTTTTAACTGTGGACATGATGAGCGGGTTGGGTCTATGAAATGTTTGATATATGCCTTTGTGTCTTTGGTCTTTCGCAGCTAATGGTTGACATACACATTCAAAAGTCAACTGGAACGGAGTTACCCCAAGTTTAAATATACTTCCGAGCTGAGAAATACGCCATATCTTGCATCCTGATCGTAACTTTACCGATGACGGCCCGGCGGCCCTAGGCGGCTAGTCTAGAGCTATCTCCGGAACTGCCGTGTTTGCTTGCTATTCGGTATGGATTATCACAGCGCATTGAAGGTATTCCGATGCATGTAATCCAATTACTTGGAGCTCGTCCTACTTGTAGCAAACTTGAATCCTTCGCAATCATGTTAGAAGCTTAGTCAAGACGTTATTGATGTCGGAGATACCTAAAAAAGACGAGATCCGCAGTGTCTTGGCTGCTGATGCAAGGAGATGGTACAGGCCAATTCCCCACAACCAAGTGCGGAGGTGCCTTTTATCGGTTCTCCGACGAGCCCCTTTGGACGTCAACTTGAGTAATTCATAGAAGACTTAGCTATTAGCAATATAGAATTGATTCTAATAGAAACAATACGTAAGTTCCTAGTCATAGAGGTGGACAATACTGTCCAATCAACTTGCTCGCTTCTACCTTCAACCTATACATATTGAGTACTCTACATATTTCCGCGACTTCTTGTAGCAGCTGTATCCGGTCTTCTATTACCCTTACTATAAGGTATATTACTTTAGGGTAGATAAAATAGTCCTTGCAGTCATCAACTACTCGTGGATGGATAAGAAAATTTACATCTATGCTTAAATGATGCTGGAAACTACGATTAGACTGGAAATAATATGTAGTTATTAGGCTTAACCTGGACCCGATCAACCTCGCATACGTTCGAGTATGAGAAAGTATTATTAAGGATAAGAAAAGAGAAGCTTTTGAATGAAAATGTACGTTGAACTAGAATACACAATACTCTCAGCCTGGGTACACGTACAATAAGGAGGCTGGTTACAGGACGTGGTTTCTTTACTGCATCGTTATGAGCTTTTGATATTTCTCTTAGAACAATCGTGTCAAAATATTTAGATGATTCTTTCGACGGTTCTTGTTTACTTTTATGATTACCCTTTCAAATCACGTCTAGAACCATTAGAAATTGAACTACTCGGTGCATCTCAGGTGCGAAATCTCAAGGACTGCCTTGGCAACGTAGTCATTTATAATTAAATCTTTAACCTCCTTCCTCGAATATCTTGCTGTCACCTGTATAGTACCTAGGGTATCCCCCCTCGCTATTGACGAATGAGCACTTAGATAGCCGACCAAATCATGACGGACCGGTAGCAAAAGTGAAGTCGCAACCAACACTTAAAAGGCAACGACGATGTAGTATAATAGCGCTCTAAGGAACTACGGGGGTTCCTTGCGATTAAAGTAAGGATAAAACTAATTTTACATGTAGGTTACTCTCACGATTCTCAACTTTGCAAGCTTTTGTCTAAAAATCCTTATGTTTCCCATCTAGACACAATAACTACTTGAAATATTTATCACAACGCTTTTTGATGGATCATCGTGAAATGAATTCTGTGTCCTGCGCAAATTGTGGCAAGCCAGCAACGACAAAATGCTCTGGTTGTCTGGCCGCACCGGAGTATCAACCTGGGGATGCGCCAACGACTGCCTACTGTGACTCCCAATGTCAACGAGAGCAATGGCCGACACACAAAGCGCAGTGTCGCATATTGAACAAGCGAAGAACGCTGCTAAGAATTGCAGAACTGTTAAAGACCACCTTGCTCGCCTATCGTGAATGCGTATATGACATCCCTCTGACCGGAGTCAAGTATGAAGAAGGTATCCTCCGCTTGCTGCTGGATCCTAGGAAGATCCCATACCGTCCCTGGCAGATACCCTTCCCAAGCGACCTGAATATTAGTCCTCAGCATAAGGAAGCCGTACTAGCAACCAACCAATGCACAACTGCCCAATGCCTTCTTGGCCCCTTGGCTCGCTATCTTCTCGCAGGTAAGATAACCCAACCCTGCGCATGAGGCTACGAGAATGAAGGCTCACGATAAGATAGGAATCAAATCGACATTCAAGATTGCCGAAGTAAATGCCGAGCCAATAGTCCCGTGGAAAATCGTATGGTTAAACGATTCTAAGGAGGAATCGCGAAGCTTCGACTGCGCCGCCGTGACGCACACCATCCTGCTTGTCTGGATAGGTGGCGAGGGATGGGTCGTCGATATAACAGGATGCCAATTCGGCTTTCAGGAGATCCTCGTCCCGTTGAACACTTACTTCAAGAAGAGGGTAAGGAGCATTTCCCGCGGACCATTCGCGTATACCGAGCACGAAACCAGCGACCTCGACGTCTTCGACTGCCAACTGGCTCTTAACGATACCGATAAGAAGCGTCTAAAAGCCGCGCACGAGCGAGCGGGCCGCTTGCACTTTGCAAAGTTTGTCAAGGAGCATTTCGACCGCTACGAATCTACACGTCCCTCGGAAGAGCTCCTCAGCGGTACTTCGGAGGAGTTCCAGGGTAAGCTCGCTCGGTTTGAGAGCAATTTGAAAGCACATATGACGAGTTTTGTGGACTTTGCTTTTGGAAAGGAACGTTTAAATTGGTCTGATTGACGCTTGAGTTTTCTTGTTAGCCTGTGGCGATATATGTACAGTCCCTGGGGTTTGAAGTACGCTTGAATAAGGTACCTACGAAGCAGATGAGCTTGAAATTCATTTACCTCGAATGGATCAAGGTACATCTACTTCTCCCGCTTAGTCGGTAGATCACGATCCGTGATGGTCAGACCTTATTCTCAGTTGAAGGGCAAAAGAAGCAGCTGTTTCTCGTCTATTGGCGAAAAAAATACAGTACCTAGGTAGTTATCTGAAGCGAATCATTTGTATAGAGGCAGTGGCGATTTGTGAAGAATTGTTAATAGTCTCGCCGGGTAATAGTTGATATGAGGTCTATATGAAGTGACCCATTAAGTTTAATCATCGCCCAAATTCTTTCGTCGAGCCTGAATCCTTCCTCAAGTCCACTGCTATTCTTTATCAACCAGAGTGTTTTCCGAATGCTCTTTATTGGGGCAAAGTCTCGGTCGAAGTTCATGACATTTGATGTCCTAATTGAAGCCTTTTAGATAGCATGCTTTTCTGTGCTAATTCCATTTCTAATCATCAGTCTAAGAACAGTCTTTCGTATATCTAAATTATCAACTTGAATAATATCATACTTAGTCACAAAGTTGGAGCCAATACCGTCCTCTAGTAGGGCGGCAGCAGTTCTTATATCTGTGGAAATTGAAGGGGTTGCTTCTAATAGGAGGGGTCATATTTTTGAATCTGATTCTGAAATTCTTTTTTGGCTCTGCAGAAGGTTAAGAGAGTTATATAAAGATTGTTTACCGGGAGTCGAAGGATGATATATTCCGATTATTCAATCTGCATGTACTAGGTAGGGCTTCCGTGACTTGGCAATTCATAGCAAGAGTATTGACGAAACACTGGTAACTACGTTAAAGTCTCCCCAAAGTTATCTGCGAATATAGTAATATATGGTCGAACATCGTAATAGCTTCTAATTCGTCTAGTATCTTCATTCTGCTTCGCACATTTTCTTCCCTGACCTTCGATGCAAATTTTAAGCATTGTAGGACAAGGGTTGTAGATTCCAAAATATATCGTATATCCCCTACCAGGTACCCGTCAGCTTTGTGCATGGATAGGTACCTAAGGACGCGGAGCACAGTTTGAGAGACGTGGTAAATTCGTCGATAATCTCTTTCTCAAAGCGCTATATCTTCCAAGCAAGATCGATAAATTTAGCACCGACGCCAAAGACATACATGATACTACTTTAAAGCATTAGAAAGATACGCGGGAGAAGTCTACCTTACAGCCGTACATATCAATGAACACTTGCCTTGCATACAACTCGTAATAATGAACACGTTTGTAAGGGTCACACAGACAAGTCCCCATCTATTCTAACTAATCTTACCGTTCCCCTACTAGGACACCCGCGGACTGCTTCTAAAAATATGAAGTCTTGATTACTATTTCTGAACCCGAACCTGAAAACTGGCAAAGTAGTTGATATTGATAATTCCATATGATGTAAGCTGGTAAGCTCTAACAGTTACGAGATCTAATTGGGTATAGTGCGTCCTACTAACCTTGACCTCCTACCCAAACCCTCCAGGGTAGCCCCCGTGGGACTTTTGGTATTTGAGCATAGTTCATGCCGAAACATATTACAAGCTTGACCCCCCTCCCTTATTTGCTCTCGCGATCCAGGATATATATAATCCTAGAGCACATTCACTCTCCTAAGATTTCGTAATCAATCCCAAATACTATGGGTTCTCTATATATTTGCCAGCTGTAAAGTACTCCTAAAGACTAGAAAGTTTCGCACCTAAGTACTCGAGGAAAGATAGGGATCAATAAATTTATGTTGAACTATCTTACAGTAGGTCTCCGTCAGGCCGATATCTAGAATTCTGCAATCCAATATAGGTTTAGCAAAGAGAACTAAACATCAATGCAGGGGGGAGGGGCTGGATCAAGAGAGTCACTACCAAGGGGTAGCCTGAAATAGAATAACGGCTGGCCTTGGTTAAGATTTACTGAACAACATGGCAGTAACGTAAATACATATAGAGATCGGAATCAAACCAGTATCCGGGATTGACTAGTAGAAAAATGGTGCGGTAACTTAGAAGAGTACAAACTACCTACTTACAGACTGATTTGACCCTCTTAGCAGCTGTAATCACTCAAGCAACCAACGACACTTGGTAACCCTAAGCTACAGTCTGATCCGGAGGAGTTCCCTTCTTATTTTTGTGTGCATAAAAATATCCCGCCCCTCCTACAGCTTTCTTCTTCTCTTCCTTCTCTTTTCTTTTCCTCTTCTCTTCATCATCATTCATCATCACAACTGTCTTTCCGCACCCTGCGCGAATACACACGATGAATTCCCAACCGAATAACAATATGAATCCACAAGATAATATGGCATCTCGACTCGAGGCTCCCTCGACGAGCTCTGCACACCCACCGATGACGCCTAACGCCACTATACCACAGCCGCTTGAGAACGCACTCGGTGGAGGAGCAGCTCCATATGATATCGCAACAGCAGGCGCATCTCGCCTCGCTCCCGCTAGCACTCATGCTCTCGCGCAGAGTCGCTTTGCCCCAAACAATATCCCAGATCAGACTCAAGATCAAGCTGCGCGTTCCGAAGCACCTCCGCCTCCCGTCCCAGCCCACCCCCCGCGCATCACTTGGCGCCGACGCAGAAGAAACATCGGAGGCAATAGTCAGACCAGACATGATCCCGCCTCCGCACCCCCTGGTGCTGACCTAGGGCAGCTGACTGGGCTGGGGGATAACAATACTTCTGCTGACGCAACCGGCTCAGCCCCCGTTTAAGGTGGAACACTGGAATGAATACTGACCTGCTGGCCAATCGACGAGGTTCTATTTCGATCACGGAGCGTAATGGCAACAGCGCCCAGATCCGCCAGGAAGTTAGAAGACTAGCAGACAATACCTATGGAGTCACTATGGCATCTGGGAGCTTCGACAGCTTCACGTTGAATATAAATAACATGCTTCCAATTCCAGCAGATCCTGAAGATGAAATAACTCTTTCAATAAAAATTAACAGACAGCGAGCTCGCCGGGAGGCTCATGCCGAAAGAAGATTAGAAGCAGACCAACGTCGGGAGGTAGCCAACCGCAGGCGTCCCCTCCAAGTTGAGGATACCGAACTTCAACAAGCTCAGCAGCTTCAGCAGCTTCAGGCTCAACAAGCTCAGATTGAACAACAGCTGCTCCAAGCTCGACAGTTTGAAGCCCGGGAAGCCCAACGGGTTCAACAGCTTCAAATTGAACAACAGCAACTACAAGCTCAACAGACTCAGCTTGACCAACAGCTGCTCCAAGCTCGTCAGCTCGAAGCCCAGCAAGCCCAACAGCTTCGACAGCTTCAACTTGAGCAACAACGGCTCCAAGCTCAGCAGGCACAGCTTCGGGGACAGCCGGGCGCTAGAGAATCACATAGCCCCAATACCAATCAGATACAAAGTCAAGATAACAATCAACCTGGACTAGGTGATGCGACGACAGACCAGCCTGAAGACTTACAGCTTCCAACATTCCCTACTTTCAGTGCTGATGGTTTCAACTCTGACAACCACTCGCCTGGTGCCCACGCAAGCGGATCAGAGAGAGAATCGCCGTTCCCGTTAAGGCCGGCTCACCATAACGTATCTGAAATCCCGAGCGCAGCGGAAACTTCTCGACAGGGATTCCTGAATGGTGACGAACTATACAAGTCCCACACAGAAGATCTATGGTGTGAAACCGAGCCAAAATCTGACACAGAAATGGACTAGTAGGATGTGTCGCAGACGTTGCAGTATGCTCCTGCAGGCACGTTGGTATAGGAAATTAGAACTATAGCTGATCAAATCAATAAGTCTTTGACCTATTCTAGGGACACTTAAAAAGTCCCCTTCTAGTCTTAAGATAGCTTTGTGAAATGCATACCAACTACACGTAGAAATTCTCCCTACTTAAAAATTGCAGTCTACCTAGTAAATTGTAAGTGATTAACTAAATTCGTAGCCAAGTTATCCTCATAAGTAACGTAACGGAATAATACCAGTTCTAAAATATCCTGGTATTCAAACATTACCGCTTCGTCTAGTCAACCCACAAGGTAACGCGGGCTGATTTGAATATTTTTTGAATCTGACTCTGCGATACTCCTAAGGTAGTTCGACGATGTGGCCAGATAAGCTTTAAGACTTCCTGTATATTTGTAGCCTTATCGTACCTGCTGCTTTGAATTTTCACCCGGAAGCCTCTTAATGTATCTTTGAAGATCTCTAATTCCTGCTCAAGTCCAACACATTCTTTACGGTCTTCTTATTTGACGCTTAGCAGCAACAGCTTCCACGTTCTCCATTATCTCTATCGAGATTCCCGAAAGTACCAGACGTCTAGGACATGGTTAGTACCTATGTATAACGCAGGCTTCCGTAGTTAGATTAGAGTTCCTTACCTACTGAATTGTTTCGACGCTCGTGATACCTCCGCAAGCTCCTAGGTAACCTAGAGAATTTGTTGGTTGTTCATTTCGCTCTTGAAGTTCTCTGATGTTCTTAAGGACAATCAGACATTCGAGAATTAAGGTATGAGCGTTGGAATCCTCGTCTCCTACTTGCTCATGTAGCTGACACCTCCGCAAGCTCATGGATAACATGGAGAATTTGCTGGCTGTTCGTTTCGTTCTTGAAGCTCTTTAATATTCTTAGAGACAGCCATATATTCGAGAATTGAAGTATGAGCATTGTACTCCTAATCTCCTACTTGCTTGTGTAATTGACACCTCTTCAGCCTCTAGAGCATCAACATCCATCTAACTTTGGCGCAGCGCACCTTAAAAGGCACTGTTTGCTCCAGCAGAAGACAGGATATTTAACAAGTGAAACCGTCTCCGTAATGTATCAGGAAGCTGGATAAAATAATGTGAATGAGTAGTGATAAGTGTAGGATAAATCCGACCTGTGGATCTAATTTATTAGAGTAGAGGCGATGTTGTTGTTGATTTGATTATTAGGATCCAGAGGTAGTTGTTTACCTATATATTCGGTGGCTGCATAAATTATTTAAATCGGTGCCTGTGCTGAACTCGTGTACAGCAAAATGGATCAACAGGAACTTTCAGGAAAACGCGGGTCTTGTTGTGAAAATTGAATCTTAATTGTAAGTACCTAGGTACATAGGTAGGCACCTACCATAGCGGCAAAAGGTGGTTTTGAGAAACAATTTCTCGACCGAGTACCGTACCTCCCATATGCATTATTCATTAGAGAGGCAACGTTATTTCTCAAAGAATTATTTCTCAACGAATAATCGTTTCTCGACGAATAATTATTTCTCGACAAATAATCGTTTCTCGAAAAAAAAAACTAAAATTTTCAATCCTTTTATTTTTTTATTTATTTATTTTTTTTTTTTTTTTTTACACTCGAACTGATTCGAACAGTAGATTTTGGACTTTGGACATATCACGGGATTTACAGGGGTTGCGGGTTTTATTACTAAACCAATTGGGGTTTATTTAACACATACACGCGAGAATATCTTATTATTCAGCATTATATACTTTATCTAATCAAAAAAAATCTTAATTTTAAATTGGAAAACAATTTTCTACCCGAAAATGATATTTTATAAGAAAATAATAATCTAGACAAAAACGATTTTTTTCAAGTAAATAATGTTAAGTATAAATAACCGTTTCTCAAAACCACCCTTTGCCGCTATGGTACCTAATCCGTCATCTATCCAGAGTAAGTACGCGGCAAGTACACGGCAGCTACTCAGCAGCTACCTACAGCAACAACACAGCAGTTACACAGCAACTGCGAAGCAAATACAATAACCCATGTGCATAACTACATGTACCTCATAATCATAGCCCATAGAAACAATTTCAGACTTGACTAAAATTTTAACTCTAGGTAGGTACATATGTACTAGTTAGGACAATAGGTACAAACCAGCCCACAGTCGCAACATCAACGGCAACCCTAGTCTTAAAATAGCCTACCACGGAAGTCATTTGTCCTGAAAAGCAAATGGGGATTACTTCTAATGTGGGAAAATGTGTGAACATACAAAACCTCTCAGCATTTGCTGCACTAAATTCGGCAAATAAGGACGTTGGTTAGTACGCCCGATACTGAACTTAGATTTATTCTTAAGTGAATGTGTAACTCTCGATTTTTATTTCCCACCTTCTTAAACCCCTTTCCAATCAAAACTCACAAGGTACTACTCTGTCAAGTATGCTATCGCAACAATTGAATATGACGGACCCTAGGGTCTCCGAGTCAAAACCTCTTGCAACACCTAGTTCTACTATTAGTTGTGTTAAATACAAGTAAAAGCTTCCTATTTCAGAAATATTCCTTGTTATCTTATGCGAATCTTCATACCTTAAAAGAATTACTAAAAGATAAAAATGATCTTGCCAAGGTATAAGTGACTTAGTGGTAGATTTAGGGTTAGATCTACAAGTATTGGGTATAAAACGCAGCGCCCCTGTAAGAGGGTAGAAAGGCAGACGTTACTAACTCTAGGTATAACATCCGTCAAGGGTGTGATATCTGACGAGAGTCAATATCCTCGTAGTCTGCAAGACGTCATGTCCGATCTGATCAATCTTATAGGATAGTTGCTAGTACTATCAGCCAGTCAATCAAGGTTAGCCAAACATATTTTTATCTAATTCTGTAACTTGTTGCTATGCCTACGATGGCGAACTTTTGTCGTCAATGGTCACTGTAGAACATAACGGTGCCCCACCTAAGTTCGAATGCTACAATTTGTATCAGCTGTAAGAAAGCGAGTGCCAAATTATTTTCGGACCGTTGGTTTTGGATTGGATGCCATTTGTCTAAGGTACAGCCTAAAATTCTGGTGTTTTTCTTTTCTTCACAAACACCTCCCTTCATCCTTCTTAACTACGTCCTTCAATTATATCTCTCCACAGCATTACGGCACAATGGACTTTCGAAAAAGAGAGTTCAAATATAGTGGGGGCGAGTTGACGAGTAAGCTTTCAGCCTGTTGGCCGGACGCTTTCGCTCGCTCTCTAGGCGAGCGGCACATATGCTCTGCTTTAGACATCATCCGATGGATGGCAGTGATACTAGGAAGAGATGGAAGTTTCTTTGACAGGAGCATATATCTAGGGCCTGTGCCACTTGCACTAGCCGACTTCCCAATTCCAGAATTTACTGATGCGCAAACCAGACGCGAACATGAAGAAGATATCACTTCAGTTTTTCGTCATCTTGCTAAGTTTGGAAGAAATGGCAATCATCCAGACCTATTGGATATCCTCGAGAGTAAGATGATGACTGAAAATTTCTGGTTTAACTCTCGCTACCGCCTCTACAAGACTACAGCTTATGAACATCGAGGCGAAAGTATACATGAGATTAAATTAAACGCCATGGAAATCGCCAAAGAGTGCCTTATACGAATAAGCTCTCCCGAAGCTCTCCCCGATGCCATCGCCAAAGTATTATCACCCTCCAGGTGCGAAAGCACGGGATTTTACCAGTTTCACGCCCCAATGCCGCCCTTGTTTATCCGCGTCCTTTGGGACAACACCTTGTCGGCTGCGTCCGATAAAAGATCTCCGTTCGAATCCTTGCAGCACCTGACAATAAGCTACGACGACGTACGGTATGAGAACAACACTCTTGTCTCATCCCAGGGCTCGGCCTCCTATCGTCTTATCTGTCTTGCTAGGGTTTGCCTACCTAATGAGGAACCTGTCGCGGTACACCTTTATAATTGTGATGGTAGCAATTTCTTACCTCCTTATGGGAATGATAAAGACCAGAACTGGTCGTGCAAGGAACCAGGAAAGTATTACGTAATGTATTACAAGTCTAACAGGGCACGATACTGGTTGGAAGCTGGCTGCCTAACCGAATGCAGAGCCCCACGGCCCAACCGTAAGGAAATACAGGAGTTGAGCGATTACTTCAGACGAGAACTCCTTTTAGAAAAACACCAGGAGAAGATACAGGCTGCCTCGAAAGTCGAACGGCACACCACTATACAAGCTCTACGAGTTGCATCGGCCGATAAATCGGCGCCTGATATTCGACCCACGATCGAACTCGAACAAGATCAGCCCGTAGCTAATGTTATGCAGATGAAAAAGGTAAAGATGATTGGTATCGCGCTTCCAGAGCATCACTCAGCGCCTCAGCTCACCGTAATGAGACCAATGCCTACTACTAAGTCTATAACTAGTCTAAAGCCAGTGCCGCATATAACGCCTGGCCCCCAGTTGATGGTGAAGCCAACTTCAGTGATGCATCCTGCGTCAGGCTCTCATGATGACAGCAGTACATCTGTAAAGTCTAATCGGATTCACCACAATTCCACTTTACATAATGACAAGCATGGTGTCCAGAAGCTTAAACAGCAGGACAATGTGTTCCATCAGAATATGCTTTCTAAATTACCACAGTCTCCGGCTCCTTCACGAACGGTCCGCGTAGTCCGGTTTGAAGATTTGGATGAAGCTGGGGAAGACAATGAAGACGAAGGAAAGGATGAAGGGGAGAGCCAAGGGGCTCAAATAGCTTTCGAGCAAGGTTTGCAGCAACCAGCAAGTTCACCGAAGAGAAGAGATTTGCCCGCGGTAAGGGCGGACGAAGAGGTCGCGGGAACATGCAACACGAGCCGAGCGATAGATACCGGCAAAGAGAACAGTCTAGGCCCAGAGAACGGCCAGAAACTGGAGGTCGATCAGGGACCCCAACTCCTAAAAAGGTTGACACGTACATTCCCAGGGACCGGTCTCATATTAGACCTTCTCGAGAATCATCATTAGGAGACCGGCGAGATCATGAAAGTCAAGCAAAATCCCGATCGCCGGCTCGTCGCCTGCCATCAAGATATCGTCCTCGTTCTCCGAGTACTCACTCATGTGGGCATAGGGACAGAGATCAGCGAGGGCACTACTCGCGATCTAGGTCGCCTTCTAGTTCTCCTAGTACTCATACCCGGCGACGTGGGGATAAAGACCAGCAAGAACAAGCAAAATCTCGTTCCCCGAGGGGTCGTCGCGCCGATCGCCCATACCGCGATTGATAATAACATACTCCCGGGCATTATTTTTAGATATAGTTACCTAGGTACTTAAATATTAAAGATAGGTAGCCTTTCTGAAAATGTGCAGTTTTATTAATTTCTGTTTATGTCTCCCTCGTAACTTTTCAATGTCCTATGTACATAGGTAAGGGTAAGTACCCAATAGTTTTGAGCGTAGATAACGTGTCCAAGTGAGGTACTTTATCCCTTATCTCGTAATTTCAGATACATATTCTCTTCTTAAATCCCAACTGATTTTCCTGTCAGCACAACTATATTTAGCAAAACCGTAACTTATCTCGAAACAAAATTTTAGCAACGAATAACCAACAACAAGATGGCAAATATATCCCGCTGGGGCATACAACCCCCCAAACACCCACAGCTACCATCGTGGGAGACTGTGAAGGGCGACCTTGAGCAGTTTCTTGGATCAAACCATAATGAGGCATCAGCCGCCCGACTTGCGCACGTCGAAGGCCGACATGGCTCAGGAAAGAGCACCGGAATGATAGAGTTTATCTGGGAGAAGATCCATGCCTCCGACCAAGACAATGTGGTTATCTACGTTCCGGCATTCGGCCTTGAAGCTTTGATGCTTTCTGCATACTTCGAGACGGAAGCGTCGCCATACCAGAAGCTGAAGCAGAATATCTGCGTCGGCCTTGAGAAACTCGAGTCAAAGCTCCACCTCGCAACTGCTACCCAACTCCGTAGCGCTCTTCGTGGTGTACTTCGGAAGGATACACCCCGTCGGGTCGTTCTCTTGATGGACCTAGAACTATCCCCCACAGCCGACGGCGAGCTCCTCCTCTCCGAGCTGGTAAAGTGGTATCGACTAACCCACAATTGCGACCTTACTCTGATCACCATGGCATCGTTTACGCGTCCGCCTGTGCATACATTTTTGGAGGCCTGGTTGAATACAAAATGCCGGCATATTACATGCGCCTTCACACAGATACCAGTTCTGACCAGCAAAGACTTACCGTTAAGTACCATCTGGTGGCAGGAACGCGATAGAAATCTACCCATTCTAATCTTAGATGCACTGCGTATCGCGATCCCCCCAACCCCGGAGTTATACTATAACCCAGAGGTGAAAATTGATATAGATGATAAGCTAAATGCTATGAGATCTCGCATGAAATACTTGGATAATGCCGCGGCTGCTACAGAAGCTACTAAGACTATTGAACAGTTTTCTCGCCTGACGGAAGGCTGTCCCTTAGGTCCGTGTGTCGTCGTGATTCAAAATAAAGAGGATTCCCACGGCATCGGCAAGATGCTGGATGAAGAACCCAGTTTCGTTAATGTCGCCGAATTCCGAGCTTGGCCGAAAATGACATTAGCAAATTGGCTGGAAGTGATTCTATATCCTGGCCCCAAGATAGTCTACATCGAACCCAATATGCCCGTCGTATTGCACCTCCCAAGAGTTACGGCTATAATATCCCTCTCTACTTATTATAGTAAGATGTTTGACCGTGAGACCTCTTCATTCGCCTGGACTAGTACGCCCAAATCACGCATGGAGCTCCTAAAAGAGCAGTCATATGCGAGAAAGACTTCCGTCGCCCAGGTTCCCACAACCCCAAGATTCTACTGCGTTGACAAGGATGACAGCCGCTTTTCGAGTGCCAACTTCGACAAATGGGCACTAGCCCCCCCGGCCCCCATACGAAGACCAGTTCATGCGCTTATGCTTCGAGGTCTGCGCCCCGTGGCCGGATGACAAAGACCCTATAGTTCCACTCCCTGCGGTATCCAGCCCGGACCACATGGGATGTGTATGGCAAAGCCTCATCAACATGGATTGTTTGAGCTACCCTCCGATAGGGAGTAGTCGGCCCGTGCTTAATGGGCCTCGAGCAAAGCGGGCTTTGGGCTTTTTGGATCCTAAGTACAACGATTTCGGGATCGTCCTCTGGCTTTTCAACTAGCAGGGATATGTGATGCCGAATCTAACGCGACAAAGCGCGTGCTAATTAGGATCGCCTCATTTATAAGCGAAGACCCAAAAGCCGTATACTTTTCGAAGCTACTCGAGGGCAAAATTGAACAGATCGAGCTATTAACCTACTCTCGGATAGCACATAAAAATGCTATTATAGATATTCACCAAATAATGGCTCAGGAATGCGTTGGAATAGGAGCGCGGGAGCTCGATCGCGGTGCTGTGTGGATGATACTCGGATTGTTCCTCAAGGCGGAAGTATCTCAAGCCAAAGGCGAAGACTTGGAGACGCAAGAAAAAAGTTGTAACGCGGGTATAAATCTTGAGATTTTCTTTACCATCCTCGAAAAGGTTCGCGGGCTGGAATCCATACACGGCATCCAGCCGTCCGAAGATCCCATTCGAGACACGACACTGAGCCCGGACGAAGTGAGTTACATTGAAACGAACCTGATGAAGGCTTGGTCGTCTCAGCTTGTCTACTACAATCGCAAGGCGGGGATAATCTGTAAAGATCTTACAACATGCAACGACGCATACTCAAGCGGATTTCCCTATATGAATCCATACGCGTTGTTTGATAAAGATACCTCACCCAGCAACGATATGATTTTTGCTTTCTATACAGATCGCATCATCTCAAATAATCATCGCTTCGTATTCAATCTAACCCGAGTCCCTGCTAAATTGGTTGTTGAATTGATTAGGAAAAAAGGACATAGATCCCTTATAACATATTGAGTAGTTTAGCTTTATGGAACGAACAAGTTTCCTTGCCGACATACCTAAGGGCTACCTAGGGATGTTGTGCTAAATGAGAATAAATACTTCCTATTTGAGAAATATGCCTTGCTACCTTGTGCGAGTTTTTCCCGTTTTATAGGAACCAGTAAGAGATAAGAAAGAATCTGGTCAGGGTATAAGTGACTTAGAAGTAGATTCAGGGGTATATCCACTATGACTGGGTGTAAAAAGCGCATAACGCTCTCCTAAGAGGACAGAGGATAGGCGTTAACAGTTCAATATATCGTGACATCCATCAAAAGTATGATATCTAATCAAGGGGCTTGAGACATTAACTACACGTTGAGTGGTCCACAAGGCAACCATGCAAACACAAAAGCTGAGTTAATTTAGGATTCATGCCTAAATGCAAATTGATAAGGAAATTATACGGGAGCCAACTAAAAAGGTAGTTTGATATACTAAATTCGGTAACTGTGAGATTAAGATACGCCTAGGTACTAAATAGCAATGTTTTTTTTAAAAAAGATTTAAATAGACCGTGAGGATGACCGCACCAGTGGAAGTCATAGAACTAAGCGGTAGCCAACCTCTATCTTAATTTTCCCTTCCAAAACCCATAAATTCAAACCGCGTTTCCGAACAAAAGCCAGTTATGGAAAGTGACTATATTCGATAATAATATAGCTACCTAGGTATGCATATGGTGACCAAAAGCTTTGCAGTCTGCGACACAATGCCTGATACAATCTTTATTTTACTTGCGTTACTCCTTAATTTGTTGCGTCGTATAATGTACTTCCCTATGTTGTGATTTCGTATAATTCAGGCCGGTATTAAAGCCAACTCTTGATATTCCTAATTTGACATTTCTGTTTAGCATAGCGAGAAACATAAATATTGAATTCTCTACTTCGAGATTAATATGGTAGATTCAAGTAGTTTTTCTATTGCAAGCAACCTCGACATCCGAAGATGATATATTATTGTAATTAAATGCATTTCTAATTTTCTTTATTTAATGGTCATGATAGGGCAATGCTGTGCTATTAACTAGAACACCGTAGAAACTATGAAATATATTGTTGCCTAGAGCCACCTTGATACTATTCAGTATGTACATGCAAGGTACCCACTCTTTTAGTGCCTTGTATCTCGTGAAGTATGCTGTCGCCTCGTAGCGCATGCCCCCCACGCACAAAATTTACCTTTAAAGATTTATTTTAAATTCAATTTCTTCTACTCTAAACATTTTCTTTCCGCACTTCAACTTCCACCTCACCATCATCACCAAATCCTGTTATCCATACACAGTAAGTTAAAAAAAATTGATTAAAATGACCGGAAGAGCTAGGAAACCTGGCGAAGGCCGCAGCAGCCAACCGCATAAGCAAACCAGCGCCCGTCGACTAGATTCGGCCAATCGAGGCCATCGATCACCTAGTCCAATTAGGGCAGCATCGCAACGACCTCATAAACGCCCGTTATGTCAGCAGCGAGAGCTCGTCGAGTGAAGAGCCAGAATCTTCCTCCGACTCCCATCGGCCACGACGGCCCCATAAACGCACCCGTTATGTTGACAGCGAGAGCTCGTTGAGTGAAGAGCCAGAATCTTCCTCCGACTCCCACCGACCGCGACACAAGAGCCATAGCTCGCAGTCGAAGTCTCGTCATCATTCAAGATCCCATCACTCTAGATCCCACCATTCTCGATCTAGTCATTCTCGAGCCAGACATTCAAGGCCCCCTCATCGCTCTGAATCTCGCCGACGTATCTCTAAGAGAACTACCAGAAGGGCTACTACATCTTCAGATGACGATCGCCAAGATTCCGAACGTCCAGACCCCTTGTCCTCCATCCGTAGCATATTAGACAAAGAAGAGGAACGCACTTCTAAAATCATGAAAGCATGCACCGATTGGATAAAGCTTCATAAACCATCTGTGAGTAAAGAACGGTTCATGGAACTAATTCCCAATATATACTTGGATGATACATTCACTCAAGATGACTATGATGAAGTAGGCCGTCAGTGGGATGCCGAGCCGACCAAGGCTCTTATCCTAGGGAAGCACACTGTAGATCATGTAACAGTACCAGGTCGCACGCCACCGAAGTACCCACGCCGGGCTGAGAGAGAGTCGTTCGAAATCATTTACCGTCTATTTCCTCGATTCTACGACTGCACGTTCGAAGAGTTTATGAGCCCAAAATACCAGCTCGAGCTCGATTGCAGTGAGAATTCTCGTGTCACCCTAGAAGATGGAGCACAGGTTCATGACCCTTTCCCATCTAAAGGCTTCTCCGAGAATATGAGATGCCTCATGACTCAAAATGTATGGATGGGAAATCTTGACCTACTAGCCACCTGCATTCAGTACGTGAAATCTTACGCACACGAGACATTCGGCCCTGGAGGCTGGTTAACTGTGATCCATCGAGCAAGTTCTTTGAGACTTGGCAAGACGTAATAAAAAGCGCACATCATGAGCAGAGTATCCAAGATATCTTTTCTCAAGTTAAAGATCTTCTGGACCAGAAGCCAGGGTTTTATGGTGCATTCTTTGAACAGATCGGCGAGTCCGTTCGTATCAATTGCCAGGACCGCGTGGCCTACAACTCAAAGCGTACACACGATGACGATCCGTATTTCATCCGGGTCATAGACCTAACCATCCTCATTCATGCGCTGGATAATGTTGGATTCTGGGGCATGCCATTCTTTCGTGGTGCCAGTTTATCCTCCGGGATTATTCAACAGGCAAAAAGGGGTAACGACTATCCGCCAGATAAGAAGTTCTCCAAGGCGAGAGAATACTCAGTGCTATCTCATAGGATAGTAAAAAGGGCGGCAGAGCTAGAAGCCGCAGCCCAGAGTGGAGCATCCGAGTCGTAAGGATTGCATGAGTTGTATTCCTCTACAGTGCTGGGGCCCGATGAAACTAGGCGTTAGTCTAGCAGAATATATTCTAACTTGAAGACCATCTTCATGCCCCCTTAAAAATGTGCTGTAGTTTCTCATTTTCTCCTCGTGATTTTCGTAACAGTACTATCATAACTATCTACCTCATAAACAGCGTCCTAAAATGCAGTTGAGCGAGATAGTGACGCTACTTCGAATACATTTCCAGAATTCGACCAACTCCGAGCAGGCTATGAGAAAATTGTAACACGATACTTCCATAATACATCCTAACTCTGTCATATTACGTTAAGCCAAGGCCAAGATATTTTTCAAATCCACCCACAGTAGCTTAGGTATCTAGCACTACACTACAACTTAATTGGGCATCAACGTAAACTAGTGAAACAAGGCCGTATCCTAACATTTTCTCCTAATTAAGGCAAGTAAATCACTATCTCTAGAAAAGGTGGCCTTATGAAATAGGGTAACAACCATACTGAATGAGTAGTACCTATCAGCCGGGAAAGTACGAGGATTTAATACTGGATACACTACATCTTAATAGACAAGGTCTAAATATATGGGCATTTGTCCCAAATGACTAAAGCTATCCGACCAACGTGTATGATACGCATTCTCATTCTCAACTTACTGCTCAACGAAGCGACAGCGTTTTTAGGAGTGATCTTTCGGACGCATCTCTCTTTAAAATGCCAATGTACAGTGAAGATCAGCTCTCCATATTATTGAACAACAAAATGCAACCTTACAGCATTAAATGTATCCGAATGTGGTATAAAGTCTACAAGGATATCCTCCAGCAGAACTCATACATATCGGACGACTTGATTGTCCTTCTGGATGATGTCGTGGAAGAGTTGCAAGACATGCGCTGTGTCTTTTATGAAGACGATCCTCACACCTGCAATCATTTTCACTCGGATGCTCTATTATAAAAACTGCAAGTTTCATCACATCTAATTATACTTTTCATCATTTCGCTAACAATGTTCTTAGGCAACACTTACCCTATTGCGAGTATATTCGCAGAACTATACTCGGACGACCGCATCTCGCAACTGCGGTCACATGCCGCGGCATGCAAAGACGAGACTCCCTGTCGACAACAGACTGATTATACAATTTAATAATTCGCTCCTAGCCAATAATCATTGTTCAGATCTCAGGATATCCTCATACCACCAACTCTGACATAACGAAAGGCTATATGGGATATGACTAAAGGGATACCGCGATATTCCTAGGCTGCCAGCTCTATGTCATCTGGCTACCGGCTAATGATTCTTAGCATAATCTATGCTATGTCCAACAGAAAGAGATTACACAAACGGTACAGAAATGTTTCAGTCTGATTCAACCCGTCATATGCTTTTCCTCAGACTCTCCCATGCGCAAAGATATCGTGCTCTGGATACGCCATGCTGAAGATTGGAACAAACTAGAAGCTCATTTAGTTCTAAAAGACCTATATGGTACTATGGTATCTTACAGCCTTGGGTTAAAGAGTGAAAAGTATAGCTTCATCTTTATCGAGTATCTAAGATTGCGATGCTGTAACTAAGCTATTAGGTGATAGCAGCCCCAAAGATGATCATATATTAAGAATGGAACTATAAACGCAGATTAGACGCGAATACTTGAATCATACTTCGTAATATCTTCATTGAGCCGAAGATAGATTAATTAATAAATATAATCATCTAAAATCTTGGATTATCAGACCTGTATGTAGTCCGTTTAGTCACGTGGAGCTGCACGTGATCGGTACTCTATATATGCATTTCTAGCATGTCGTGTCGCGTATTTACACCACCAACTTTTCTTTTGAACAATACCAGAATAAAAAAATCTAATCGTTTATTTTGAGATATTCATCTTTTAGTGACAGAAACTCTAACATGGCCACCTTCATTCTTGATTGGAAACCGTCGGACCCTCTCGGCCCCGATAAGAGAGTCCCGCTGCTCTCCGGGAGAAGACTAGAGATGTTCAAAGCTCTAGAAGACCATGATAACTACTATGAGTTATCTTTGATGTTCCCAGCGCTAGCCAATGATATGGAGAATTTCGGATCTAAGCTTCCGGCATCGCGCGAGGCATCGCTGCAGATTCACCAAGACCACGTTAACCAAAGACCGATGGGCATCTTACTCCACGCCATACCAAAAGACATGCTGAGGTCATTGATATTGGGCACCGTTGCCTTCGACCAGCTGAAGCTGACCAAAGCCAGCGCACTACGCAGACGGTCCAGGCGTGTATGTCACCGCGATGGCCATCGAACGACAACATGGGACATGGCTCGGCCGTAGCGATACTAGAGAACTTATCAATAAATTACTAAAGTATATCAAAGCCTATACTGCTTGGAAAAGCCATAAGGGTAAGCCGAGTAGCCTAGAAGACACTGTACTTGTTGTATTTGCCCGAGGTATTGATGCCCAATACGGAGGCAGAGATAGCGAGCAGCCGAACAAGATGCGCTTCTTGAGTAACGACGATGACGCTTCCAAGGTTGAGCTCTTCGTGAAATCCCTTGAGAAAAGATGCGATCCTTCACTTCCCGGCACAGACCAGACTTACCAAATATCCTCACTACTATACATCGGCTGCTCTCAACACATGGAAGATGAGATTACATGGTATCAACCAAATTCCGGCCTAAAGATGGTTAACAATTTATGGGGGCTCGTGTGTTGCGTCTTGGCATCCATGTACAAGCACCCGACAATCGTCGTATTACCAGTTATTCGTACTTGAAGGAATACTGATCTACCCCTTGCTGAGATTCTCGTCACGATGTTGGGGAGCTCACTAGTTACCCAGGATGGGTTCAACGGGCACGTTCCGGGAACTATCAACGACACTAGCTCTTCAAGCACCTTGATGGAAGCCGAGATATACGTTCTAGTTCACCAGCCACACCTTAATAACAACATAGAGGCCAGCGTGAAAGAGATAGCAAGCAGACGAACATATCTTGAGCGCATGGAACTCATAGCCCATTTTCTAAGCTTGGATGATCAAAGCTCATTGAGAGAACTCCAGGTGGCAGAGCAAAAGATACAAGCCCTTGATAAGCAGTGCACCGCCCTTGCCGAAAGTATCGATGCGGAAATGGCCAAGCAGGAACGCCAGAAAGAAGCCGTGGAGGATTACATAAGGCTATTAAGAGCGGTAACCCAGGTGTTCAGGACATTTCTCGGCCCCATACAGCAGAATGAATCTAAACAGGGGGGTGTATCCGAACAGGAGACTGAACCTAAACACGAGTGGTCGGATTAGATCAACATCACCAAAAACTCCTTGATGCTATTGGTATAATTTAGTGGAGGTGCAGCGGTTGGATTTGAATAAATTGCAAAGTTCCACGAGGCTTAGTAAGATTCCATAAGTGAAGGGAGGTTTCCGTAAGGTTTGGAGGATTTCCATAAATAAAGGAAGGTTTCCACAGATAGGGGAAGGTTTTTACAAATAGGGGAGGGTTTCTACAAATAAGGGAAAGTTTTTACAGATAGGGGAAGATTTCCATAAATAAGGGAAGGTTTCCATAGATAGGGGAAGATTTCTACAAATAGGGGAAGGTTTCTATTGTCAGGGTATAAGTGGGTAAGGAGGCCTACAGGGGTCTATCTACTATATAAGGGCGCGTAGCGCCCTCGAAAGAGAGTAGAAGCCAGGCGTTACTAGTTCAATATATAATCCTTTTGGTCTACCTATCCTAGATATTCACTCTGTGTATGACATCAATCACCTGGGTATAAACCCCCCCTGACATCTATAGATAGGGGAATATTTCTATAAATAGGGGAAGATTTCCACAGATAGGGAAAGGTTTTTACAAATAGGGGAAGGTTTTTACAAATAAGGGAAGATTTCCATAGATAGGGGAAAGTTTTCCCCACTTATGGAAATCTCCCAAATTTCAAGAAATCTTCCCCTATCTGTGGAAATCCCCCAAACCTTATGGAGGTTTCCCACCAAGATTGGAAATGTTCCAGTTGAGGTGGAAGGGCTCCGCTAAAAATAAATGAAATCCAAATTCACCAAAGCACCCTCGACAAGCTCTCCGACCAGATGGAAATTTAACATAAACATTGGAAAGCTTTCAAATATATTGGAGTTTTTCCAAAAGTGACGGGAAGTATCCAAAATCGCAGGAAAGTTTCCAAAAGGGTGGAAGGTTTCCAAAGGTGGTGGAGACTTTCTAAGAGTAGTGGAAAGTTTCCAAACACGGTGGAAACCCTCCATTATCGGTGGGATCCTTCCAAAGGCCTGTTAAAATATATTTTAGATATCTCCAACACCCGTAGACTTCTCTACTTGCTTTACAGACTACCGTGTCGTCCCAGAGAGATGTAGGTAGCTCTCGCCCGATCCTTAGATGTATTTTGTCGTTTGTAGAATCTGTCCAATAGAGTTGGAATTCCTCCCATTGGATTGGAAACTTTCCAATAGAGTTGGGAATCTTCCGTATGGACTGGAAAACCTCCAATGCCATAGTAAGGTTTCCTTAGGGATTGGAACTCTTACATAAGGATTGGAGGTTTTCCAACCCTATTGGGCGTATTCCAAAGGATATGCAGACAGCCTTTGAGAAATTCTTAAGGAACTCCCAGGATAGATAGATCCAACGCCTAAAACAACCAAGTGGTATCCCGGTATCTAATATGTGCCAAAAGTGCTAGGCTACGAAGCCGAATCAAAGTATGAGCTTCCGTTCGTCATGCTTATCTCTCCTGCCATAGGCGAATCCCCTACTTTAGATATCTTTTGATTGCGTCGCTACGTATTACGAAGCAGACTTAGGTTTCGTACGTCTGAATCTTGACTCTGATATAGACTGATAGCTTAAAAAATCTTCTAGATTTGCCATGCCTATCCCTCTCAGACGTCGCGTCTCAATCTGACTACACTGCATCGTTAAGGACCTCCAATACATGAAATCTACATATCGCTGTTGGATGTTACGTGGATGAACTTGACGACTCAAAGATGGTGTCAAGGACGGACACTCCCGTGTCTGCTCCCTCGTTGAGGTTGGGAGTGGTTCACATTACCCATTGTTGTCCGACTCAGGTTTATCCCCAGGCACTGCCGGCGCTGAGAGGAATTCCATTTCCTCTATAAGAAGGCTTGTTCGACGGTTTCCCTCCTGATCAAGTTGGCTACCTGGCACCGGCGCTAACTAGGTAAAGTAATGTTGTAGGCAGGTAGGGACTAAGGGTGCCATAGGCAGGACGTGGAGGATTTCTTATAACAGGATACTCTAGCTCTATTCTGAAAAAGAGGAGTACTCTAGACGTCTAAACGGCGCCATCGGTGCGCTCGTTGTAACTACCTAGCTGTAGACGTAAACGTTCCCATCACCATGTTCTCTTCGCCCAACCCAACAATTTCTGAAATTTTTCCATCAAGCATTGAACGCTTCCAATATGGTTGGATTCTTTCTAACAAGGGCGGGATACCTCCAATAGGGGTGGGAGATATCCGATACATTTGGAAAGTCTCTACTATCCCTGGAAGCCTTCCAGCTGGTTTAAGAATATTCCAATACTTATAGGGATTTTCACCATTATTGGGAGATTTTCATAGTATTTGAAAGATTTCCAAGGATGGTGGAATATTCCCACAAGTAGTGGAGGCCATCCGACTTTATCGGAAAGTTCCCGCAATAATGGAAAGATTACATCGCTAATGAAAGTTTTCCAATAAAGGTGGGATATTTCCAAGGATATTGGAAACTCTCCAATTCAGGTGGAAAGGTCCCGTAGAAAATGCAAAATCCCCATTATTCTTAGAAGTCTTCCATAGGCCTGGGCCAAGTTTTCAATTTCTAAAATATCTTTTGAAAATATCCCAGCATAATTGGAAAGTTTCCACCTTTATTGAAAGGCCTCCAAAGATTGTGGAAAAACTTTAAAAATAATGGGAAAATTCCAATAGCCCTGGGAAATCTTCCCGAGTATTGCAAACCCTCCGGGGTAATTGGAAAGTCTCCATCGAACGTGGGAACCTTCTACCATCCTGGGAATTCTTCCTCGAGCACTACAAACCCCTGATCGGTGATTTCCCCTCCCTCACTGAAACCCTTCCCCCATGGCCATCCTTGGGTTTTGCGTAGGCGGCATATACGAGCAATGTAACCAACCGAATCGCACCATATACAGCTATATCCAACGGCTTCTAAGGGCAAAACTCCGGTTGGGTGTTTTTGAGGATGACTAGTTAGACCAACGGCACCGATATAAGACCACATAGCCCAAGCGGTGTACTAGCGTTGTCACTCTGGAAGCGTCACAGTTACATTTAAAATGAAGAATATAAAGGGAGCCTTTTTTCTGCTTCATGATTTCTAATCGAAACAGATTAGAAGATGAAGAAGCTACCTATACCCTGGCTGGGATACAAAACCCCTTAAGATATACCTCCTCGTGACGTTAAAAGCTAAACGATTTCCCTGTTAGGAGGTAAGGCCTGGTGCTTGTGTCAGAAGAATCCCTTAGTGGATGTTATACGTAGAGTCAATGTCAGGATAAATATATTGAACTGGTAACGCCCGGATTCTATATTCTTACGAGGGCATTAGGCGCTTATTATATCGCCGTAACAAATTCCTATAGTAGTATATAATTCAAAGATGTAAGGGCTCTAGCGGCGTGAAGTTGTCCAGTAACCTTTCCGCCGTCTTCGAACTCCTGGATCTTCAACATGATGTTTAAATTGGCCTCTGGGAATAAGTTATGCTTTAAACCCACTAGTCTTGCTCACTATCTTTCAACTCGAGTCATAGCCATCATTCTTCAACTCAATTTGAACCATTCCGATGTATAGCAGATTTCAAGACATCCATAGGGCTTTCTACGGAGATTCCACACAGATTCCTGGACGTGCAAATGTTTAACGCCGGAAATTTCCATCAAGCGTGGAAAGTTTCCAAGGCTGTTTTCATCGCACAAAATCATTGGAAACTTTCCATCGATATTGGAAATCTTTACAAAAGCGGTTCCATTACATAAAATCATTGGAAAATTTCCACCTACTTTGGAAGGTTTCCAAGGGATTTCGAGGTTAAATAAAAAGTTGTCACGGTTAAGGGTCAGGAATCTTGATCTTTCATGTATATAGAGCCTTGTTGCAAGGCTTTTGGTGTTCTGGGTTCCCCAGAACTTTCCAATAAATTTCAACAATCAAAGCGCTATTGAATAACATTCCAAGGAATTTTGAGATTAAATTAAAGATGTTATTGGAAAGTTTCCAAAGCTATTTTCATTGCATAAAATCATTGGGAAATTTCCAAGATGAGTGGAAACATTCCAATGATTTTATGCAACGAAAACGTTATTGTAAAGGTTTCCAACGACGTTGGAAACTTTTCAAGGGATTTTAATACCAAATTAAAAAAAAGATTATTAACAAGTTTCCATTATACGTGGAATATTTCCAATGATTTTATGCAATGAAAACAGCTTTGGATAACATTCCACCTACAATGGGAAACTTTCCAATGAACTTAGTTTCCAGCACGAGTGAAACCTTCCAAGGATATTTGAAATTAGAATTTAAAAAGTTCAGTGGAAGGTTTCCAATATAGATGGAAGATTTTCCAATATTGTTTTCATTATATAAAATCGTTGGAGCGTTTCCATGTTTAAAGGGGACTTTCCAATGATTTTATATAATGAAAACGATGTTGGAAAATCTTCCACCTGTAGTGGAAACTTTTCAAGGGGTTTTACTACATGCCGCAACATAAGTGGGTTCGAATCCCACTGTGGTCAAACCAAAAATGGTCCGATTCAGGCTTTTCCCCTGGTTAAAGTCGGCTACTTAGCGCCGGCGCTAACCAAGTAGAATAATGCCGTAGGCAGGTAAGGGCTGAGGATGCTATAAGCAAGAAGTGGAGGATCTCTTATGTCAGGCGATACTTTAGCTCTATCTCTCCTTACGTAAAGAGGTGATACTCTAGACGTCTAATAAAGCCATTGATGCGTTCGTTATAGCTACCTAGCCATAGCACCAATAGATGTAAACATTCTCATCATCATCCAAGGGGTTTTATAAAAGATTATTAAAAGGTTTTCACCTGTCAGAGTATAAGTGGGTAAGGAGGCCTACAGGGGTCTGTCTACTATATAAGGGCGCGTAGCGCCCTCAAAGGAAAGTAGAAGCCAGGCGTTACTAGTTGAATATACTATACCTTTTAATCCACCTATCCCAGATATTCACTCTGTGTATAATATCAATTACCTGGGTATAAACCCCCCGACACCACCGGTATTGGAAACTTTCCAAAGTTGTTTTCATTGTTGAAAATCATTGGAAGTCTTCCGTCAAAGATGGAAGGTTTCCAAGGATACTTAAGATTAGATTTGAAAAAGATCAGTAGAAGATTTCTAACACAGGTGGAAGATTTTACAATAGTGTTTTCATTGCAAAAGATCATTGGAAATCTTCTACTTATTATGGAAACTTTTACAGTAACGTTTTAATTACATAAAATCATTGGAAATTTTCCAATGTTATTAAAAACCTTTACAACCTTGTTTTTATTATATAAAATCATTGAAAAATTTCCACCTATTATGGAAACCGTTACAATAGCGTTTTAATTACATAAAATCATTGGAAACTTTCCACTAATAACTACAGGAAATCTTTGCAACTTTATTTTCATTACATAAAACCATTGGAAATTTTTCACCAATATAGGAAACTTTTACAACAGTGTTTTTATTGTAAAAAATCATTGGAAATCTTCCACCTATTATGGAAACTTCTACAACCTTGTTTTCATTGAATAAAATAATTGGAAATTTTCCAACATCATTGGAAACCGTTACAATAGCGTTTTAATTGTATAAAATCATTGGAAACTTTTATAACCTTGTTTTATTGCATAAAATCATTGGAAACTTTCCATCGGCGTTGGAATTTCAATAGAATTAAACCTAATATTACGAATGGTGCGGTTAGCTACGGCAGGTAGGCACTTGCTACATCTTTTCTGTAGATACGACTAGTCATGCAGTGTTAGTTTTCTGTTTAAGACGTCTGAGTACTCTAAGTCTTTGGCTGCAGGCAGCTAGAATATCTTATAAGCCCACTCAAGACATCTGGAAAGAAGGCCTCGAAGCCCCATCCCCACCTGTAAATATATAAATACTTTATTATCTCTTATGTTGGGCGATGTTTACGAACCCCGAGTAAATGGAATATCGCCTTACTACTTGTCAGACAGCCGTGTCACCTACTAGATACCGGCCGCAAGCAGTCGAAATATCCTGTAAGTTGGCACGGGACGTTTGCAATTAGGAGTCGGGCTTTAAGCTCCGGCTGTGGATGGCGCGTCCCTCTCTGGCTCTTGAAATTTGAATTATGTTGTGTTGAGCGATGCTTTGGCTCTGCCTTGTAGGAAGAATTTCAGACATATCAGCGTGGTAGATATGCCTCTCGGCGATCTAGCGTGTAAATACCCATGCCTCTGAGAGTATGAAGATTGGTTAGCCTCCTAATCTGACGAGGTTGCCTAGGATCCTAGGTGCTCATGTACTTTACCCAGATCTCGAGATCTTGTAGGGTTGATACGGGGAACAGGATAGAATCTGCCTCTTCTGGGGCTTTTAGGATCCGTAGTCGGTTGAGGAGAAGTCTGAGCGGCTAGTACTTACTGCTCGCAGGAGCTTGTCGCAGATATGTACCACGATTACGTAGTCTACTAGCTTGGGAAGCTTTAGCAGCGCGATCCCGGTGTCGCCGAACACGTGGCCGTGCTGCTGGCATGCAGTTAGCATGCCCTGGTTGCCGCTTCCGCGTCCTAGAGCATCGTATATAGGCCGGCAGGGGGAGCGCTGCAGGTAAACTTTTAGCTTGGTTAGCGGAGATTCTCCTATGTCGATACCCCACCTAGCCTTCAGGAGTAGCACCAGCTGCCAGACGGCTATGGCGAAGAGGTCCGTAGGCAGGTCGTGATATGTCGGATGCGTTTCTATAGCCTTCTCGACGAGGTGTCGCAGGGATGCGTCCCTGACGCGGGTCTCGGTAGTAAGACTCTCGGTCAACGAGCCGTTGAGGCTGATGGATAAGTTGGTCCTCCTCTTGGTAGTGATTTCTCCGTAGAGGTGGGATACGAGGGTTGGGACGTGGCTAAGTCCGGGTTTCGAGATGAATGGGGGGAGGTTAGCGGGGAACCATGTCTGCAAGACGATCCACGGGCGAGGCTCTTCGTGGCCGAGCTGGCGATCGACAGGCTCTATTGAGACTGAGTCCTGCTGGGCGCTAGCGAACTCGAGCCAGAACTCGTAGTTAACGGCCGAAACTAGAGAATATGAGGCGAAGGCGCGAGCTGCAGCCAACCTCTCCTCGCCTAGGACTCTCTGTACCGAGTCGAGGGGTTTCTGTACCCCGTTCGCCCGAGACTCTGCGCGGTCGATATCACCACGCATCTTCTCTAGATTTTCTTTCCCCTCGCTGATTTGTTTCTCGAGTCTTTCGATCTCTTTGTTGGCATCTAGAATATCGTACTCGGCCTCGGTATTCTTGTCGTAGAGGGTGACTGTACTTAGCGTCTTCTCTTGGTCCAAGTCGCGCTTGTATTTATCTGTAGCATCCTGCAGAATCCGGAGCCTTAACTCTAAAGAAGCTATTTGGTCTTTTAGCTCTGTTACTGATGCGGCGTGATCAGTCACGAGCTGACTTTTCTCTTGTATTAGTTGGGCCTCGCTCTGTTTTAATGATTTTTTCTCATCCCGTAGCCGGTTTGTGGTATCCACCAGCGTATTCCCTTGCTTTTGAAGTAAAACCTTGTTCTCCTCTAGAGCTTCTACCTTATCTGATAGCTTCCTCACCTTTTCCTTTAATTGAGATTCGTTATTTCCGATATTCTGGATATTCTGTTTTAATTTGGTTTCGCTTTCTTTAAGCTTCTTCGTCTCTTCTTTTAAATCGGCCTCGCTTTGTTCCAGCCGGGTCTCTATACCTTGTAGCGTTTCTATCTGCCCCCTGAGCAAGATCTCGTTCTCTTTCAGCTCCTAGACTTGGGCTTCTAGATTCGCCTTAGTCGCCTCGAACATGATTATATTGGGGCTAGAACTAGCCTCTAAATTATCGAGGTTCTCTTGTAGCTGGTCGAAACGGTCCTGGTTCTCGTCTCGGTCGGCGCACGCCCTTTCGTATTTATCTTCCATCTTGTCGCGTACGATGCATAGCTTATCTTGGGCTATCTTCAATCGTTTAGCGAGGACCGAGTTCTCTAGGCAGAGCAGGGAAGAACTCTTCTGAGGGCTGAGGTTTCTCAGAGTCTCGAAAGAGCCGGTAATGGAGAGCACCAGGTCGAGCATGGGCTGAAAGGCGGTATCTTCCATAGATCCAGCGCGAGATGCGACGAATTCGGGATTTACGCCCTTTATCTTGTTATGATTTTTCAGGTAGTCACGGACTTCCGCCTCGAACAGGTTAACATCTTCGCAGACCGCGTCGAGTCCTGTTTCCATTATTTCGTAGTCGGTCGAGAATTTCTTGAGCGAATCGTCTTCATGGTGGTATCTGTAGATGCCAGCCTTGTCTTTGAGAATCTTCTAGATCTCATCTACCTCAGGGCGGAACTTTGCAAGCGTGACCTTAGGCTCGGATAGCCAGGCGATAACCTAAGCCACACTCGGCAGCAATATGTAGGGAATAGAATTACTACTCGATATTAAGTTAGAAACTAGGACTTCGTAGTTTTTCGTAACTATTACTCTTGTCAGATTTATTTTTATGATAATCGAAAATTTGGGGTTGGTAAGATTGATAGTCTGGCAAATTGATAAGGCACCATTCTTAATATAAGCTGTTGAGATATTCCAGCTGGTGCGCGGTCACGGGAATTTCTAAGATGCGGCGGCGAGTCTCTAAGAGAGCAGCTTTGCTTGCCATTGCCGGGTCTGTGGGTAGCGCTCTAGGGTCATTACGTGAGTAGTCGTGACTGTCAAATGTAGAAGGGGGGACGTTTCTAGCGTACGCTCGGGTCCACGGGTAAAACTCAGAACGTTCCCGGCTAGCTGCCATCCCAAGGTAATCTTGTCGGGTACTGATAGGAGCTCGACGGCCCCTAAGCAAGACTAGGTAGTAATACTTAAGGTTGTCACTCATGAGGCTCGCCCGAGGGCAATCGTCGAATGTATGGGCCGTGGTGTTGCAGCACGGACAACCGTGTAAAGCGCCATCGAGCCCCGGAGGTCCAACGCATATGGATAAGTCATGCCCAATGCGGTCGCAGTTTCCACATCGCCTCATATCGTGGAGAGGGACACTTGGAGGACCGCGACTGTTTAAAGATAACGGCGGCGGGGAATTCTCATGGGAGGACGAAAGGCTCGGCGCGGAGTGTGATTGAGGATGAGAGGCGATGGGTCTCTCGGAGTATGGCGGGAGTGATGCTCTCGTATACGCCTCTGGGTTGTATTCGGCTCGCAGGTTGCGCATCTCCTCTATCCTCCTTCCGGCGAGGATTTGCACGTCAATGGTATCTTCATTGCTCTGGGTAGCTGTGCTTCCAGTGGAGTCTAGCGAGTGGCTCATCGTGGCGGGGTCTTGCTCGTCGATTAACGAATCTAACGGCATGGTTTCTGTTAGGTTAAAGTGCAGAATAATTTCAAGATGAAACTTGGAATTATTAATGTGAAATGGTATGAATTGTGTACCTGCTTCGTAATGGATTGTGGTAAAATGAATAAGTTGGAAGGTGACCTGCACTCGCATTATCTGGAATTTAAGAATTAAGAACTTATTAAATCTAAGTATTGCCAGGTGACAGACGTTGTCGGGATAAGTTGCAGTTGCGGGTAGTTACAAGCAGTCGCAACTTCCTTGCCAGACATTGAGGCAGTTGCAAACAAACAATGAATTAAAAGCAGGAGCTCAACAACGATATCACCACTATTACGGGCCTAAAATCCATTATCAATCAGTGATACCTAGTACTAATTGCCTGTTCAGTTACGGCCTATAGCAATATATATCAAATACTAATTGCGTTTGCGCGAACAGGAGTCTTTTCACGCCACAGATAAATCGAGCCTCTGATTGGCTAGCCATAGTTTAGTGCACGTCGGTTGGACTTTTTGTAAAAGAAATATATATTTATTCACCTACTACATTGTTGTATAGGTATATGATGTAATAATTGATTTTATTTTCTTCATAGAGCATATTTTTTGACATTTTTGTTTTATTTTTATATGTTGTAAACCTTACGCGATAAAATGATGATGTTGTATTTACGGTTGACCAAACAAGGTATTGTACCAAAATGAAAAAAAAGATCGCGCATTAGACTAAAGTTGGTAAAAGGTCACGGACCACAATTTGATATATACTTTTAAGCCTCATACGGTTATTTTTATAATATATATCAATTAATTAAAAACAAACGTATACATACCTATATACCCATTTTTATATACACATATAAATTTAAAAATAGTTTTATAAATATTAATTTTAAAATAACATAATATATATAATTTAATAATTTAAATTAATGTAAAATAATGATATTAATTGTAATATTATATAATATAAATTAAGTATTATATAACTTATTTATAAATTATAATATTATATTAAAATTATTTTATTAACAATATTACGTGTTTATTTATAAAATATTTTTTTATTTTTATAAAATTTAAATAACATGTATTTAATTATTAAATAACATTATTTTAAGTTATTATTTTCGTATTAATTAAGTTATTTTTATATAATTATATTATTTAAAATTAATCATAATAATTATAAAATTAAAAAATTACATATATATAAAAGTTAATTTTTTCTTACTGTTTCCTATTTTAATCTCTATTTATCTCTAAATCTTTTAATTATCTTTCTTAAACCCAGTTTTTTATTTACGTAATCACGTGATATTTTTTTTAATTTTTTATATATTTATAAATCTTATATATATTTAATTAATATTATATAATATTATAACAATTAATATCGTTATTTTCGCATTAATTTAAGTTATTTAACGATATATATCATGTTATTTTAAAATAAATATTTAAAATTTAAAAAAACGCATGCATTTACAAGCTCGCGCAAACGTTTTTACGTGTTTATAACACGGTAAAATCCGTCGGAAACATTTAAATATCTTGTTAAATATCTTAATAAATCTCAGCCAATCATTTTTTTTATCAACTTATCAATTTTTTATTATTTATTAAAAAATTACTTATCAATTATTTATTAATTATTTATTAATTACTTATTAATTTCCTATAATAATTTTTAAAAATTTAAACGTAAAAAATGTTTTTAACAAATAAATTATTTTTAAATTTATAAATATAAATATAAATATAAAATTTTTAAATACAATTATATATATTACGTATAAAATATAAAATATATTTAAATAAATAAACTTTTTTCTCATTTTAAAGTGTAAAATACCGAGCTAATCGGATAAATCCGTGCTTAACTACCCGTTTAAGCTTAAATTTCATAATTTTTTCATTTTGGCACAGTACCCTGTTTGGTCAACCGTAGTATTCTTCAAGGGATTTTACGTGGGTTCTGTGGGAATATTACGTGCTCAAACAGACGACATACCACACACTTTGACTTTGGATTTCTACAATCTTTATAGGTTTTACAAATTTTCAGGCATCACACTGTTATTCTTAGGAATTTCACTACAGTTAACACTATTAGAAACCATACTGGTAACAGATAGAGGTGTTTGTGTATTTGTCTACCTATATTTCATCTAATCCATGAATGCAATATTCCACAGTTCATGGTATGACAACTTTAATCTCCAGAGTTTATGTAACTTTTTATTGAGTCTAACATGCGTACTCTATAATCCGCATTGTTTCTTTTTCATAAACGCGTTGCACTGATCGATTGTATTCTGACTAGTTATACGGAATATTCTTCTTTTCATAGATAAGAGTTGCACAGTATGACAGCATCACATTAAACGTTTTTTTGAGGCATAATTGAAAGCGTGGATCATTCTAGTCTTCGTTGTTGCATATTCCAAGCATAATCTCTCTACCTTGTGGTGCATCTGGAGCCTGTCGTATAAGGGGTTGAATCTTGGAGTATATATCCTGGACCGTTCGTGTTACATCCAGTTGCGAACCGAAGCAAGCCTCCCAGTCGAACTCCACGCTAGGTAGCCGTATAACGAATGATTCACAGCCCGAGAATAACTTAGAATTCCCACCTCGGATATCGTCCCAGATATATTGCCTCTGCACTAGATTTGATGGCGCTATTGTCAATGTTGATGATGCTAGTGCAGGTGCAAGTCCCGCGTTAGATGAATCTACGTGTTCTACGTTGGGTGAACTTATGGGTGCTACTTTCATGCGTGCAGTAGAAACTGGAAGCGGGAGTCGCGGGTCGGGAGAAGGCTGTCGAGCTGGACTGAATTCACGGTGCTATTCATAAGACCTGTAAGGCGGCTGATCAAAACCATCTCGGAATTCATATTCTGAGATGACCGACTGCCTCGATGGTGTTCGGTGATTCGGGTATCTTTGTGCAAAATCTTCTGCCTCAGGAACTGTGGTAGATATCTAGTTGGTGAGAAGCAGCGTAATATAAGCAAGATCTAAATAGCTTACAATGATCCTTGTATATATTCGCATTGGTCCGGTAGTCCACGGTATGATTATCAGCTAGGCTATTTTCGTACCACTCTAACACTTCGTCGAATAGGTATGGCGCATCGGGAGTTTTCTCTGGCACATCGCCATTCTACATCATATCTGAGGATTAAAGCTATTAAAGTTAAATACTTGTATAGCAAAGGGATAGGTATATCTTGGTTATGAATTCCCTATTTATCTTCGGCTTGCTATGTAGAGAATGCTTACGGAAGAGAAAAATTATACGAGAGCAAGTTGTAAAATGGTTAGCTTAAACAGTAAGATGGGACGTTTACAGTAAATATAGGATGGAAGAACTTTATTCTATTGACTAGTTCTGTCCTAACTACCTAGCTGCTGATACACCGGCAGGAGCTTATTGCAACATCTGCGATTATTATCAGTTAATCAGTCCCATCCATCTTGACCGGGGGCCAGTTGAGCAAGGGGTTGAAGTAATCTGTCACCTACTCACCGCCTGTAGATTGGTCTGGTGGCCTGGGCATCATAAAATTATTCTTCCTCGAACATCATCATAATATCCTGTTCCATATCGTCGTCGGCGTCGTGGTCATCAGTGACATGTCCCTGTGCAGGAGTGGCTCTGTACACATTCTCCGGCTGGTTATCGGTCTGATTGCTACCGCGCATATTGTTGGGGTGTCTCTCAGGGACGTAGCCTTGGTCGGGGAGGACATGAATATGGTCGAGGTCCCTGGTAGCAGGATCTAGGACTAGCTTATTCTTCTGTTTCTGAGCAGAAATGTTATAATCCCACCGGTTAAAATGAGTAGGTGGAAGCGATATCATCTTCATTCTGCTGATCGGGCCGGGAATTGAATGGTTCATTGCTATAGCGAGCTGGTTCCATCCTCGAGTTGATCTCAGAGGTGGTCGGCCAACACGGTTGACTACTTCGAGGTTGTATCTTGTAGCGTCGTCTATGGGCGGCTGGATCCGGCAGGTGTCAATAGTATGATTCATCCTGTTGCAGCGGTAACAACCCGGGATATCTCCTGCGGGTGTCCAATGCGTTACGCAATCTCTTAGGGCGTGGCCCACTATGTCGCAGTTTGCGCACACTAGAAGTCGGGGCTGGAGCTGGGGGGGAGGGTGTTGCTCCCTGGCGTTGTGTTCTCGAGGTAAGACTGTGGGGTGTCGAGGTACTAGTTGCTGTGCTTGTGGCTGTAAATCAGGCTGCACACGACGTTGGGCGGCCCGGAGAGCTATATGGCGACGTACGTGAGCTGCTTGGCTTAAGGGTTCGTTGGCGGACCGGATGTGCTGGCGTCTGTGATCAATCTGGAAGGACACTCTTGCGGTATCAGTGGGCTGTACTATCAGAGGAGCCATAGACGACATGTGATCTAGGACATCCATAAGCGATTGGGGGCCTGTTGTAGTGGCTCTTATGGTGTTGGTACCCAGACTGATAGCTGAGTTCTGCGCCGCGTTCATGTTTTCATTCCTTATAGCCATTGCACGTCTGCTATCGTAGGTCAGGTATCCACGCGCTTCGAGATTCCAGTTCGCACTGGTACTCAGGGCAGCGGTATTAGGTGCGTTGTTTCCAGCTCTGCCATCTCTTCGGCGTCTGTTGATTCGTGGTAAAACGGGAGGGCGGTTGCGTCTGGGAGCCTGATCTTCCTCGGTAGCCCAGCGGCTCTGACTGAGAGCGGCGGCCGATGCTGGGGTGAGTCGGGGCTGGTCATTCATTTGAATGTCTCCACCGGCGTTATCTCGATATGCCGGAGCTTCCTCTTGATTGAGGTTGGACTCAAACGGCTGTGGTGCGGTATTGGCAGAGCGTGCAGAGTGATCTCTGGGTCTCGATGCCTGGTCGTCTTGTAAGTTATTCATATTGTCTATAGGTTGTATATCCATCTTGAAAGTGCGCCCAGGTGTGGGAAGAAATTTCGCTGATGAATGATGAAAGAGAAAGAAGAGAAAAAAAATTTGGGGGGAGGGGGGGAGGATTCTTTTATACATGCACAGATGGGAGGGGAATTTCCAAGATCAGCCCGCAGCCTAAGGTTACCAAGTACTTTTGGTTGTTAGAGCAACTACGATCGTAGATTGGGTCAAAACCAGCCTGTACAAGCGGCTCGTACTCTTGTAATTGCTATTTTTATTTTCTATTGACGCACTTTGCCACCTGATTCTATTTTGCTGCCGGTTATTTTTCTGTTGATACAGTCTGCCACTTGACTCTGCCACTTGATTCTATTTTGTTGCTCTTTCCTTTTTTTTCTCTGTTGGTACATTCTGCCACCTGATTTTATTTTAATTACCGATTCTTTTTCTTGTTTTTTTTTCTAGGTAGGTAGATTTCTATTACTGATTTGATTTCGATTATCTATTTAACTCCATTCCCTACACTTGCTCTCGCCCCTGTATTATTAGCTGGTGATATGTTACTGTTAACTAAACCTTTCTATTCTATGCCACTGATTTTCAACTATCACATTCTGCTCTAACACCTTCCCTTTAGAGTACGTCAAGCTGAATACCCTCTTAATTCTAATCTATAATTCGAGATTTTAATATGCAACGATTGCTACTCACAGTAGATACCAAAGCCGTTTTAGTGATGCTTTATAGGTTAGGTACCTAGTTAACACATAGTTCAGTCCTCATTCTTCGGTGCTGATCGTAGATCGTACATGTTATTGTAGTTAATTACAGTCAGATTTAATGATAATTGGCTTAGCTAGTTAATACATGAGTACACTATGCACACCATTAAATTTTAAGGGTTAATCCTCCCAGGCTTCGGTAGCTGATCTACCATGCTGGAAGCCCAACCTTAGGAACGCGCATCAATAGGTTGACAGGTTCAATCTTATATAACATAGGCTAGAGTGAAAGATTTCATCAATATAATGAGAGTTTACTTCATAGCATAGGCTGTAAGTTCTACGTCAATTTTTAGACTACTAGAGTTGGATTAATATCAAGCAGTGGTGATAATTTGTATGCCTTGTCGAGAATGTTCTCTTGCTTATATCAAATTTGAATTTAAATTTGAGACTATGTCAACATATTATTTCAACAGCTAGTGTTAGAACCATAAAATCAACAATAAGTTTGGATTGACCACTGTTCTTGTCTCCTTGTGTTGGCTGTTGAAGTTCAATTTGGCACGTGAGCAGCTTAGCGGTATGTCATCATGTGATCCCGACAGTGCCCAAAAGTTTCACTTGATATTATGGTGCGAATAATACTATTCGCACAGTGTGGGTTCTTACATAAAGTAGGTACTCGTCAAGAGACCTTACCCTTTGTGTAACTATTCATTTTAAAAGTTAAAGGTGAATGATTGTTCCTAGCTAAAACATGACGACCTTTGCTCTTTTTACTATGCTGTGGAATGTAGCTACATACGAACGCGATTTTGTAACCTTAATACTTTGACATTTACATGTTACCCTCGATTTCAGAAAACTAGGATTCCACTCGAGAGCTAGAGAGCTATTGCAAGAACATCGGCTGAATGATCCGTTTTTCAAGGGTCATGTACCTGAGATGTAAACGACTTACAATAACTATTTAGGGACTCTAAATCCTACGAGAAAAGCTAAAGGCACAGCAAAGTTTTCAGGAACGAATGTTAGTAACTAGATCACTCCGCTTATTATTTATTAAGCATTCACAAAGCGAGTAACCGGGCAAGGATAAGAAGAAGGAAAAAAATGTTATCAAGAAGACGAGAGAAGCTTAATTAAGGTGAGTCTTAAGGGTTACGAGGTAATGATCCTAGTTACGGGCGAAGATGGGTTTTAGGCCCGACTGTATTCCATTAAACTATCATTGCTACCTATCTACCCGTCTGTCAAGCGAGTGTTGACGCCGTGGAGCTCTTAAAATCTAGCAGAGCGTGGTTTGGGGCTAGAATAGTCTTCTTCGAGAAGTTCTTCAGCTTTGGCCTGAAGCTCTGCAGCTCTTTGGTGGGTTCTTTCCGAGAGGACCGAGTAGCATCGCGCCTCAGAAAGATTCTCATCCGACGGATAGTCCTGACCCGGCTTTATCTGTTGGATGATGGCGGATGTGAGCTTGGTGCTTCGAAAAAGGGGGAAACCCCAAAAGCTCATATTGTCAAGAGCATCTATGAGTATGGTCATGTCGATGACGCGGATGAAGTAAGGATCTTGGTCGTTATGGCGTTTTGACTTGTATACCCGGGCTCCTCTACCTTGGGGAATCTTTGACTCGACGGACTTGGTGATCTGGTCGAAGAACGTCTGATAGAAACCTTTCTTGGGGCCAAGCTCTTGCTTCACTTGGGAGTATAGATCTTCCATAGTCGCCCGACCGGGGTTGCTCTCGACGACGCGTATCCACGTCTTGAAGAACATGCTCTCGGGGTCGCAGTCGACCAGCCTCCAAGGCCGGGCGTCATGAGTGCGTACTCGGTTTATATATTGGATGCACGTAGCTAGGAGCTTGAGGTTACCTAGCCAGATGTTCTGGGTGATAAGACATCTGAGGGCTTCCGAGAAGGCCTTGGACGGGAAAGGGTCGTTGATGCGTTTACCATTGTCCATAGTTACCAACGGATTCTCAGAGCAGTCGAGTGTCAATTGGTATTTCATGCCCATGAATTGATCATAGGTACAATCGTAATACCGAGGGAACAGACGGAAGACGGCTCCGAATGAATCTCGTCTGGCGCGATCTTCTACTGCTACATGTTCTACAGTATGCTGAGAGATGCGATTTGATTCGTCGTTATATGCGCGGTGAATGGAGGCAAATCCAGATTTTTCGTGGGGATACGTAGAACTACCCTCTTCAAAATCAGTGGGGCTTCTCTGCCTTTTCCGACCGGTGCTTTGGCTGGCTTTGGCATCCGAACGGGATTGCGAGCTTTGGTAGGATCTAGGACTCGGGCGTGTCTTTGAGTCTCGGCGAGAATACGAGCTTCCATGAGACCTCGAGCCCTTGTCCGACTTTGAGTAGGGTCGGGATTTTGAACTTCGTGGTCGATCAGACTCGGAGGAATAGAAGATAACAAACCTGTCAGACCTTGCTTCTTCACCCGAGGAATCTAAGAGGGGGGAAATCATGTCTTGATCCTCGTCCTCTTGGTATTCGTTGTCGCGGTTGTCGTAATCGCGGATGTCATCATCGTCGCGGTCATCATCGTCGCGGTCATCATCGCGGATGTCTTCATCATCGCGGATGTCTTCGTCGTCGTAGATGTCGTCGTCGTCGTAGATGTCGTCGTCGCGGTCGTCGCGGTCGTCGCGTAAAGGAGCTGATGTCCTGATTCGCTTGCTGGGGTGGAATAATGCTGCTTCGATCTGACCTGATCGACGGCTTGAACCAGCCGGATCTTGGTGACGGGCGCTACTCCAATTTGACGAATGGCCTTTATGGCCTCCGCCTTTTGCTCTTCCTGTCATCGTAAAAAAGTGGTTTCAAACTACTATGTATAGTAGTCGATGATAGTTGTGTGTGATGGGAGGGTTTGATGTTGAATGTGGGAGAAAAATAATTGTTTGCGAAGGATAGGGAACTTAGTTCTTAGCAAAAAGTTCGTGGGGCGGTGAACGCGACAGCACGGGTCACGAAAACTTGTTGCCTAGTGACGAACACCTGCCATTCATGCGGCCTTAGCTGCCATATGCCCTATTGTCCCTATGGCGACGCTGCCATCAGTGGTCGAGGGTCTGAAGCTACTATCATGCAGTACACCAAGCCCCCGCCGAGGCTTAGTAGGCAGCATAAGTACCTGGGTAGATATACTTTGATACATGAGAATAAAGATGCCAATTTGTACAAGCTATGTAACTAACTCCTAGCCCAATCCCCGGTATCATGCCAGAGCGATCACCACAACTATGCTCGGTAGTCCCACTAAGGCTTATCTTGTTTCCTGCGCCAATCCAGGAGTTCCACTTTAGCTCAAGTAAAGGTATTCTGCAAAGCTGCCAAAATATTTCGCAGTATTAAGCTGTATGTTGTAGCAGCTTCTGGGACTAAACAGAAAATTACCGAGGACATGGGTGACTGGCAGGTCCTACTCAACGCCAACGATAATGATAAATTGGTTTACGTCCAACGGCTCGAAGACTACCTAGGTAGATAAACGTATGCTCAGTCGCCTAAGTGCGTGTAGATGACTCTATGCGACGTTTAGAATGCTTCCTTAAAGCAAACAGAGCCAAAGTATCGACTATGAGGTCCTCTACAGCCTATCCATAGCATTCCATAGCATCACCTATCTATAGAGCTACTCTATCCAATTAGCGCCCGCCAGGTAGCCAGGAATGACTAGAGAAAAGCTTGCACCGGACTGGTGTTTCCTCAGTGGAATTCGACCTCATTTGCATAATATACGAGCCGCCCGTCAATATATTCTAATAGATACGGAAATTTCCCAGGAGATCAGGTCTTGGCGCGGTTGGCGTTCGTATGTAGCATATGACAAGGAAAAAACACCATGGCATGACTCCGAGAATCCTAATCTCTAGAGTATAGGGATTTTGGATGGTTTTGGACCAAGGGTTCGTTGGCCCTAAGATATCTTCAACTGTCTAGAAAAGAAGTACTAAAAGCGTGTAAGTTTAACATGTCGCCTTTGAAGTAGAATATGAATATATTTCGAAAGGTTATGGCAAACTTACAGAGTGGGGTACTTAGGGGCTAGAATCCCCGGAGGCAACTCTTAGGGTTAACCTTTTAAAAGTAAGAAACCTTGAGACCAAGATTGGAAATTTTCTAATAGGCTTCTTTGATATGAATAAAGAGAGGAATCCTAGATACTTACGTTGTTTCGTGTTCTATATCTTGATATGCCTCGGACGTGGAATCTGTGGATGAATTTACTGAAAAATGCGATTGAGGCCTCGTAACTGCTGCAGTCTCTGCCTTTATCGATGTAAGAGTCGTGAACGGATTCCGGTATTCCATAAGAAGAGCTGGGGGTTTAAAGTAAGATGGAAAACTCGCAAGGACTTGTCTAAAGGGGCTGTTCGGAAGATGTAGGAGTTTTTCGAGGGTAGGAAACCCACCAAAATAATTACAAAGCCCCTTGATATCCCCCAAAGTGTAAGCTTTTCGTTTAGTTTACCTCCTAGGACATCGATACTACCATAGCGTAACCTGTACTAACGTCTCAAAGGCTGTAGCTATCGAGTTTATCGAAATCGTTATTTGACGACAAGACATTTGACAGATTTCCAAATTCGTAATTAAGGATATACCCATCGTCTAGAAGTTCTATCGTATATTAATATCTGGAAGTAAATATATTTATCTACGCGAGTATTGTTACAATCCGTTACGGCTATAAGCCCCTAGCCTGACTTACTTCTACATACTTGGCATTATGCCACGAAGAAGATACATGAAACTAAAAGGAAGCAAAGCTGTAATCTATAGATGAGTTACAAATCCATTTCAAGTATCAGAAATAGCATGTAGAAGTAAGAAGCCTCTTTTACACGCACAATAGGGGAAATATCTGATAAGAAGCTTCAGCAACATAAATACAAATTTCAGGGAGCCTTCGCTCAAATTTTGGAGATAAAACTTGCTAAATGTTTCTAGTACGGACAGATCTCAGCGTACAAAGTTTCTAATGAAAAGATAGTCGGCTATCTACTTGGCCCCATGCAATATGCGCGTCCAAGAGGCAATATAAAACTCCTAGATGATATGTTGGTCAGAAGCGGCCACATTAGACCGTGTGGGAAGTCTTAGAAAGAAGGTGGCGCCGTGTGAAGCGGATACGCAACTCCGGATGGTTTCAAAGCCTACATCAACTAGCAAGTTTTTCTACATCGCATCCTATTTTCTAGAAGACGCATCGACAGTGATCTTTGGAACTAGAACAGCACCTATTCGTACGAAAGCTCTAGTACTAGAACATCGCCACTCGTAGTTACTTAACTAAGCATATATAAGCCTTCTACGCTATGTGCTTACCTCCCATCCGGCTATGTCACCCAGATCCTTCTTGCGCATTTCCAAGCTTTTGGCGCATATAGCGATCGGAGCTCGGGGTCCGCGTAGGCAGCAGAGAACAGCGAGGGAACATTTCGATGATGCTTCTAAGGGAAGAAGTATGCGACCCTCGGACTGTGAGAAATAAGCTTACACCGCTTAAGGTAAAATGAAACAGGGCGATTCCAGCCAAGATGAGAGCTGATAAATATGCTCGTTTACGTACCTAATAATTAGACGGCGTTGTACTACTCTGGGGATGTTTCCGTTGATTACAACATACAGCACTACCGGCTTATTTTCTTTCTCGGGTAACACGACCCCCCGACCAGAGGCACCAAGCTGCGAGAGCACCCACTAAGTGAGTTAACGTAGCTTTAGCTCCTCTTGTTACATCGCCGGTAGTTGGGAGGAGTTTATTCAACGCTTATTTGTGCTATACTTGGCCTGTACGACCTACACGTCACCATAGAAAACACTAGAGCTATCCCGCTTGCCTGTTTGCCAGACTAGGCGGCTACGGGGACTGGAGATAGACGGCTTTGAATGCGTCGGGTCTTGAATGGCTATAGTGGCCAGTCATGTCGCAACTGTTATGAAACATTTTGATGGTGGGATGAGGAGAGAACCGACTCATCCTCCCAAATATCTATCTCGACGAGATCCACACAGTAGTAATGCTGATGATTTTGATGGTATATACGGTCTTTCGCGACATCGTGTTTCGAAAATCGATGGGCCGGTATAAATAAAGTACCTAAGATAACATGATGGCAACTATATCGGTCGAGTAGATGTCGTACTTTTGTCCAGTTTTATTAAAAACTTGAATATTGTCGGCCTAAAAAGATTGGCGTATCTAGAAGGAATTCTGTGGAGGTCCACAAAGCTCGTTACGTAAAAGCAAGCTGAGCTTTAGTAACGATATCACAAAGTTATTAATAAAGAATCAAACGGATGGAATGAAACCCGGGTCTGGGGAACGTAAGCGTAGCGGGGGGGGAGGTGCCAAGACTCGCAAAGCCAGGCGCCCGGGATTTAAAGATTTGCTTCATACCCGATTCCCGCACGGGATGATCGAGATTACTGCTCCACTTGGGACGAAGCTGGTTTTATGCATATCCTACATCGCGGGTTCTATACAAGGAGGTATATATAAAGATGATATCTTAAGCCCGCCGACGGAGGTTAGACTCGGAGTTACGAAACAACGGTTAGATAGCTATAGTTAGAATTTGGTTTGTCTGACGTTATCGTAGTGGTTTTGACAGATTAAAAATAACAAGTGCGAAGATGCTAGCAGCTAGACTTGGCATTGCAGTTGATAAGTCTAATCCAGATCGGCCTGCTAGAACTGCGCTTCAGGTTCCTATAAATAATGTTTATACCATGTAGGGCAAACATGCGATTCTGCGAATAGCATCGATATCTGAGATTAAATTAGGCTTGGAGGGCTAAAAGCCGGGACCGACAACGACCCCAGCCGAAATTTTTAGATCAGCACCGGGACCGCGCGCATTCCAATCGTCAGGTACGATACACCCGTATATATCTTGATATTCTTACCCTCTTTGTACGAGTGACCTTTGGGATAGCTAAAGAATGAAATACAAGCACGGCGGTCGGTCACTAAAGAATTAGGATCGACAATACCAAAACAATCAATGACAGCAAGGCTGATGCAAATGCCCAGGTCTTGGCTGAAGCATTATGGGGGAGGAGGGGGGTAGCGCGGGGGCGGTCACGGCTGCATACGATCGACGAGCCTCTTGTATAACTCGGGCTGGTGTCACAAATACGTAAAATTGTTAAGCCAGGCTTATTAAACAGAAGAGACCTTGTTTAACTCAACAGTTGGTATGTGACAATTGTGCTAAGACGTGCAGCGAGTTGGGGTATACATGTTACACGATCATCTATGATAGGCGGTTGTCAAGAGGGGGTTAACTCGGCAGTAGACGGGTCGCTTACGTGCGTCAGAGGAGGAGAAGATGTCTGTTGAAAAGGAAGCTTCTTGGCTTGAGAAGGAAAGGGGAAGGAATCAAGATAAAGACTCGCCGTCGAGACTGCTATCTATCAAATAGTATACTGCAGCCAATAGATTTGGCTCTCAGCTGCGCGCATAAAAATAATAATAGGAGGTACGGTAAATGTACCCTACGCGAGGTCAAGTTCCACCTAGAAAACGCGGCTGTGTAAATCCTACGTCTTACGAGGTTTGTGTAACGCGAAGCAAAAGGTAACTAATAAGTCAGCATGGTAAGAGAAGGTGATAGGCGCGGACGTTTCGGTCATGTAGTCGGATCCGACGCGACAAAAAGGCCCGGCATAAGGTCGTTGCCACTGTGTGCAACCATCACGTAGCGCCTAACATCCGCCATCCGCCTGCACAATTCGTTCGGCACTAGATCCCCCTCGAGCATCCTTCGATTGAGGATGGAAGCCGTACGCACCCAGCTCGCGGGCTCGCGCCTACAGCTCCCGACGATATGGGTCATAAATAAGGTAGAGCACCAAGTCTTTCTAAACGCCATCGGGACCGGAGGCTGACGTCCCTCGTCACACACGCCGATATATGTATAGTCCTTTAAATTCCGCCTTGCTATTGCGTCCAGCTATGGCACTGCCTAGAGGCCCCCGAGGGCAGAGTATTGGCTAATAGAACTGTGGCTTGCTCCTGATGTGCGCTTAGAGATTTGATATCAGGCATTTCTTAAGCATGAAAGCATGATGTGGAAACAAGATTGGTCGGCGTACGACTTATCATTCGTGAGATATCCTCTAGGGTGTCTCGCAAAATAGCTGAGTAGGCTAAACTCGTGATAAATCGCCCCCGCGTAAGCTCTAAGGACAGACAACTACCAATTGCCGGCTATTCTTCAACAAAACATGGAACGTGAACGCTTCCGTAGGTGGCTTAACCTCGCGCATGTGAGAGAAGAAATTTTGTAAGTCGTAAGCTAGTTTGTTCGTCTACTGCCAGTCCCCAAGATTACTTGGCTGGCTCGTCTCAGCTACTCAGCAAATTTTTGCGTCTCGATCTCTAGGCCAGGTCTATCACATCTACCTTGCTCATCCCTGCGAGTCACGATCTCCAAGAGATTTGATGCCCTTTGAGCTCCAACCGGAATCTAAACCGGTCAAATTTGCGGCTGTCGAATACAAGAGACCCCACGTACTAGGGTTTTACTTTATGTGCTTCAACGGTTCGTGATGACATGCGTTGTCCTTGCTCGAGGCGCGCCGGTGGCGTTCTTCAATATTTTATGTGACACGTCGATAATGCCAAGAAAGCAGATGTCCATGTTTAGTTGAGGGTTAGGTAAACTAGGTACGACGCGTTCCCTCTAATGCCGTCGACACGTGAAATGTATGATTTCTTTGCCAGATTACGCTACGTCCGCATTTAAATCCTAGAGTAGGATCAGGCAGGTCGTCTATATCTCCGGGTGGCTCTCCAAACCGTCGGGAACCCCCCCAGGCTAGATGAACGTGCCGTAGGATGGATAAGCACTGCATCCCATCCTCCTATCTGTTCAGCTCCCTACTAGCTCGAGGTACATTGTTGTATCGATACTAGTTGAGCTACGTGACGAGCATAGTAAGCCTGATGGAAAGGGCCAGGAAGTAGCCTTTCGCCAGTTAGTTCCTACGGCAGAGAGCCGTGGATCGGATGTACCCCATACGCAGTATGCACAAATTCCAGTGTGCTGACAGCCAAGCCTTCTATCATGACTCTAATTTGTCTGATGTAGTAGACTGTGTCTAGAGTGCGATACTCCAACTGGCTAGAAAGCTTTGGAGCTGACTTTCTCATTGGCAAAGTGCATCAGCCGCGATAAAATCAGATCAGTGTCATCGGCTCGACTTGAGTTGCTAGCTCCCCATGTAATTTCCTACCAACTCTGCGACAATCCCTGTTTTCACGGTCGCTGCGGCCTTCTACTCGGGGAATTCTCGACCGTGAGCGATCGAACTAGGATAAGGGTTTTAATTTCTCCAATTTTAGAATACTCGAAGACCGTCGAAACCGGCAAGATTCTTCGTGGCCGATAGGTAGAGAGACAGAGAGTACGAATGATGGATTGCAGGATTAGAGGGAAAAGGATCGTATTTGTTAACTACGACGACCCAAACACCGGGGGACCGAAGACCTCTCGAATATCATGATTATTACTGCAAGCAACCAAACGGAGAAGCTTCCCCTGTCGTCTCTGCGTCCTTCGGTAGGTTAGAGCGAGCTGTCGTCATGGCCGATGCCACGTGCAGTAGGCAGTGTAACCGGACACGCTACGTTGATAGCTGTTTGCGCATATGAGTAATTCTAAGATCATGGCGACGTCGGCTGAAGTACGTAGCCTTGCGGCCTCGGGAGAACCACGTCCCGTTTACCGGCCAGGCTCAGTCCGTAATGTCGAGGGCCAATGTCTGCGAAGCCAAGCACACCTCCACGCTTGATGGTCAAAGCTGATGCCACGTGTAGTTCTCATCAAAAGAAAGTCGAGTGTCCGTTTCGAATTATTTTTGGAAACGATAGGCTTTCAAACTAAATCTTACGGTCGGCATGTTAATTTTATCGATGTCGAACGGATATTAAAACTAAATCCCCGTAGCCTCGAGACCCGATGCGTGCTCATGACGCTATATCCACGAGCCAGAGGAAGAGATGACAGCTCGTGTGCATTGCAGAATAAGAAAATATCTGCGGCGCTATTGGGAGTACCGACTGTGCGAATCCCGAAGAGGTGGTGGTAGCGGTGGGGAGAAATAATGAGTTAGGTCAAGGCGATTGGTCTGCTCTATTGGGGGGGATGTTGTAGACGATGTGATGGTCAAGGATTTGAGTTAATTCACCGTTGCACGAAAACGCCACTAGAACCTTCATCTCGCGCTGTCGAATCAAGCTTCGAAATAGTCGAAGAGCATCCACTGGCCCATACCCGCCATTTCGTCCCTACCTATAGTGTATTCATGTACTAGATACATCGTAGCTTTATCGGTGGCTGTTTTTCTGGCTCTACACCCCTGTTGACACAGCCCTACAGGGCGTCGAGGGCGTACGATATTTTCATGTCAGCGTGTGGCTGCAGGTCAGACCCACGGAAGCCCCCAGCAGACCTGTCGACCACGATCACACACCGCGACACGCAGGTAGGAGAATAATGAGTAATACAGGGGACGAACGATCCCCTGCGAACCGAATCGTATCGGTTCTTTACCAGGAGTCGGTTCGATTTTCCCGCGCGAATCCGTCGTGCTGATAGGGCACCCGTGGTTAAAACAAAAAGGTACATCTTGCTACCACGTACCAAGAGTCAGATCGATATTTCGAGAGTCAGAACCCCTTGGCGTTACTATACTTGTCTCTTCACGTCGATGATGGCTCGCTTCCTAACATAGACACGAGACCCCGGGCTAGTAGACTATTTGTAGATGCCGGAGCTAAGCCGCGTCGTGCAAGAATTTATGTACGGCTGATCGTCTCGAACTTGTGCATTGATACCTATCCTTGCAGGACCAATGTACCAACCCTAGAAATTCTTTATATCTCACGGGTTCCCACACCCAGTCCTACCTCTAAGGTTTGGCAAGTTTAGACGTATCGCAAACGACCTAAAGCTGTATCCACCTGACAGGTCTGTCCCCCAAGTTTCGGCAAGCCAATATTAGGCACGTATGATGTAATAAGGCAGGCGTTGTTTAGCGCGCTAACACGTCTTACAGAAATTGATATTCACCATGGTCGGCGTTCCTGGAAAGTACAAGGGCTGTAATACCTGCCGAGCTAGACGAGTCGCATGCGACAACGGGAGACCATTTTGCAAGAAATGCACAGATTATGGTCGCGAATGCGGCGGATACGAGAGGGAGGTTAGTAACTAAACTTCTAGCCCCTGGTCGGACCGAGGAATACACTCCCATAAATTTTGATGCCCAAGTCAGCTTTCCATATGCTCCCCGTCCCCGCATCCTAGTTGTTTTTAGAAATCGTGGAGATAAATGGCTGATAGTCGGATGCGAACTAGACCGTATTCATAGTCGGTACTCAAGACGACAAAGGGAGATGTTCGTCTCATCCGCCACGAAACCAGCAGGGCAAAAGAGCCAAAGGCAAGGAGATTCAGCAAGCAAATAAGTTAGATTTCATCGCTACCGAGCCATGGCAGCCCGCGTGGATCGACGTCATTTCGTTGTCGTCGGCTGCCGGATCGCATCGCGTTCGATTTGTCGCTCTTCAGACGGACCTCGACTCCGCGATTCGGCCGGGAAGCGGGTCGCCACGCAGAGACGACGATGTCAGGTTGTCGCTAAATGGTTTCCGCGCCCTCGACGTAAACCCCAAGTTCGGCCTCGACCCCTTTAGCATGAAGTCTCGCTGTCTCATCCAACTACCCCGAAGAGTGGCAATAGGCAGACGACTAGTACTAGCACGGAAGGGCTTTGCGTATTCTTATACGAGGTGCGTCGGAATTCCTCTAACCGACAAATTTGCTGAAATAGGGGTCTAGCAAAACTCCTCGGCCGCCTATGGTAGCGAGGCGCCTTGGAAAGGCTCGGCTACCCTTGCCGACCGGATCCGCGACCGGGGCCCCGCCGCGTACCAGTTCTTCCCGGAGCACCATTTCTTTGCTCGCGTCTATAGGCCCAGTGCAGTAAGTAAGCAACCGCTCGAGGGTATGCGGTTACTGATATCTGAGGTAGATTTGGGCGGCCTTGCTTAACCGTCAGCCGACCTTCCTTTGCTCTCCCGAGTGGACCGTCGTACCATGGGAACGACATCCTAGAACGCCGTTCGACGATCTACTAGACATAGTCGTTCTCTTACCATCGGTTTTCTCGCAAGCGAGCTGCATAACATCCCTAGACATAACATCACTAGATGTGTCTACTTTTCACCACCCAAAGGAAAAGGAGTTTTTGGACTACTGCGTCAGCATCGAGAACCAATTTGATATCTGGTATAGCATGCTGCGCCAGAGGGCCAACGAGTCGGGATCTATGCTATACTGGACGGCAGACGCGACACATTGCGACGCACATGTGCCCTTCTCCAACGTGTTCAACTTCCCTTCGCCGTTGATGGGGTTGGTTCACGTTTACTACTGGGCTGTTCTTATCAGATTTCATCAGTGCATATATACGATACTGAATACCATCGTCGAATCTGAGGGCAAGAGGTCGCCCGGCGGTCTCGGTATGCTGCGTGAGATACCTCTAGGGATAGATATACGGAAATATCAGCCTTCTCAGACGAGAATCCTTGTAGAAAACGTGTGCCGAAGTTTAGACTTCACCCTCGAAACCACGAGGCAGCCAGATCTTTTAGCTGCTCCCCTCTGGGTTGTGAACGAGTTTTATGATGAAATTGAACTTTTTGAAGACGTGGGATTAGAACGTCTATGGTGTACAGGCTTTAAGGGTAGATTGGAAGCAAAAGGCCGCGGAATAAGTTCATATTTACAAGAGAACAAATGGGTTGATGTCAAGCGGTTTGGATAGGTACGGTAACATTGGTAAAAGTAACTCTGGCGTAACGGAGACGGGACGGGGACTAAGGCACAGCCACGAATTTCCGTTAGACATGGATTTGTAAAATAGATAATGCCTTCCCATCTAGTGGCTAATTTTGGTGAGATCGTTCTATTAAGAAGACCAACTCTGTGTTATATAAAAGGAAATAAGGTCCAAAGTGTTTAGTTAAGCAAATTAGGAACACAAGTTTGATCACGTAATCAAAAATACTTTAGGTTGAGTGAGAGGTCAAATGTGGCGGTGCATACTACATATAGGTACATAGGTACCTTATTGTAGGTACGTACATGACCTAGCTTTCTCAAATCAGTGCTATCTGTGGCTTGAGCTTCAGGCGTCTCCATCTAGCGTTTGGCTGCAGGGAGCTTCGTAACTCTGGCAGCCTTGCGTACTCTCATAACTTGTAAACCATAAACCTCGCCAAATTCCCAGGTCATTCCTCGAGCTTTACCAAAGCTCCCCCACGTACCTTTACCTTTTCAGACTCCATTTACACCTTTTCGTTTTTAATACATTTCACCATGGCGTCAGGATACGACAGAGCCCTTTCCGGTAAGTTTCTTTTTCCCAACTAACGTTCATAACGACGAAGCAGCTTAGCTAATTATATATACCTACAGTATTCAGGTTCGTATTAAACGAGGGCACTACGTAGTATACCTTTCTGACACATATATAGTCCGGATGGACACGTCTTCCAGGTGGAATATGCGGGTGAAGCCGTCAAGCGAGGTACAAACACTACTAAGCAGCTCAATCGCTCGAAGCTAATGCCGTCCAGGTACCTGCGCGGTCGGTGTGAAGGGCGCAGATATCGTCGTGCTCGGTTGCGAGAAGAGGTCGGCTATGAAGCTACAAGACACACGCATTACTCCTTCTAAGATCGGTCTCATCGACACCCACGTCTGCCTCGCATTTGCCGGTCTGAATGCCGACGCTCGAATCCTAGTAGACAAGGCGCGACTAGAAGCGCAATCGCACCGCCTCACGGTTGAGGATCCCGTATCAATCGAGTACATCACCAAGTACGTCGCCGGCGTACAGCAGAGATATACGCAGAGCGGTGGTGTGCGACCCTTCGGAATCAGCACGATGATCGTAGGCTTCGACAAAAATAGCAAAGTACCCAGACTTTATCAGACCGAACCGAGCGGTATCTACTCCGCATGGTATGTTTATTCGTCTTCTACGATGGCGGCAGGGTAGGATATGTGCTAATACACTATACACAGGAAGGCAAATGCTATCGGCCGCTCGAGCAAGACGGTCAGAGAATTCTTAGAGCGCAACTACAAGGAAGACATGGATCGCGAGGCGACCATTCGACTAGCTATCAAGTCGCTACTAGAAGTCGTGCAGACGGGCGCAAAGAACATCGAAATCGCCATCATGGCTCCAGGAAAGACTCTGGAACTGCTACCGGTGGAAGATATCGAGGGTTACGTCAAGAACATCGAGCAAGAGAAGCAAGAGGAAGCCGCCAAGAAGAAGACCGGCCGGACACCAGGAACAGGTAGCGCGGCCATTTTGACTAGAGAGCAAGGTGGCAGTGATTAAACATGAGACGTAGCCAAAGCTTTACAGACCTCTAGAAAATAAATCATAGGGCATGTCACTATCTGTACACTACCCGCCCAGAAGCATGCATCATCCTCCGTCTCTTGTTGCCATTCTGTTGTCCTAGAAGTCTAAATGTGTGTGGTATCATGTAAATGCATCGCTCTGCAACCCAGAATCATGCTCGTCGTAATTTTCTAATTATAACCTGAGTCCCCCTTCTTCAACCGAGCTTATCCGCGTCGCTCTGGATGTCGAAAATAGTTCTGTTCTGATTTCCTTTTACCCGCTCGTCCTTGAGCATACGGTTATCCATCCGCATCCTCGCCTTCGACCGTTAAAGCGGGCTTCGGCACGACGGCATCGATGACGAAGTGGTTATCGCAGTGGGGGCAGTATTCGTCGGCCTCTTCGAACTCCTGGGCGTCCTTGCGGAAGCACTTCTTGCACTTCTTGCAGGCGAACGTCATCTCCAAGCTCTGCAGCAGCTGGTGCGACTCCTGCTCGTGGTGGCACTCTGCGCAGTCAAACCATTTTTTACCTAGGCAGGGGGCGTCAGTAGGCATCTAAAGCGGTGGGTGTAAACGATTAAGGCCATGAGGGGGTTCGTAGGTATGGCATGCGTAGACGAATATCTCAAGAACGTACAGCATGGCGAGCGGATCGCAACTTGAGCATTTAAGACGTGCTTGCTGTACGATGGTTAACCTTCATATTAGAAATTTATGTGTAAAATCCTAAGCTTACCACATCGTGAAGGGTTATCAAGTGTGACGGTGCACTAACAACAACTATTTTGGTAACTCACGAGCAGATTCGCTTTTTAATTTGTTACGCGTTATGAATTTTAGAGTAGGTTTCTAATCAGTTCCTTATCCCCTTATCCCCTTACTCTCTCTCCCCCCCGGTTGGAAAATGATTACCTTATTGCGGGGTCTTAGCGCAGTTAGTCCCTATCAATCAGCCTCTAGCGCATCTCCGAAATCCTGGCTATGAGATGTGAGGCTCAACTTATCTTTAACCACAGTGCACTCAGTTTATATATGAAGATTTACCCTTCTAATAAATTCAAATTTTTGAAAATATTCTTTATATAGTTCTCATAGTAAAAGGTTTGATAAAATAGAGTATACAATTTTCGACCTCGATGTACTCCAATGAAAGATGAAATCCATGACAACAGGTACAGCGACAGGTACAAGGATATCAAGTCTATAACATTCATTATATAGGTATCTCTGCCTAGGATCATAACAAGAATAACGTCACAAAGAACAGCCCACACAAGTTATCACCGCCAGAATTTATAAGCCATATATGCGAGTCCCAACTCCATTCTACCAAGTGTAATTATAAACCCTTCCGAAGCAGTTCGTCCCATGCACCCATACGTTATAGCAAATCCATTATCATTTCGTCGAAGGAATATCTTGCAAATTACTTCCTCCACCCCAACAACAGTATTTGAACGCAATACTGCTGTGAACCAGATTCAAGTCTCCTCCTAACTTATCCCATAACAAGTTCCTCATCTTTTATCCGTGAATATAATTAGGCCCTGAAGCAGTTGAACCTTCCAAAGCTGAACCGCCACGGTCCTCGACGTACGCCGTGTCGACCGGCAGTAACGTTGGTGCCGAAGTGGCGACCGCCGAAGTTCTTAGAGTAGAAAAGTGGCATTGTTGTGGTTTGTGTTTGTAGCTGTTGATCTGATAGGTGAGTCTATGGTTTGACTTGTCATACGTTGAATAGGACTTTTGGCTTACCTTTGGTTGTGTTTTATGATGTTTAGATGTAACGTCAATGACTTGGTAAGTTTATAATGATGTTCGGTGAGAAGTTGATATATACAGACGAGAAGTTTTCTATAACTAAGGTATTTAAATAAGGCGGTAATGAGTATTTAATGTTACATTCAATTCTTGGGAGATGTCTAATATCAAGGAATATTCATTTTAGCAGGGCTTGCTGGCTTTGATGGCAAGTCGTACGACAACTTGAACTTATACGAATTACGTCACACAAGAACACCGTCACCAAAACTAAGACTAGCAACTCTTTGTTGATTGGCTTTGGTGACCTTGGCGTGTTGCACGATTAGATAACTGGCATAAGAAGGCTTGGCAAAGCACATAGCCACAATATCTAACCTCGTTTGATCTAGCGCCACTTCTACTTAAAACTTCAATGTTCAATCTTCATCCGATTCCAATCTCGAACCCTTTTCGCTATTTCTCTCGTTCAACAATACTCTATTAGTAATATGATGAACCTATCTAGATCTCTTCCTTTCTTTCTTACTTCCTTCCTCTCTCTCCCCCAAACAACGGGTCCATCTCCTTCGTAATATATTCGGAAACCTACGCGCTCTCCACCAATTAAACTAACTCGGATGCTACATGCCGGTTTCTGATGAGCTGAACACGAAAATGGGAAATGATTGGCCTATATCCTAGCAATTTTTACTTAGTAAATACAAAAGAACTGATCTTTCGTACAGCCCTACATGTTTGACAGTAATACAAGGGTACGGCATTAATCATGTAACTAAAGAATCCTATAAGCCCCCTATCAGCCCATCCGTCGAAATGAAAATGATTTGCTCTTGAAACCTTCTACGCATCCGGAAAACACGACCAAGTATTCATACACGAACCCAAAGAATGTCCACCAGCGACTTTTCCGGCTGGGCCATTCGTAGAAACGGCTCTTGCGTTGGGGAAGTTGACTGCGGCGTTACTAGAAATCCCTTTCACGCCTGCTGCCCTTCTTCGACGGAATGTCCAAGCCAATACAACGTAGCTTGCTGCCCATTCGGCCAGAACTGCACAGCAGCAGCTGTCGAGACCCCGAAATGCGCCAATGGATCGTGGGCCATGTTTGATAACGCAGGCTTCTTCTGCTGCGAAAAGGGCTATATAGGCTACAACTATGGCGGGACCGACGGATGTTCTAAGTCTGGGGCAAGCTTACCGGATGGCGCATTGCCGCTTGCCGAGATTTCTCAAGGTACAACTATGTAAACCGTTAAATCTATCGAAACGACGGGCAAACTGATCTTACCCGCTCTATCTATAGCTAGCTTCTCCTCGAGCTCGACGACGTCGACAACAACACCGACGGCAACGCCTGCGCCAGACTCTCAATCAGACTCGCAATCAAACTCCGACTCCGATTCCAATTCGAGCAATTCTACCCCCGTGGGCCCAATAGTTGGGGGTGTGCTTGGAGGAGTAGCGTTTCTCGCACTTGTTATTTTATGTTTATGGTTTGTTCGCCGAAGAAAGGCCCGGGTCGAAGACGCTGCGCAGAGTTTTATGCTGAACCAAGAACCTCCGATCCCAATAAGAACTGAGAAGTATGCAGGAACAGCCGCGCCCGGTCGGGTAGAGATTGACGGTAATCCCCGGGTCGAATTATCGAATGACGCTGCTACGAAGACGTATGAGTTAGCTTAAAGTGTGTGCATAGGCGAAATCTGAGTTTTACGGGACGCGGGAGAGTCGGTAAAGCCAGTAGATTGGAATTTATAGACGCCACAGTTCCACGGAAGTGGAAGAAACTCTGTCACAAGTCGTTTAGAAAGATGTTACGTATCGCATTCTCGCAGAAAGAATATCATGTACATATCATAATCTTCATGTATAGAGTCATCGATTCTTAAGAATATTCTTAATATATAGAGGGTCATCAAAGACCGTATTTAATCACCTGTTGGACTTTGAGATCAATATAAATATTTCAACGTATTCAGACTTACAAAAGGCTCGAAGACCCCCACGTCTCCATGGTCAGCCTTAATTCAATGCTGCCAGTATTGCAATAGCTTGATACTGACCACCAAGGTATTATATCCTTAATTTTACCAACCCGTAGCAGGGTTAGTGAACAATGACTCTTCAAAAGCCGAGGGTGTAGAACGGGTTCTCGACCAACCCAACAACTTCACGGAAAACTTAAGTTAAGTTAACAAACTATGGGTGTGAAGATTCGAATTGAAAGAATGCTGCTGTCACTTTCTTTAGTTGTAGTTACACTTATAGTTCAACATGCCAATTTAGGACTAAACCTCGAAGAAGAACAAGAAGAAAAAGGCATAAGATAAATTATAAGTTATGAAAGGTGGTCTCTCGCGCGCAATGGATGAACAACTAGGTCTGTTGGATTGACTGGGGAATCGATTCAGTTACTTTGTATCACCAATTACCCTTGTAGTAAAAGTGATGTCCTATTGTATTGATTGATGATGAAAGAGGAAGATCTACGAAAAGTGGGGGAATCTAAATACAATTGGATTAGGGTGTGGGTGGGGCCCAACCCTTGGTCACATGACAATGCTAGGTGCCATTGTCACGTGACCATAATCCCAACAAGGTCCATTCCCTTTACAAAGACTGTGTTTATGGAGATGCTATAGTTGAGTCTTCGACTACTCAGGACCCTAAGCCAAAGGAAAGGGAATCATACCTCAGCACTAGAGACTATTTTCGCAATTATCTGCTAAATTTGAACTCTAGAAATTCCATCTATAAATTGAACTTTCCAACGACTCCAATTTCGACTTGGAGGAGGTCGTTGTTTCACAAAGGAATTCGTAGTCCTAACCAAGAGACTCGAATGATATGTCCTAAAGCATCAACAAAGACGAATTTTTCAGTCTGACCATAGACTAGATATCTACAATAATCCTCGCAACAACTGAATCATGCAAACAATTATATATATATATATATATACTAACCCCCAAGACGAATTGGTAGTTACTCGGACCCGAGGAGGCGCAAAGAATCCACTTCAAGTCCACTTCAAGAACGCCTTACGTGTGCCTCATTACGCGTAGCCATATACCCCAGCACGCAACCGCCAAATGTCTTTCTTACGTAGCAAATACCAGGCTGTTTATTCTAAGCTCGTCAAAAAAACAAAAACGAAATTACGTGACGAGTACCAGTGGGGATGAGTTAGGAAGATGAAAGGCATCTGGTGGCTCAGCTTCTAACACATTACGAATACCCACGGACCCGATTGAGCAGACGCCCATCAGCAAGCCACGGCGAATGTGACAGGCCGAGAGCAAACGGCATCCTTAATATATGGGACTCCCTTGACGAATTGGGGGGGTCGTACAAACCGGCACGGCAGAGCTGTCGGCTTCTTCCGTCTATTTATGTATTGGATGATATGATGTGCTGCATATAAGCCTGTCGCAGGATAATTGTTCAGTCGTTTGCGTATTATACGCGTAACAAGCCTCCTTGGTTTCAAATCCGCCTTTGGCGCAGCGATGGGGAGGTGGGTAGGATTGCGAAACTTCTTACGCTTGTCTTCTGAAAGTGCAAACAGATCGACGGGTGAGAGATGATGTAAAATTCTCCTTATAAACGTAGCGTCTTTCCACGATGGACTTTTCACTTGGTAGCAAACACATTTCTTATATCGTCGAACAAGGAACTTAACATAGTCTATAAAAATTTCGATCCGTCAAATCATCATCTTTCCGACTTTCAGACACCACCTTTTTCAACTACCATCTCAACAAAATGCTCTTCCAAACTCTCCCGCTCGCAGCCTTAGTTGCCGTCGTCCTCAGCTTGCCTGCTCCGCAGCAGCCCAGCATAAACCCGGGTTCGGTTCCGACAAGTCTACCTCAGCCAGGAGATTCAAACGGCAACCACCATATTCCTTCCGGTTTGACGCTACCTTTTGGTGTAGTTTTACCGGACCGCCGAGCGGCTTTCCGACTGATTTTCCTAGCGGCTTCCCGAGCGGATTCCCTAGTGTCTTTCCTAGCGGTCTTCCGAGTGGCTTCCCAAGCGACTTCGCCAACGGGCCCCCTAGTGGCTTCCCTACAAGCCGCCCAACTGGTCTTCCTGCTGGGTTCCCTACTGGGTTCCCTACTAGTGGTTTCCCTAACGGTGCTGTTCCTACTGGCCTCCCAACCGGCCTCCCTACCGGCTTTCCTACCGGCTTCCCTTCAGCTCCCTCTGGCTCACCTTAGGATTTACGATGATGAGGCAACGCTAAGGGTCATGGTGAAAAAGAATCTTTCCTTGATGAAGTAAGAGAAGCTTAAAGTTAGATATTATTTTACACGAACTTATCTCAAGAGCCCCTTTCGATACTTTCGTTTTCATCTACCTTTCCGGGTTTATTTCCGAAGGGTTATAGCATGGTCCATGGTCTTGATTCTTGGATTTCATTGGCCGTCATTCATTGTTGGGGTTATAGCTGGACATAAGCGGAGTTGGGGGCTGGTGTTGTCCGGAGCTAGTCTCGCAATATTAGTATCGCATTGCTAGTTCAAATAAAGAATATAGAATGATCTTCCAAATATACTCGTTGCATAGAAAATTATTTATATGTGACTGTTATATGCGACTGTATATGGTAGCTGATACGGATACTAGGGTATTGTTACTTACCCTAGATTCTGCTCAATGATACTTAGAGCCTCTGTCTAAGAGAAGAGAAGGAAAACGGATTAAGAGCTTACGAAGAGTTCAAGATTAGAAATATATATGAAGTAGCATAGAGGTCCATGTAGATGACGCCCGCGCCAAGTACAGCATGAAAAAGGGTTAGATATGAATAGTCCTACAGCTCTTGGCCGACGAATTGAATATGTCAAGGGAATATCATCCACGTCGCTTCCCTTTCTACTCTTATCCCATCCTACACACAATTTACCTTTATTGTCCTAACGTATTCGAGATAAATATTCGGCTTAGTAAGAAGGAAAACACCTAAGCACTATCGTCGCTAGGGGCTAATTTATAGGTCTTGTTGTGTCGCCACCAGGGCCAACTCGAAAGCTTCGGCGAAAGCGACACAGTCCTCGAACGAATTGTACAAGGGAGCGGGAGCGACGCGAACTACGTTTGGCTTCCTCTCGTCTACGATGACGCCGCTCGTCTCTAACTCCTTCATCACCGGGTCTAGGATATTGTCTGCCAGCAGCAGACTCAGCTGGGCACCGCGCTGGTCCGGGTCGGACGGCGTGATAATTCTGAAGAGCTGTTTGGCATCTTCCGATAGGAGGGAGAGGCACTGCTCGAGAAACGCCGTAAGCCTCTTAGATTTCTCTCGGAGGGGCGACACTCCGCCGGCAAGTTCGAAAACCTCGAGCGAGGCGCTTAGACTTGTGATGTCAAGGATGCTAGGGTTACTCAGCTGGAATCCGGCTGCTCCTTTTACGGGGTGGAACTTGGTCTCCATCCGGAAGCGAGTTGCTTTGTCGTTTCCCCACCAGCCTGACAATCGTTTACCGTATCCCCTCTCGGGTTCCTCGTCGGCGATCGTCGTGGTCACTAAGCTGTTGCGAGAGTTGATAAACATACCTCCTATGCAACCCGGGCCGCCGTTGAGGTACTTATACGTGCACCAGGCCGCGGCGTCTACGTCCCAGTCGTGCAGGTGAAGGGGAACGTTGCCCACCGCGTGGGCTAGGTCCCAGATGATGAAGATGTTGTGCTTGTGCGCATACGCGGTGATGGTCGGGATATCCAACAGCTGGCCGGTATAATACTGGATGCCGGGTAGTAGGATCAAGGCCGTGTCTGATGCGTGTTTCGAGATGATGGACTGGATGTCGTAGGTGGTGATGAGAGCGTCTTCCGAGTAGGGCGACTCTATGGTCACCATGGACGTGCTTGGGGAGAGACCATGATGGCGGATCTGGCTCAGCACGGCAAACTATCACGTCTCAGCGAACGCACGTTTGTCGTCATGCGGATCGTCTCTTACATGATCGCTTGGGAAAGCCTTGCTTTCTAGGATAATTTTGTGCTTCCCCTTTGGATCCGGACGGTAGAAAGCAGACATCAATAGATGCAAGTTCGCTGTCAGGGTCTGCATGACAGCTACTTCTGATTCATCCGCGCCGACTATGGAGGCCATCGATTTGGCAGCTCGAGCGTCAGCGTCGAGCCATGTCGGTAGAGGAGAATCTTCCAAGGGCTTAAAGTGCCCCTGGACGGCCTGAGTGGACCAGGTTTGGAGATACTGGTTGATGCGAGTTGCAGTTCTTTTGGGTTGCAGTCCGAGAGAATTCCCGCAGAGGTATGTACATGCGGTTGTCTCGTCGGCTGGGGCGGGATCGTTACGATCTAAGGAAGTTCAGTATGAGCTGACGGATCTCGGTTGCTGCAGACCGGAAAAGGCAGTTCACCTTGTTGGTTATGTTGCTGCGGCTGTTCTAATGTTGTTCGTTTAATATCAGCCTTAGTGGGGACTTGAAATTCGTCTCTCAAATGACGGAGTCCGTCTTCCCCATCTAAGATTTCAGCCTGAGCACGAAGATTCGAAAAGTGCGATTGGTCGGATGAGGCGTTCATTCTAAGTTAGGAATGGGGGAAAAAATAGTAATTGTGTTACTTTGTATAGAATTATGAAATGTGGTCCACGCGTGAACCAATTTGATGAATAATAGTCGTGATCGCGTTTGTTGAAGATTGTAAGTGGTAAGTGGTGAGTGGTGAGTTACTTCCCGTCAGTCCGACTTTGATTTTTCTCTCGATAAACCCCGCGATTTGACTCCAATCCTTGCGGTTTACGGCAGTGACAACCTTTCTGAACCTTGAACCTAAAGCCCAAATGTGGTAGGTGGGGTAGAAAAGACGGGATTGGGGCGATCTTACTGCAAGCAATTACGTCGTTTACCTAACGCATACCTAACGCATACCTAACTCGAGACCAACTTCGATTAAGCGAAGAATGAGTTTAGTCATGATGCATCTAAAAAGACAAATAGATCCAATTTACTTACGAAACAAAAATCCAACGAACCGACCTCAATGTAAAATGTAAATATCCGCAACGTGTCCAGACGCCGCAGATAGACCGCATATCGCATAGACAGACAGGTTCGGGTCGCACAAATTGGGTTAACAAGCTTCGTTAAGCTTTCTTGGACAGATCGGATATATTATTCTTCGGCATAAGGAGCGTGAAGGAGCATTTAGAAAATATGGAGATGGTATCAATTTCTGGATCGACGCTGCAATGCAACAACGGCTTGGCTTTTTCACTTCGAACTAACAAGAATCGCGAACAATGTTACGGCTAGAAACTAAATTGATAATACGAATTCTATTAGTTGCCTCTGAACTAATTGTGCAATTAACATCAACATTGCGTGGCCACTTCTCATCGCCCATCGGCAAATCCAACGCTGGCGGATAAGGCGTCGTACCCTTAACTTGGGGTGAACACCGGCAGAGCGGTTCCAATCGAGAACTGCGATTATTTGCATGTCCATTACGGGCCGTTCCTGGATTAATGAATACCACATGCTCTCTGTGGCTGTCTGGGTATGGTTAAATGTTGGGGTCAACTTCCAAGCCCCCCCCTAAACCGAAAGACAATGCATACATATGCACACCCCTCGGATCATACCGTGACGTGAGATTGTATCGATGATGGAAAGGAAAGAGACTTCTAGTCTACGGTCGAATAATAAAAAGAATAATAATAAGTTGAAAGGAAAAGGCTGATAAGGACTGAATGGTCCTCCCTCGTATTATCGACCGTTGGCCGTTTCACGAATCCACACTCGTGGCGGTGCTTATCTATAATTCAGGGGTATAGTGCGTATGCAGTACGTACAACTCCAGTTTTGATATGCGTATAGTCGTTGATAGGAGGCTACGGCTGTTACAGGGCGAAAACGTGGAAGAGAGTTTAAAAATAGCCCTGTTCCGGACCGTAATCATCGATCGATAAACGCTGCATACCTATCCCACAAACTGGTTTTCTCCGTGCCCCCGTATTGTTTGTGGAACTTTACTGTATCATAATGTTAGTTTTTTTTTTTGATTCTTTTCCCCTTTTTTCTCTCCTGTCAAGATTGCCACGAAGCAATATGACTAGGAACGAACCAGTAAGGCAGGCAATACGCTTGAGCTCCCCGTCTTAGAACTACCATTCTTGGAATTGCGGCAGAAGCTGCCGGCATAAGGTTGTTTACGTTAGTCAAAACGAACGAACGAACGCTGAACACAACTCCCTATCCTGGACGCGGCGATGGTAACAGATGATTGTCCCTGCAGTGTCACCTAGTACAGGAGTAGAGAGAAGAATTGTTCCACTCGGGCTCCGCAAAAAAAAGGAGACGATATTTTCATTTCGAGATCTCAACCGGTTCTCATGACGTTGATTTCGGAGGAGATGTCGCCATGAAAACTGAAGAAACCCCTTAACCTAAGAGGACGGGGCGCTGGACCACTAACCTCACGACAAGTTTAGTAATGAGAAGTCGAACCCTGGGACCGAGAATGTGCACCGGCAGGCCAAGAGAGAGTTGTTGAGCTATCACGAGGCCTTTCGAGTTGCCTGGCGTCAAATCGGCTGACCTCGTGCTGCTCCATTGGGTTCGATAGACGCTGCTATCAAGTAATAAGGGGGTAATAGAAAATAAGAATCGCAACATTTTTACGTGTGAGGTTCCTGGATGACACCGTCGAAATCGCGGGGCAGGTGGACCTAACCAAGTCACCCGAGAGGTTGTAGAGCTGGGGCTATAGCGCTATGCCCTATGGAGGTGTGCTAAAGAGCCGGTACGCGTTACTGCCATTTTTAACTTACGTACGAAGTACCCGTATGTATAGAAGTACCTGCTCACACTTGAATAGTACCTAATTCCATCATTTCTACCTGTAATTGTACTCCAAGCCAAGTACCCTAGACACCTACCTAGGTACGTAAGGTACATGTAATTTCTGTAACAAGGTCCGCTTCCAATTGATCATCAGCCGTCTTGAATTTTTTTCTGTCCTTTCAGCTTCCCGAAGCATCGAGAGCCAATTCCATCTCTGCGCTGTTTCATCATTCCTGAACTCAATAGCGATAGGTATTGCAACATGTATTGGGTCATTGGATATACTAGTTGCGCCACAGCCTGTCATTGGGTCTCCTATGTAAGAGGCGGTAAAGCTATGTTAGGTACACTCCATATGAGGTCTCATGGAAGTTAGAAGTTATTAATGCGCGAGCCTAGCGCGATGAGCCGCTATCTATTATCAGAATGGCACCTGGACATAACACCTGAACTACCCAGCTACGCTAGACAATAATCCCTTATTTAACAATGGCCAATATGATTCGTTCTAGCAACTCTCCTTAGGGGGTTAGGGGCTAGAAAGATAAGGAGAAAGAGAGGTGAGCTGGCGATTGATAGACGGGATCAACATGTAAAGACGAGACCCCTAGGATTATCACTCCGGTCAAACAAATGATTTGCATATTACCTTACCTAGGTACTTACCTACCCGGAGGAGGCGATCACATTGCCCATTCATGTAGGTAATTTGCAAGAGCTTACTCTTACTCATCTGCTGAGACGGATGGGGTCTGGCTCGATATCCTACATATCCGCCGGACAGCTAAGAAAAAAAAAAGTTGGGGACTTGTGTCGCGTTGTATGTCACGATGTATATCGCGTACCTACAAGGCGAGAGATACTTAGTCGACCCCAGAGAAGTTCAAAGAGGTACCTCGTGGTCTCGATGTCGAATTCCTCCTCGAATAGCCGTCGGTACTCGATACGGTCAATAGTCGCCTAGACTCGTCCAAGTTTGAGAAAAAAAACTCAGACCGTTGGATCGCATAGTAGATCCATCGCGATCCACTAAACCCCAGTCCGAGACGACATGTGATGCTGAAGTTGTTCTTCCAACGAGTTCTGGATGCTCGCCGCATGGCTATTCCCTTGGCTACGGGTGACCCGCGTCACCGCCAGGACCCAAGTACCGCGGCATACAACTTTATGTGACCCGGTACTCCAGCTATACGGATTTTCAGGTACCCAGACGGTTGGGCCAATAGGAGCGTAGCGTTCCGCCCGTTCCAGTTAGCTGCAGGGTTAGCCTCTCGTTTTGTTCCATTTGCGTTCACCGTGATGAAAGAATCTTCGATTGGTTTTCTTCTACTGGTCCCGTCAATGTCTTTCCCAATACTAAGTGGAATTGGGAATACCAAGCGATACCCTCAGATTTTGAGAACCGTATTGTACATGCCCCAGGAAACCCTGCGATACCCTGCGATGCTAAACTTGCTAACTGCAAGGATGTCCATCGCAGAAGCTGGAAAGAATCCTCGACGTACAGTGCACAGAGTACACTACGAGCACCGCCGCTGAAAACGTGATTCTCTTATGTGTAATAGTTGCTGACGGTTTTACTTCCTTGTTTTTAACGGTACAGTATATAAGAAGCCGGTAGCTCCCCTTTTTCTCAACTTCACGATCGTCATCAATTTGCTTTGGCTATGGACGAAACGACGAATTGAGTATGAATCGCACTTTCGACTCTGTTACAAAGTTTCTTCATCCTATTATTATCCTTATCTTGCGGATTTAGTTTACCGGAGTCCCCTATCGTGTTAGCTTATTCTCTAACCCCGTCATTATCTTTGCCGCCCACCGTCATCGTATACATATCAGCGCCGCAATAGGGCTGTGCGTTTATCTCTTTTACCTTTTCTTCAACACCCATCTCGGCCTAACCCAATATAGTCTATATTCTCGGAAAGTTCGAGGACGTGTGACCATCTACGGCAATATCGTATAACGAGGACTTTAGATTTAAACCTCGTTACCGCGCTATTTCCAACTCTGTTTAAAACCTTGAGGCATAGAGGTTTCTTGCATCATCTTTATTAAGGTACCACTTTCATTCCTGTAACCTATTCCGGCAGCCAAATCAACCAATCAGCCATTCGGTCAACCACACCTCCAAAGGTTGCCGTCGTCTTTTTGTACTTTTTGTAGTATTGCATATACAAGACCTACTTACAAGACCTCCTTACAAGACCTCCTTATACACACGCCTCCCTAACCGACCATCTGTATCTCCAACTCTAACTAACACGCGAGGGCAGATCTTGCAGTTCACTCTTTACGTCCACCAGTCTCCTATTGACTTAATAGTGGACCTGTGCGTTCGTTAAGTTAATTCCGGAGCAACCTTTCTAACGCTTTGTCGGTACGTCTCTTACTGTTCAGCCTGTTTATGTTATTAGTTTCCTTATCAAGGGGTATGGCTGTCGACATAACTCTACGCTACCCGAAGCATCGAGCGGTGAAGTTGACTCCATGCTATTTCTGGTCTGTACGATCCGAGACACGATAACGGCATTCGTATTTTCATATTCTAATATTGTGCTGAACTGGCCTCACTTGACCTGCCGGCGCTTTGCTACCCCCTTGTCAAGTGCAATATGGGATTTGAAAATTACCGAACCCGTTTCCTCTATCTCGTTATACTACAGTAATCTCATCTTGTCACTTACTTGTTCGTTGTACCTCGATGTCAATCTCTAGGGTAATCCCCTGAGCTCAGCAAGAGGATTGTCATTATACACGGCAATGACGCCTTCTGCGTTACCCTTCGGATCTTATTCTGTATAAGAGATCATCTCTTCCCCCCTTCGATCTCCCTACTGTTCTGTTCCTACCATATCCCTTTCTATGGTCCTGAGCCTTCCCGTGCGCCTTCATCTTTCTTTCATTCATTGTTTCTCCTCCCGAGTCACAAGCCGCTCAGTTTCTTGTCTCCGATATGGTGGTCAAGATGTTGACGCTTCAGACGACTGACCTGAATCTGGATAGGTTTCCCCAGTACTCGGATCCGTTTGAGCCGTTTGAGGTTTTGGAACCTAAAACTCAAATCATGACGACTAACGGCGTCGCTCCAGACCCGAACCCGGTCCCGGCCAACAAGCTGCTGGGCAAGGTTCAGGGTACTGACCAAGTCTCTCGACACCCTTCACCTCAACCAACCCACTTCTCAGTACCGCTGGGAACTCTTGGTGGTAATGGCCACAGGGTTCTACGCTCAGCCACTGTGGGATATATTGCGCCCGAGTTTAAGGGGCGTGATGAGCAGATAAAGCAAGGTCAGTCGGTAGCACTTACGATATCCTCAACTTCTCTAACATGTAGTAGTCAAGAGCCTTATCCTTAAGCAAGCATGGATCCCCGAATCGCATCTTGACGAGCAAGTCTCGTGGTTCTACAACGAGCTAGGCATCGACGATGTCTATTTCCAGATGGAGACCGTCGATGTTATTGCGACCCACATCACATCTATGTATGCTGCCAAAGTTGCTGCTTACGCTCGTGTGGACAAGCGCGAGGAGATCCGTCTGGACATGGAAGCTACTGACCACGCCATCTACATCGACACAAGCGAGCCTGGCAAGAGCTCGTTGCACGGTCCGCGGTTCGAAAACAGGCTCGAGTCGAAGTATCTCGACCACACCGACCCTAACAAACGCTTCAGGGTTGAGACATTCCGCTCCCCCGGTACCATCTCTAACGATCCTTCATCCAAGGCTTCTTTACGATGCTATTTCGTATACCAGTGTCAGTTTGTGGATGCGAACCCCGAGCCGGGTGAGACGCGTCTCGAGGTCATTAGCGATCGTATGTTCCTGACGAAGGCAACTAAGAACACCAAGCAGATCTACGATGACATTATCAAACTTGCTGTTACCAGGACCGGACCCGTCATCGAGGTCTTTGATATCGAAGGATCCGAGGAGAAGCGTCTCGTCATGGCTTTCCGTTCTCGTACTGCCAGGGGAATTTTCAGCGCTATGAGCGACCTTTACCATTACTATGGTGTCACAAGTACCAGGAAGTATGTAGAGCAATTCTCCAACGGAATCACAGTCATGAGTATCTACCTGAAGCCGGCGACAAACCTGGATACCAAGCCCATGCCGATCGAGCAATCGATTCATCAGATCACCAAAGAAATCTCCCTTCTGTACTGCATACCCCAGAACAAACTTCACTCCTTGTTTGCTTCTGGTGCGCTGAGCTTGCAGGAGACCGTCTATGGTCACTGCGTCTGGGTCTTTGTTCAGCACTTCCTCAACCGCCTTGGCACGGAGTACGTGTCTATCAAGCAAGCTTTGGATCCTAGGAACCCAGCTCATGTAGAGATCCTATCCAAGCTGAAGCGCCGTCTCCGTACGGAGACGTTCACACCGGATTACATCCTTGAAATTATCTCGTCCTACCCTAATTTAGTACGCCTGCTGTATGCCGCATTTGCTAGCATACATCTAAGCGTCGGTCCTGGTTTTGAGAAGAGCTTAATTGCGCCGACGCCGGCTGTAGAAGTACTTTCGGATGCTCGACTTAAGGAGGCGATCACCCGAGAAGTGTCTAATGAGCACGACGAAATGGTGATGACAGCCTTCCGCATCTTCAACAATGCCATCCTAAAGACCAACTACTTCACGCCCACGAAGGTGGCTCTCAGCTTCCGTCTCGATCCATCCTTCTTACCGGAGATTGAATATCCTCGACGTTTGTACGGCATGTTCCTCGTGATCAGTGCAGAAGCGCGCGGCTTTCATCTTCGCTTCAAGGATGTTGCCCGAGGCGGTATCCGAATTGTCAAGTCCCGCAGCAAAGAGGCTTACAGCATTAATGCTAGAAACCTCTTTGATGAGAACTATGCTCTCGCGAGTACTCAGCAGCGCAAGAACAAGGACATCCCCGAGGGCGGCTCGAAGGGTGTGGTCCTCCTCGACGCTAAGCAGCAGGATCGCGCTCGGGAGGCGTTTGAGAAGTACATTGATAGTATCTTGGACCTTCTCCTCCCTGCCGAGACCCCTGGTATCAAAAACCCTATTGTAGACCTTTACCGTAAAGAAGAGATTCTTTTCCTAGGTCCGGATGAGAACACTGCCGACCTCGTCGATTGGGCCACCGAGCACGCTCGCTCCCGGGGGGCGCCTTGGTGGAAATCCTTCTTCACTGGCAAGTCACCTAAACTTGGTGGCATCCCTCACGATGAATACGGCATGACTACTTTATCCGTTCGCGAGTATGTCAAGGGCATCTACCGAAAGATGAATTTGGACCCCTCCCAGGTGAGGAAGATGCAGACCGGAGGTCCGGACGGCGACCTTGGCAGCAACGAGATCATTCTAAGCAACGAGAAGTACACAGCCATCGTCGATGGATCTGGTGTGCTTGTCGATCCTAACGGTATCGACAAGGACGAGCTCGTACGCTTAGCCAAGAAACGTGTCATGGTCTCGCAGTTCGACCTCTCTAAACTATCTAAGGATGGCTTCAGAGTCCTATGTGATGATAGTAACGTCACATTGCCGACTGGCGAAGTTGTTCCTAACGGCACGTCCTTCCGTAACTTCTACCATCTCAGAGATACCGGCCTAACCGACGTCTTCGTTCCTTGCGGTGGCCGTCCCGAGTCGATCGACCTGTCTACAGTCTCCAAGCTGATTAAGGATGGAAGGACGGCGATTCCTTACATTGTTGAAGGCGCTAATCTATTCATTACCCAAGATGCCAAGTTACGTCTCGAGAAGGCTGGTTGCATTCTATTCAAGGATGCATCTGCTAACAAGGGTGGTGTGACCTCGTCATCTCTGGAAGTCCTCGCCTCGCTTAGCTTCGACGACAAAGGATTCGTCGAGAACATGTGCCACAACGCGAACGGCGAAGCCCCAGAATTCTACAAGGCGTACGTCAAGCAAGTACAAGCCACGATCTGCGAAAACGCTCGTCTCGAATTTGAGGCGATCTGGCGAGAGCACGAGCAGACTGGTGTACCGCGGTCTGTGCTTTCTGACTCGCTTTCCGTTGCTATTACGACTCTAGACGAAGAGCTTCAGACATCAGACCTATGGGAGAACCCTAAGATTCGGAGGTCCGTTCTTGCGGATGCTTTGCCCAAGTTGCTCATCGACAAGATCGGTCTAGACACCATCATCAGCCGCGTACCCGACTCGTACCTTCGTGCTATCTTCGGAAGCTACCTTGCTTCGCGCTTCGTGTATGAGTTTGGCAGCAGCCCTAGCCAATTTGCTTTCTATGATTTGTAAGTTTCCCCCGAGCCTCTAGCGATAGTATCTAAGCTAACATAACAATAGCATGTCTAAAAGGATGGCCCAGATCCAATGATTAATGACATCTGCATATTGCTGGCACGAAAAAAAAAAGGGGGGAATTCTAAAAGGGGGTTTGAAAATTTTGCATTTTTCATGGTTGGGGATATAATTATAAAAGACGTCTAGCAGACAACATGCGATGCCGTGTAGTAGGTTCGACGTGAACCGGGCGAAGACGGTTTCATGACTTATGAATTATCTCGAATTACATTTTATACGGAGTACGGGCGGGAACATCACATTTAATAGATAGGTCACGGTAGTACCTATTGGCTGCGAAAAACAGATCTTATAGATTCGATTTTTCTTATACAACTTTACTGTCTTTTTCGTCAGTCTAGTGAATTGTGAGGCTAGGTACCTAGCTATGGAATGTATAGTAAGTAGATTGTGAGATCGAGAACATCAACTAGAACAATCTTATCCTATAATAGATTGAAGTAAAATACAACCTAGATTAAAACTGTTAACAAAACTCAAGGATACGAATTAAATCCTCACAAGCCTACCCAAAACCAGACGCTCCTAATTCAGACGTCGGCCTACCTTCAACTAGCCTTCACCTCCTGAGGCTGGAACAGAATCCCCACTTCGCATTTCCCTACATCATCGAGGGACGGCTTGGAAATGGTATCGTCAGCAGGAGCGAAATTAGAAACTTTGCGATACCTCCTCCTATTCCCGCGATACAGCAACGCGAACCCAAAAAACGACATCACCGCCGTCGCGAAAGCAGCTCCCAGCAGGACCGCAGCCAGACATCTCGACGTCAGCATGTGGCCCCCAGGCGGTAGCAGCGCGGCCACCGGCTCCATTCTTCTATCCCGCGCCGCTGCCGCCGCCGCCGCCGTTCTCGGTGTCGGCTCCAGCGTAACGACTTCCGTCACCGTAACTACCACTGCTTCTGCCGTTGACGTTTCCGAGGTCCCGGCTCCCAGGCCAGGATTGTTGCTGTTGCCATTGCCGCTACTACTACTGCTCAGCACCAGGGGGAACACCTTCCGAAAGACAGTCGCGGCGTGCGTCGGGTCCGGCTCCCCGGGGACGTCGGCGGTCCAGGTGTACGCCTCGAAGAGGCTCGAGGTGGACCCGTCGGGGGTCTCGGTGTCGAACTCCGGGTCCCAGTACATCCAGATGTCGGTGCCCGTCGACCCGGTCAGGTAGCTCTGGCATAGGCGCTGGGGGGCCTGTCTGTCGCCTTCGGCGGTGCGGCGGTAGCGCAGGTCCATTGGCCGGGGGGACAGCACCATGCTTGGGGGTAGAGCTCGCGGACTTTTTCGTTGTCTGTGTTTTCGTTACTAGATTCATTTCTGTTGTTGTTGCTGCTGTTGTCTATATCCCCGCCCCCGGCCGTAATCGTCGTCGTACACGCCACCGTCCACCCCGCCAGACACTTATCCCCGGGAAACGCAGCCGTCGACGCGCTCCCTTCGTTGCCGCTCTTCGGCGCGCCGTTCAGTTCGCCCCACTCGTTGTCGAATAGCGCAGAAGTAGTTCTCCGGCCAGCACTCGGCGTTATACCCGACCCGGCGATCGGACGCGAGGTCCTGCACCGCGAGACAGTGTTGTCCCTCGAGGGGGTGCGGGTCGTGCGCGGCTGTGTTCATCGAGTATACGTAGTACGACAGGCTGCGGCAGTATACGGAGAAGGAACATGAGGATGGCATGGCTTGGCTTTGGGAGGGGGCGAAGGGGGTTGTCTGGGGAGGAAGATGGTACGTTAGGGTTGATTGTGTGCCGTCGGGGCCGCGTGTTGTTTTTGTGATGGCCGTCATGGTTAGGGAGGTATTTTCCTTGTGTAATAAGTGTGGTTTACTATTTTGATATACGACGATGTGTCAATGTAGGTAGGTAGTGTGTGTTAGGTATCTAAGAGCTAGACGATGCGGATTAGACGATGGCCATCGACAAAGCGGCGGATACATGGCGATAGGTGTCTAGTTATAACCCACTACCCATCCACTACCACTTACATAGTTTCAGGATAGATCACCTACGCCGGTACCCGAATCAGATCCGTAGATAGCTAGACCGACACGGCAGAGCAAACACGGGGGCGGACAAAGATTACACCAAATAGCGATCCAGTGCCACGATCAAGAGCCGAGATCTGGCGGTCCGTGTCCCAGCGTCTGCAACTTCGCGGACTGTCGTGAAACCTCAATAGACTATATCGTACCGAAAACGTGCGTCGGTATGCTGGAAGCAGAAATCATAGGCCGGTTCACGTTGTTCTATAACATGGAGAGGAAGCTTATGGCATGGTTGTCGAATGTAGGTAGTCATGTAATAGTCCACAAGTCTATCAACTCGAAGCAGTATCTGTCCTACCCCGTTGGAACACTCATTTCCGCTTCCTGCTAATATACCCGATCATGTCGAGTCCCGGCGTAGGACGTAAATACTCTTCATCCTTATTGGCATCATGCTTACGCGGCGTTATAGGGCAGCTGCCCCTATTCGTAGTCCATAGCTATGCACTGTACCTTTTTTCTAGAACGTAAGATTGGGAATGCCTCGATTAGTCGGGTATGCTTGTGATCATGTCTACATCGTACAGAATCCGACGCTTATCATCGCTAATATACACCATTGTACACTGAAGAACCCCTCGAAGCGAGAGCGCTTAGGGACTAGGCTCGGACTGGCCGTATCGTAGATCCCAAAATTGCGCGATGATTGCTTCTGAGAACCTCGTTGCTGTCGGAGGCGGCTAACCTAATTTCCTTACCGCTTACCTCTTACCTAGGCCCCATTTGTATATTCTATCCTGTATCTCTTCCCAAGACATCTGTTTTGTAGAGCTGAATGGGTGTTGGGCCTCTTGTAGCACCACGGTCGGAGCACCGCTTCCTCTACCGTTGTTTTGTACTAATCCCCCTACGATCTGTTTCGCCACCCGGCGTAAGTCGTTGATCGTGAGGCTCTCGATCTTACGGCACATCTCCTGGACCGGTACCTTGCGGCCGTGTACCTGGACTTGCCTGCCTAGATCTTCTAGCTCCACCATTCGACTCTCTAAGTTCATTAGGAGACTGGAACGTAGCTGATTCTTGGCGCGGTTAACTTCGGCATGGCCAAGAGCAGCAAACCCGGTGTCCACAGTAAGCGCCCTCAATTCTTGGCACATGACATCGAGCATGTGCTGTGTGCGGCCGGGGATGCATTGAGCAGAGATGCCGAACAGCCCGGAATCTGTGTAAGAATGGTTGAAAGCGATACAAGACTCTACCCAAGCGTGTTGGTTGAGCACGTTAGTGTACAGCCTTGAATACATGCCCTTCCCGGGTCCGCCGGCGGAGAAGGATCCACCGCCGCCGAGAAGCGTATTAAGCGTTGCCAACGCATAAATATCATCTGATGCGATAGGCAATCCCTCGAAGGCGAGGTGAATATGAGTAAATACAGGTTGGTTGGGATTAGTGGAAGGAGGTTGTGGTGGGAGCGCGACGAAACCACCAGTATAATGCGCGGGCATAGTAAGTTCTTCTAGCGATGGCGGGATGGCGGGAGTGGTAGAGACGGATGCGTTACGGCTTGCGGAAGTAGAGAGGTTTTTGAATAGGGGTAACTTGGACATTATACTAGATGTTGTTGATGAGGGAGATGACGACGCTGAGGAAAATGAAGAAGTTGTCGTGTCGGTGCTATCCGGCGACAGAGAATCGATAGAAGTTTCTGACCCCGTCCGGGACAGGAGAGGATGTCCAGAAGCTTGCATATCTCCGAAGAACTTGGATGCTAATTGCACCGCCTCGACATGCGGAACACCGGCAAAGGCGACAACGGTTCTCTCGGGACGGTAGAAAGTATCTCTGTACGTCTTAACTACCGAACTGTTGATTTCCGGTATCCTTTCCCGAGGACATAACAGAGGGTTACCAAGAGTGTTACCCTTGAATGCCGCCATATGCACCAACTCGGGCAGGATAAGCTCGGGCTTCTTCCATATCTCATTGATCTCATACTCTGCCGTCAGAAGTTCTCCGGCAACCTCTTCCTCGGTAATTCGGGGATTCCGTATCGTATCAGCAAGTAGCTCAGTCGCCGTTGGGATAGCCGAGTTGAAAGTGGCGGCTTGGTACATCATAGACTCCCGTGAGGATACGCATTGTACGTTCTCTAAGACTCTACTGTCTCTTGTATATCCTCTGCCGTTTTGTTTTCTGTAGAAAAAGGCTAGTCGATCAACGATGTGGCTCACCCCGCTCAAGTAATTATTCTCGAATCTCGATCCGCCCTCGATATATACGCCAACACCAGAGAAAGACCCCGGAAGAGCCTCTGATGCTACTCGGACTCCATTTGGTAATGTTGTTATTTGGTCAAGCTCTGTCGGTTCCTGTTTTATGTTAGTTTACAGGTTTATGAATATATGTTGAAGGTAGTAAGTTAAAGGAATAGTAAGTGAAAGGAAGGAGTCAAGGCAATGAAGACATGGGATTGTCAACACACCTTTGGACTTGGTACGTTCACACTGGCAAGTGTGCGAGTCTGAAGCGGTCGGAATGCCCTAGCGCATGATCTCGCATGAGAGGTAATACCTCTATTTAAATATCTAGATGAGCAAGCGCGAAACATACTGAGGGCATCGAATTTGCGACAGACGTTTACATGGAAGCTGAATAAGATTCGCCTCGCCCGTGACGACAGAAAAGTTTAGATGAATGACTCTTATCACTTATCGCTTATCGATCGCTTATATTTGATCCGTGCATTACCTTTTTTTATTTATCTCGGCCATGTATTTCATCTTATCTTATCTCAATCACCAGAGGGACATGACACCGCCTACCAATCTTGTACAATTTTGCCGTGTGCCCCTCCTTTATCCTCCCACTTCTAATTCTAAAAGTTAAAGATTGCGATTCTGATACTATCGTGAAGTGTGTAATTTGGGTCAAATCTAGAATAAAGCAATAATCATAGCTTCATAATTAAAAATGTCTCTCCTGCGTATATACTAGAGCTAATTGACTTATTTAAACCTCTACCATGTCCAAACCAACACACCTCGAGCCCTCCGAGCTGGGCACCAAGGAATAGTATGCCCACCTATTCTCCTTCAACCATCAACCCCTCCCTCTCTACTGCCCAGCCCAATTATCTAACGCCAAGCCAACAGCTGGGACAACCTCTACACAGCCGAAATCCTCCAACCACGCGCATAACCCCGCCGACACAGGCACCGTCTGGTTCGACGACTCGGACGCCGAAGCCAAGGTCATCGACTTTCTCTCCGACCCCGACTCCGAACTACACCTCTCCACAGAAGAATCCTCCTTCCTCGACCTCGGCACCGGCAACGGATCTCTCCTCTTCGGTCTGCGCGACGCCGGATGGCAAGGGCGTATGCTAGGCGTAGACTACTCACGACAGAGCGTCGAGTTCGCGCGGCGCATCGCAGAGTCGCGATCGCAAGACCCGGACACCGAAAGTGAAAAGCGGGTCGAGTTCCGCGAGCACGATATCCTTCAAACGCCGGCCTCTACGCTCTTGACTGATGCGCAACAACCGCAGGGCTGGGATGTCGTACTAGATAAGGGCACCTTCGATGCGATATCCTTGTCGTCAGAGACGGACCCTGCGAGCGGACGTCGTGTTAGTGAATCCTATAGAGCGCGGGTTGCGCCTCTCGTGCGCGATGGGGCTTTTTTCTCGTTACGAGTTGTAACTGGACCGAAGAGGAGTTGAAGAGCTGGTTCGAGGGTGCTAGAAAGGACGGAGAGGATGACGGCGACGCGAGAGGATGGCGGTTCGACTTAGTCGGTAGGGTTGAATACCCCAGCTTTAGTTTTGGCGGCGTAAAGGGACAGACCATTAGTAGTTTATGCTTTAAGAAAGTCAGGGATACTTAAAATTAACAACACGGGCGGTACGAACATAGACGTAGGAGTGCATTAACCTAGGAAAGATACCCCAGTACAGTACAACTAGAAGGATAGAACAGCATCACTGCAAACCTGTTTGACTGATATATTAAACTCATCATGCTCTTTTTTTCGTCTTTTATCATACACATATCAGGCAACTTCCAAAACAAGAGCGCCGGTTTGGGGCTCATGGCTCGAAGCCCTTCTATAGAAGTTTGTGCAGCTTTAAAGTCCCACGGGCCTCTATGCCGAGTAGGATACAAACCTCCAAAAAATGCATCTGACGACTGTGTGCGTGCTTTCCATACATCTACTCTACGGACCTTCAAAATTTCACCTTTTGAAGGACCCTTTGCACGAACTGACGCTGGACAATTCGGGACGGCTATCTCGCGAGAGATGCGACTAGGACACTCTAGTACATGGCTGCATGTTGAAAAGAGTTCTCTTCAATCTTTCATCTATGGCGATGTGTTCATAGGCTCCCCACCCATTCCGGGAATTCCTGCTACAGCGGTCGTCGCGAAGTAGCGTACATCCACGTCGTCGTCCTTCTGCAGCTTCTCCAGGCTCGGCAGGATGCGCTGCTGGATGAGCTCGGTTGCCCGAGGAGACGGCGTGGTCGTTGTCGTTCCGGCCTTCTCCAGACTGTAGACGGTACCCTCTTCGGGGAGTCGTTTTAAGACGTCGATGAGCACGGCGTACGTCTTCGCCACGTTGAAGCGTATATTAGGAATCTCGTCCTCCACAAGCTTTTCCAGCATAGGCAAAATCGACTTTCCAATCACGTCCAAACTGACAACAGTCGCGAGAGTCTACTGCTGGTTAGAATCTACAAAGAGCGCTGGGAAGCAGCAAGGAGACTTACCGAGATAGCGAAGCAAGTCGTCATCCGGTATAGGTAATTAGGATGAGAGCCCATAGCCATCACCTCGGGATGATAGCTTCGCTGGCCCATTCGACTCCAAACACTTCGGTGAGCTTCTTGAGGTTGTGAGTCGCAGCCTTCGGATCGGATCGGAAGACTCCCCTAGCCAGCCCATGCACAACGAGCTCAGCTTCTCGTCGAAGAACTGACACCGAGCTGACTGGCAAGGAGCGGGATATACTCGATGATAGCAAGTCGTACTCTCCATTGCTTATCTTCCGCGAGCTGCACGATCGCAGGCAGAGAGACTGGGAGAGTAGGTCGATAACCGATGACTGATAATGTTAACGACGCGAGCTTCTCGAGTGTTAGAGAGTACATACCTTGGTTGACGAGTTCGAGTTTCGAGATGATATGTAAACGAACTTCGGGAAATTCGTCCTTCAACATCTGCAAGAACATTGGAAGGAGGTGATCGATAGTTTCTAATAAAGGTCAACGGCTGGGATCCTATGATTTAGTAGATAGGCTCACTCTTGTTTGCCCCAAAATCGGGGCTAGACCGCTGATTTGCGTGCCTAGAGCGGCACGGACGTGCTGTGATGTGGAGACTAGGTCTTCGATGGAGCTCATGATATCGTTAAGTAGCGTAGTTCTATCGACCAGAGTGCAGAAGCCGGGGATCTGGCCGGCGATGGCAGTCCTCACTTCGGCCTCGTTATCCTTCAGTAGCTTGACAAACGAGGGTACAAGGTCTCGAGTGACCACCTCTTCGTCTACAGCTTTCGCGATCTGTGTTGCTTGCTATTAGCCTGGGCTATACAAAACATGAAGTAAGGGAGGGGCTCGATACCTTTTCAAATCTATCAGCAATCATGTATCGAACCCTCCAGCTCTTGTCCTCTATCAAATGTCGTAACGACGTGAGCAAAACGCCATGGCTACCCTGCTGTTCCTTGGGCACAACCTCGGCGATAGAAACCAGAATCTCTACTGTCAATAATCGCACGCTGTCTTGGTCATCCTGCGCGAGGTGCTGGAAAAGGGGTATCATCTCCTCCACAACAATAGCCGCGGGCATTTCTTTTACGAACTTGGCCATGTTGGTGGCGGACTGTCTTCGCACCATGGGGGTCTCATCATGTACTAGGTTGCCAAACTGTTGGCGAAGCTGTTCCTGGACGGGAGGAGACACCTTCGAGTAAGGAGCTGTGAGAGGCCGCATCCGGATACCTTAGAGGTAAACCAGTCTGCCTTAGATAGTCGGATAGTAAGAGGGATGAAGTACTCTTCGACCTGTTGGGGTGATAGCTCGCTGCAGATCTTGTTGAGGGACTCGACGGCCTACGACAAATAGTTAGTAGATGACGATAAGGATCCCCGCAAGGCTGTATGGACGGACCTTATCCCGGACGACGGGCTCTTCGATAGCTGCGAGGTTCTCGAGGGGGGAGAGGAGGACGTGGCCGTATTGGGGCCCGCCTACGTATTCGATGAAGCTGCCTAGCTCCTCGCTTAGGGCTACGAGAACTTCATCTTCGTCTTCGACCGACTCTGACGCTGAAGTTAGATTATGATTTGGTTTAGAGGCTGGGATCGGTATCTGACCATCTAGAAAAGGAATGAGTTCGTCACGAGTGCGCTCGGGACCTAAAGCGAGCGCGATTGTTGATAGACGATGGATAGCGTTCAATCGGAGCAGAACGTCATCGTGCTAAAAGCAAGGTTAGAGGATGAGGTCCTAATACGTGGTGATATATCAGTTGGAGTCACCGCCTTACCTTTAATTCATCTATGAGCACGGCGATAGGGTACAGCTCATCGTTCGCATTTGGCGCGTCAGCCATGGTGAGGTGTAATTATGCAGTAGTAAAATCGAAAGGTGGTAAAGGCGTTGAGGCCGGAAAGTTGAGAACCGGCTTGGGAATACGCTTGCTGATCGCGTGGGCGGTCTGGTGGAGTGATGCAATGAGTTAGGTCGATGTCGGGTCAATTTGGCGACTTGGAGACGAAACCGGGCAGAGATCAACTATCGCTAGCGCTCCGATAGCCCAAAAAAATATATGTTGGATAGGCGGAGTTGTAAATTTTGTAAATTTGATATGAGTCGTCTACTAGTGGTCTTCAGTTCGCCGTTGTATCGTGGATCAGGTCTTCCAAATTAGATCATCGAGGGGTATCATGGAAAGGTCGCTTTGGTGGATAGGATTGTGTTGTGACCAAGAGAAAGATGCTTTTGGTGGAAATAGGTTTAACGCGGGCTAGAGCTACTATGAATGTTAGGTACTTTGATAATTGTACCGTAATATTGTACCGGATTGCACCTACTTCAGGTTATTATCAGGCATGGGGCAACTGGGCAAGTAAAGGTAAGTGAGGTAACAAAGGGGGCTTGCCTTGACTTCTTAGTTCTGAAAATATTGTGGCTTAGGCGTTGTCTACCTCCAGTCTGCTAATCCTGTCTAGTCTCCTGGCTTGAGACAATGATGGAAATCTCTGCCTGGGTGCCACAGATGCCCCACATATCGTTTTTGTTCCCTTGTTCATCATGCTACGTACCTTGGAATTATGTATATTACATGCACTTCCCGCCCTAAATTCGATAGTTCTGTTACGCGTTGTACCCCTGACTTCATCTTTTACCTTTATTTTAGTGACCTTATCAGCTTCACATAGGTATTTTAGGTAGGGCCATATGTAGGTAATTTCTTATATACCTCTGATGTTGTCTTTAGCAACTTTTAGTTACCTGCCTAATGTTCTTAAACTTGTCTTATTTGGAAAACGAAGACGTCTCTTAATTCTTACCTTTTAGCAGATTTAAATCATATCAAATTAGCGCTTATATACATTTTAGGCCGGTATAGTGTTGTATAGCGTTGCTCAGCTTTAGGCTACGTATTGTGATCAAACATGTTCACGATGTGACCAAATGCAGTAAATAGAAGCAGTGATGTCACTCCAAAGCCCATTCGTTATGCCGCAGGCGATTTATAGGTCTGACAGCTTTAAATCATTGCTGGCTTACGAAATCCGGACAAAATGTTCAATTAAGTTGATTGGTGAAGTATAAGCTATCAGTTTCGCCCAAGGTCATGCAGCAGATAGTGTAACCTCTAGTATTACACTTGTAAAAAAAAATATTGTGTTATTGATTTCCATTTGATTTGTACTTATACTTGTATGAGGTAGTTTAGGTACCTGGTTATGTAAGGGCTATTGCATTTGATACAGCACTTAGAGCTTCAACTTCCGATTTGAAAATATCGCGCTAAAGTAGGTCGTACACCCGCTATTGCATAAAGCATATCTTATGGTGGGGTTGTACAACTGTAACCTAAATGAATTTCCAAAAGTCGACGGTGACTCAGGATCGACCAATTCCTCGAAATAACGAATTGCGCAAATACACCTGGCCTCTAGGCTCTGTTATACCCTCATAAGGGGCCATATATAAGATGCCTACCATATCAGTCAATAAATATGACCTCTACGAGGCTCTAGGTCAACAGTTCGTAGCATTCAACCCCTCCATGACCCTGAATATCATCCTGAATATTACCCCACTAACACACCATCATCCAGGTTCACTACCCCCGAGTTTGAAGAGTTATGTTTCGAGTTTGGTATCGAGCTAGACGAAGATACAGAGATGAAGAGAGACCTATCGTAGATGGTGTTCAGGAGCCTCCCCAGCTAAAGATCGAGATCCCCGCCAACCGATATGACTTACTCTGCTTCGAGGGTATAGCCCTCATGCTCAACATCTTCCGGGAGGCAACCCACTCCCAATATCAGATTAACCCAGCCCGTCTCGGGAACATGCATACCAAACTGTTCTTGAGATACTATGAAGGTACGGCCGCTAGTCGGTGGCGCGATCTTGCGCAATGTCAAGTTCACCCAGAAGAACTATGATTCCTTCATCGCCCTTCAAGACAAGCTACACCAGAACCTCGCCCGCCAGCGTACGTTAGTCGCCATCGGAACCCACGACTTGGATACTATCAAGGGACCCTTCACATACGAGGCGCGACCGCCGCAAGAAATTGTCTTCACGCCCCTCAACCAGACCAAGCAGATGAACGGGGAGGAACTGATGGCTTTCTACGAGAAGGATAAGAATATAGGTAAATACCTACACATCGTCCGGGACAATTCAGTTTATCCCGTCATCTACGATGCGAATAGGGTAGTCTGCTCGCTGCCACCCATCATCAACAGCGACCATTCCAAGATCTCTCTCAACACCAAGAACGTCTTTATAGAATGCACAGCAACGGACCAGACTAAGCTGGAAATCGTCATCAACATGATGGTCGCAATGTTCTCCGTCTATGCCGAGGAGCCTTTCACCGTCGAACCTATCAAGGTCATATCCGACCACAACGGCCAGACACGGATAACACCCAACCTAACACCACGAACAACGACTGTCGAGGTCGACTACTTGAACGGTTGCCTTGGCCTCTCCGAGTCCGCCGAGAATATCAGTAAACTCCTCTCAAAGATGGCCTTAGCAGCTAAGCCCTCAAGCGAGAACCCGAACGCCCTAATAGAAGTTACAATACCGCCGACGCGCGCCGACATACTCCAAAGATGTGATATCATGGAAGATCTCGGCATCGCATACGGATTCAACAAGCTCCCCAGGATGACCGTGACCAAGACAGTCGGTGCGCCCCTGACTCTTAACAAATTAGCCGACATCGTGCGCCTCGAGTCTGGCATGGCAGGCTGGTCCGAGGTCATGCCCCTGATCCTATGCAGCCACGACGAGAACTTCGCATGGTTGAACCGCAAGGACGACGGAACCAAAGCGGTCAGACTCGCCAACCCCAAGACCGCCGAGTACCAGATTGTGCGCACGTCGCTGCTCCCCGGCCTACTAAAGACCATCCGCGAAAACAAGGGCGTGGCCCTCCCGCTCCGCATCTTCGAGACCTCGGACGTCGTGTTCAAGGATCCTAGCGTGGAGCGAAAGGCCCGCAACGAGCGCCACTTCGCCGCTGCCTGGTACGGCAAGGCTTCCGGCTTCGAGGAAGTTCACGGCCTGCTGGACCGCGTCATGGCTATGCTGCGCCAGGCCTTCCTAACCCACGACGAAGGCCTCACCGGCAAGGACATCGATTTCAAAGTCACCCCCCAACACCTCAAGCGCGACGGCTACTGGCTCGAGCCTATCGACGACGAGGCTACTTTCTTCCCCGGCCGCGCTGCTGCCGTCTTCGCCCGCCTAAGCGGCAAGACGGCGCGGATCGGCGAGTTCGGCATCTTACATCCCTCTGTCCTCGAGAACTTCGAGCTCAAGTACCCCGTCAGTACGCTCGAAGTCAATCTCGAGGTCTTCTTATAAAGCGGCGGTGGAAACGAAACGCGACGAGACGAGACGAGAGGAAGTGAAGTGAGGACAGAGAAGATAGCTTAGAGCCAGACGGTGTTGCTATCTATGCCTATTTCCCTCGAGGAGGAAAGACTAGGAATAAAAAAAGAAAAACGCAGTTAGATGATGATGGGAGATTTAGGTAAAAAAAATACCTAGAGTAGGTTGATACGAAGAATTCCTAGCATAATCCAAACCTTTTAGCTTGGGAATTTCGTGATGTTTTAGTAGTACATAATTCTTTCCCTTGGACTGCCTACTACTTGCTCTCAAGACGTACACAGTAGATAGGTAGACCATGACTGATCTAAACATCAACAACGCTGATTGCCTTATTTTCATCGCTTCGTCGTCTCGTACCAACTACAAACCCCTCACCCCATCTAACCTCTTGCCCAAACCAAAACACCCTCCAAGAACCAAGACAGCACCATCAAACGAATGCCTGTACATAGGTATATATGCGTGGCATCAACATACCACGCAACTAGTGTTTCATTTCTTCTTTTGTTTATTCCCGTTCGTAGGGCACCTAGTAGTAACTCTTACAATGCTACACCATAACAATGCCCCTATCATAGCCAGGGAGGAAATACCTCCCGATCACACAATTTCCGTGCTCCCCTTCTCGCTCCCGGTTGGCATATCTGCCATCTCCTGTTCCCCCATTTTTACGCTTGCATCTTCGCCGATGCTCGCAGCGCTAGACCCCCCGAACATACCTCGTCCTATATCTAGCCCGGTCACCCCGTCCCTAATCTTAGCGAGATTTGTTGTGAATGCGTTGGGCGTGTCGGCGCTTGCGTTATGTTTTAGACTTGCCGGATTGCTAGTTACCGCCCGCTGCTCTGGCGTAAGTGCTTCGTGTGCAGATTCTACGCCCGTAAGTACGCTCTTGCTTAGAGATAAGCTCGGCGGCTGAGGACTTTGCGACGACGGCCGCGGCGATCTATTTGGGGAGCCCGTGAAGCCACCTGGCATGGATGGTGTCGTCGTGCCTAGGGCATAGCTGCCGAGTTTCTCGTCCCTTGCCGCAGCTAGATCGAGGTACTCGTTCATCTCCGCATCTGTCCTGCCGAAGAGCTGATGCCACCAGCGCACGTCAGAAAGTTTAGGGAATATGAGTCTCTCGTGGCCACTTTGCCGATCGTCGATTGTCGCGTCGTAGTCTCGGTTGATAAACTCTGGTTTTCGTGATAGGAAATAGTCCCATACCGATCTCGTTCTCTCGTTCGCTCGAGCGTCTTTGCGAGCCTTCTCGTTATTCCATAGGAATGTACCGTACTGTCCGGCATAAAGGTGGTAGAGAAGACGCCGTAGGAACCGCTCGTTGAACTCGAAGCGATTAGGATGCTGCCGCAAGATCTGGTACGTCGCGTCGAGGAATTGGTGGAAAACAGGGGATATTTCATTGGGTCGGGTAGCTTCGCTAGCTTCGGGAGTACCTGGTGCCGGTTTCTTGACTTGTGATGGATCATCGGCTGGTGAGGCCACACCGTCGCCGTCCGATTCTGCGTTGGCTTCGCTGCTACGGTTCTTGAAGAATCGCTTCGCGCTCGCGAGCGCATTCTCGAAGGCTTCACCCGCGCGGCCGTCCGACTCGCCGGGCTGTATAGCCGAACCAGCCAGGGAATCGCGTTCTACAGCGAACCACTTCTCGTGGTTGAGTAAGCCGGAACGTTGTTGGGAACATGTGTCCAAAGGATAACCAATCTTTCTCGATTAATACGATAAATCCTTCGATCGTGCGGTAATAAGGATCCAACATCAGCTGTGACAGGGCTGATAGCTGACTAGTACGGTCCCAACCGTCCGAACAGTGGATCAAGACGTGCGAGTGTCTTATACCAACTTGGCGTGCGATTAGGGCCGACCCGTCGAGTATACCAGTAATGTGTTTAAGCCAACCGCTCTTCGCGAGCAGTTCGCGATTAGGAGGTAGGCGAGAGATGTCTCCATCTTTCAAGGCTTCTATAACGGTGTTAAGAGATTCTCTCATAACATGAATATTCTCGATATTCAGATAGGCTTTCTTAGCGAATTTGTAATATTCCATATTTTCCGACCCCTTTCCCATTGCCTGCATTACGACTGCGTTGATGGTTGGTCGAGCATCCACGATGAGATTGCTCTGCTGTGCACCATAGACTAACCGCTTTCCCGTTTTCGTATCGTAATTGCTCTCGTCCCCCGCGATAAGCTCATCTTCAAGACGTTCCGTTTCTGAAGTTTCCGTGTCCAAAGTATCTCGGAGGTCTGCATGACTGGATGCTGGGCTGGGTTCCGTCGTGTCCGCTACTGGGGTCTCCATTCCATTAAACTCAACGGTGGCCGAAGCGGAGAAGCACGCGCTGACCAGCTTCTCGTCCTGTATGCTGCGGTTCCCCCTGAACCCGACCATAGGCTGAGAACTCCGCGTGATAGAGCAATTATTTAGGGAGTGAAGGTAGGTTAAGACAGGTATGCGCTGTCTCGATCGGTAAGAGCCGGCATACTTGATGACATTGTCGGATATCTTAGAGGGAACGACGAGAATGCCAGGGTAGGTCGGTGAGAAATTATAATCCTTATTTATTAAGGATACCCTCCATCCTCTATCGACAGACTTGGTGCTGATCCCTTGCCGTCGAAACTCGACTCTTGGGTCGTAGATATTCCATCCGTCGAATGGTTTCTCTAGTTTCAGGGGTTGATAGCTGAAGGCGTATAGCTTTTCTATCGAACCGAGCCGGCAAGTGCGGTTCCGGATATATTCAAACGCATCCCGCCCCTGAACCTCGTCCGAGAAGTTGAAGTTTATAAACATAAAATCGCGACATCGTAGCCGTATTGAGGATGGGCGCCCAGTCGCACTGGGACATGGTCGAAAGATGCAGTTGGCAATTATGGGATAGGCGATATAGACCTCGCGAGGTTTTGAGGCACTGGGTTGTGTTGGTGCTCCATCTGGTTGGGTACTAGGAAAGGAGAATATAATATGATGTTCTGTAAGATGCAGTTCACCAGAGTGTCTCTCGCCGCCCCTGATGGCATCAACATTGGGTATCTGTCAGGGTGGAATTAGTAATGGAGAGAGCAAACGGAGACTGCGGAAGAAGTATCTACCTTCTTGACTTGCATCTTGGAACCTTTTGCAAGTGTGGATTTACATCGAAGCAGTTAAAAGTGAAGTGACACTTGTTGTCGCATTTGCCCAGCGAAGGGAAACTTGAAGGCGCCCGAAAACCCGTAAGGTGTTAGATTTCAGCTCGACGAGGAGGATAGGCTTAGATAAACTACAGCTGATGAAAGAAAGGAACAATTGTTGCTAGTTACTGAGTTGGTATGCAAGAATACTACGGCTTAACCAGCTGCATCGTGGTGTATTATGAGTTGGCAGCGCATCATATGTTAAAGTCAGCCGTCACATTGTCCAAAGGTTGGTTCGAGTAAAGTTGTAGGTGCAGGTGCATTAGTAGATTAGGTAGACGTATAAACTTAGACCTTCCAGAATCACTGGGTTACTGGCGCTGCTAGAGCGTAAGATATACTTTTAGCGGCGGGGCAACCAGTTCAGGGCAAGAAGTACATCTACATACCTACCACTTTTACATGTACTAAACTATCCCTCTGCATTAGTTAGACCAAAAAGACGAAAGGCGAGGCTGAGAAATTGGAAATTGGGGAATCGCATGTGGCTGACACCGACGTCACACAAAAAGCAGAATGGAAGTGGAGTAGGTACAATTAATCAATACCTACCATATAGGCCCGTGCATAGGTACCTAATATAAATATCGCCAAGAATTAGATGCATCGCTACGAGATAATCCTTATCGATAATAACTCTCTAATCTAGCACACAATTCTCAACCCTAAGCCAAAAATTCATAACCAAAATCCAGACAGTGCATTCACCACTGTCGAACATCAATCCCACCATCGCCCCGAATTTTTGTGACGACTGTAAACTCCAACCCGGCAAGCTGAGAAATTCCCTCCCCAAGACACCTTCAACTACAGATCGATTCTCAGCAGTCATCATATACATCCAACAGTCAAGATGGCCGTCCCGGGTTCTCAAATGTAAGTATTATCTTTCTATTCTAATGAGATTGATCTAGCTAGCTCGTCCCAATCACTACTGCGATCTGCCCCTCTTCAATCAACCAAATCCAAGTTCCACGATGGCCTCAAATTATATTTCGTTTCCAACATGCTAACTTACTTTCTCTCTACAGTTCCAAGCGCAGAAAGTTCGTCGCTGACGGTGTCTTCTACGCCGAGCTGAACGAATTCTTCCAGCGCGAGCTTGCCGAGGAGGGCTACTCCGGTGTCGAAGTGCGCGTCACTCCCACTGTCACCGATATCATCATCCGCGCCACCCACCCCAGGAGGTTCTCGGAGAGCAGGGCCGCCGCATTCGTGAGCTCACCTCCCTCATCCAGAAGCGCTTCAAGTTCCCCGAGAACTCGGTGTCCCTCTACGCGCGCCAAGGTCCAGAACCGTGGTCTGTCCGCCGTCGCCCAGTGCGAGTCCCTGCGCTACAAGCTCCTCAACGGTCTCGCCGTCCGTCGTGCCTGCTATGGTGTCCTCCGTTTCATCATGGAGAGCGGCGCCAAGGGTTGCGAAGTCGTCGTTTCCGGTAAGCTACGTGCCGCCCGTGCCAAGTCCATGAAGTTCACCGACGGCTTCATGATCCACTCCGGTCAGCCCGCCCGCGACTTCATCGACAGCGCCACCCGTCACGTTCTCCTGCGCCAGGGTGTTCTCGGTATCAAGGTTAAGATCATGCGCGGCTCCGACCCCGAGGGCAAGGCCGGTCCCTCCAAGTCTCTACCCGACGCCGTCACCATCATCGAGCCCAAGGAAGAGTCCAGCATCGTGACGCCCATGAGCCAAGACTATGGCGCAAAGGCTGCCCAGATCCAGGCTCAGGCCGAAGCTGCTCGCGCTGCCGAGGAGGAAGGCGGCGAGGAGGCTGCCCCTGCTGAGGAATAAAGGATTGAGCAGTCGGTGCTGGACTCTTCAATCTGAACGGTGGGGAAAGAAAAACGGGGGGACGGAAATGGATGAATTCTAACGAGGAAATGCGGTCTGTCTTTTCTCGAGGGCAAGAGATTCTTCGGCGTCTTTGATCATCATTTGCATTGCAGGGACGGGAAATAACGGATGCTCTATTGTCGATTCTAGGCTGGCTAGATACGGCCTCTACTAGGGAGAGCTGTAGACTGCAAAATAGCAATCGTCACACAACATGTGGAAGTCCCTGTGAAAGGTGTTATATATGTTAATGTGAAATGCCTTGTTACTAGAAGTAATGAATACAGGTAATTAATACTTAAATCTGCTATTAGTTGGATATCTCGGTTATGGACCACTCAATGAACATGAAGATAATTCACATTTAATATCCTCAAGAATCGGCGTACACGCACCCTTCTCATTCTCGTAGGATAGGTAATTTGCCTAGCTAATACATGAGCACATGAACTTCCCTCCTCGGTACTAGATATCTACCGTACCGTAGTCTGGAGTAGATGTACTTGAAATTCGACACACATCTATGCCAGAGGATAGCGTTCATTAAATACTCGCCATCTCCTAACGGCCTATACGACCTAACAACTTGGCGGCGGCTATTCAGAGTCGCTTGTTAACCCATCAACCGTCGCTCCGATTCCGTTTGCCTACCTACCCATCCGGCACCAGATCCGGCGCAGTGCAGAAAGGACCATGCCGTTTATCGTCATCTCGCTTCCGCGCGTAGTAATTCAAACAGAGAAAAAAAAAGGAAATAGAAGGTTGATTCCTCTCAAATTCGATAATAGGGAAGGTACCGGTAGCTTGCTACCATTTCTCGCACCCTAATGAACCGGAACCGGAACCGGATCCCTCGCCTCTGTGCCGAATGTGCCGGAAGGTACTTCCAAAAATAACCTGTTTCTTCCCCGAAACGCCGCGGTGAGATAATCCCAACCAAGAACCCAAAAATGATGCTACCTCTAATACTCCTTTAGTGAGCCCGATATTCCCCTCCCCCCCGGCGGAGGAGAGGAGGGTTACTGCCATTTTACACCCTAAGTTCCAATCTGGAACTAGCAGCATGAGAATCCTTAATATGAATCGTGTCCACCTGTGGAATTCGATGATCTAATCTTTCGATGAAGAGAGCCCGCCGAATAGGAAAATATACAATGTGATCGTAGAGATGTTGAATAGGGACATATATGAGGACATATATGAGATATTAATCTTCTAATATGAAGCTAGTTTATTGCTCGGACGATCTCCGGTTCTGTAGTTCGATCGACTCGTGGCCTTTCTTTGAGCGTGCGGCTGTACCGTTCCTCCTTGACGACGGTTCGTCGTCGCTATCATCAGCAAGGTCGTTGAGGCTGAAATCGCCTGCTGCCTGTTCTAAATCGTATGCGCGCATGAGCCCTTCTCTATCGGAATGTCCCCGACTTCCTATGCTTATCCGCGAGCCGGTACTTCGTCGGGCTTGCATGCTAAGACGCGTCTGCAAACTCGATATCATGTCGGTACCAGCAGCATCGGTGCCTTGTCCGGCAAGAATCTTGGTCCCGTTGGGGTCTCGTCGGGATAAGTTCAAAAGATAGACGCCGGTGAAGGTTATGAGAAACCCGCTAAGCAAGGAGAGGGTATTGACCACGTCGGTGGTGTTGAAGCCGGAGAAGAGGATGAACGAGGCGCAAAGGGTGGCCGTAGTGAAGGTCACATAGTAAAGAGGGTTGACGCTACAAATAAGTCAGCTTTGTTAATGGATATATAGAGGAGGTAGTGGATCATACATCTGGGTGCTGAATTGGCTGAGCGCCTTGTTGAAATAATTCATCTGAGTAAGGATGCAAAGTGCAGTAAGGATCATGAAGACGTAGGTCGAAGCGTGGGTAAACTGGTTGTGGCCTGCGAAGGTGAGCTTCAGCGCAATGCCGAAGGCCTTCACAGACATGACTGATACGGAGCCGACGGTAGAGCAGATCGAAAGGTAGATCAGCGGGTTCTTCTTGCCGTGAAGCGGCGCGATCTTGTAGATCATGACGGTCGCGAAGATAGCTACAACGGCACAATATAGAAGGAAACCTAGCAGCCTCCATTAGCTCGTGTCCGGAAAAAATATCCTTGCGCTGGGGTTTAACTCACCGGGTCTGATCGCATAGTTAAGGATTTGGTCGATCGTCTGGATGTCCTCGTCGGGAGGCGCATGGAGGACGATGATAATAGCACCTAATAAGCAGATAGCACAACCAAGTTTCCCCAAAGTTCCTAGTTCCTCTTTCAAGAAGTATGATCCTAGAACAGCTCCGATCAGGACGGATAGAGCGCCCAGAGGCGTCACTAGAATGGCTGGAGCAAAGGCATATGCGGCGAAGTTGCAAATCTCTCCCGTAATCACTTTGAAGAATGGTTCGTCAGTTTACTAATTTACCAATAGTTTTGATGGGGAAATTCTTACTGGTTACCATTCCAGCCCACCATAAGGGGTTTCTTAGGTAGATGTAACCTTCGCCGGAGAAGCCATGCTTTTCTTCTGCTTGTATCAATCCCTATGTCGTATTAGAGTGTGCTCTCCCGACAAAGATCGAGGCAAAACTTGGCGCCGAATTCTTTGGGTTACGGTACCTTTTTCGTTATTACAAAACTCGTGCCTATAAAATAGGATGATGTTAGTTGATGTATCTTGGGGGTACGATATCTTCTCGCACTCTAGGGACATACCGATGGCTAAACTTGACGAGATAGCTAAAGCTAGTCCGATATATCTATTCAAAAACTCAAGTCAGTCCATTGTCGTCGAAGATAGCAACTCTCAGCGTAAGCTATCGAACGCATTGTCACGGCGGCGGGCCTCGAGGGGGTTTATCCGTACTTCTCGTCTAGCATCATCATTGCGATGGATCTACGGCCGCGACAGGAATCGCAGCTTCTAGTGAAAATGGGGGGTAATGGTAGAAGACAGAATTGAGGTCGTCGCAAGAGTAGATAGATGGCTCGCGCCGGGCGAGGGCAAGCAACGAAAGGGAGTGATCAGGTGGACCGATTTGCGCTTCGATCAGCGGAGATGCCACGAATACCCGAAGGGAATGATCGGATCGGTTGCGCGCCTAGTCAAAATGGCCGGTGGCTGAGGGTCGCACGTTTACAGCGTCGCTTAGTAGATGGAAACCGAAAGGCACGTGGATAATGTATAGGAACAATACGAAGGAATAAGCTTTTTTTTCTCTTTTAAAAAGAACGAATGGTATTTCGTAATGGGTTGAAGATTAGAATTCGGGGGGTTCGTGGTGATTCGTAGTGATTTACGGCGGAGTTGTGAAAGCTTGTTCTTTTTCTCTTTGACCTTTGACTTGCAACATTGGAACTGCAGCAACTCGAAGTGGGAGGCATGGGGTTTCAGAGAAAAAGTACGGGGTACTTCCAGGGAGGTTACTTAGGTACTTCATATGTAGCCGCTTGGAGATGCCCCAAACCAATATGTACCTAGCCACCCCTGGTTCTGCCGTGCGTAGGGGCGTCATCGTCCGTTGATTGTACATACATAGTAATTAGAGATGCGCTAACCGGAGTTTAAGCCCCGTATTTCGATCTTAGTATGCACTTAGCCCTGCCTAAGTGGAAGTTTAACCCGTACCTGGCTAGGTACATGTACGCAATCAGATGCACCAGATGTACCAGATGTACCAGATATATCAGATGTACATGATATTCAGCACCTTAGTTCTTCTTAAGAATAACTATCGAGATTGACTCTAATACCGAAAGGTTAGTTTGATCTGATGGATGAATTATGGATGAATTAAATGGGCTAAATGACACAAGGTAAAAAGTACTCGAGACAAGCCATAATATACATATTTTCGGGTCTTTGGCGGATCCTGAATGTATCTTAGACATATCTTGAAACCTTCTTAGACAGAATTTAACCCACAGCTAAGAACCTTGGAAGTTTGTATTTCTCTTAGAAGACCCACCAAGACGAGGCTGTGCCTCCCCTTGCCTCCCCTTGCATCCGCAGAACACGTACGCAAGAACCGCAAGAACCGCAAGAACCGCAAGAACCGCAAGAATCTAAGCATTCATAGTATCTGATTTCCGAATGGTAGAACTAGAATCTAAAACATGCCTCTTCCTTGCTTCTTAACTAACTATACTTAATCCTGACCATTTCCTGTTCCTGAAGGCTGATCATCTCCAATCTAATCCATCCCTCTATTAATTAAATGCCCAATTAGGGTTTAATATTGAAAAGGCTGGATACCAAATTCCAGTTTTGGATCCGACTTGTGTCTAACTTGTACATATAACTAAACCATTTTCGTATTTCATTATAAGAGGCACAATATGCTGACTGCAGAAACGCCTTCGTGAGATATGATTAACCACCTAAATATGCAAGTAGTTCAAGATTCAAATTGGACATGACGACGCGTCTCCACCTGACTCGTCTACACCTTTTTTTTCGTTCCCATCTCAAGCGAGTCGCTATATCATAACCACTTATACATACATACCTAAATACTAAAAACAACCTCTTCGCGAAAATAGGGGTAATGTATATTGCTACGGAATCTGCAACTGCATTATCAAAACCTAAGAGATTCCCAACCAAGCTTTAGAAGCTATAGCAACACAAGGCGTTGTCTATCCAGCTTATCAAGGTTTTAACTCGACTGGATTAGAATTGCCATTGTAGCTCAAGCCTCCTTCCATAATACACCTGCAACGCGACATGAAATCTTGACTCTTCTGTGGGCAGTCATATATCAGCAGCCACGCCGTGCTACTTCCTATTTATGACATTTGTACCGGAATTTCCATAGATTTTCCCTTGCCGAAACTCCTAAATATCTCCGGGACCTTGTATCCTTTTACACAGCACACACTCTCGCCGTGAACAGCTGATGAGCGCCGCGGGTATCAGAAAAGAAAAAGGGCCAAACAAAAATTCGAAGTAGAGGAGTCCTCGTCACCGTCTCGTTTCGTGACGAAGCCGCTTCGCGTATCCTTACGAGCTGTTCGTCTTTCGTTATTAAAGTAAACTTACCATTAAGAATGCTAAACCGGTTTAACACTTCTCGTACCTGTATGTTAGTATGCTGAAATCAAATCACGTCCCGTCGGGAACAGAATCGCGTATCTGTGGGTTGACTGCAAATATGCAAGTTCGACATCAGCTCATTAGTGATGCATTTGAACGTATTGCATGTCGGAGGGGAGAAAAAGGATAAAGAGAAAATCGGGTTGGAAAGTTCGGAGAAATCATGACGGACGACGACGCTTGACATCTGAAGCAAGTTAGCAAGATAGCCAGATATGTTAGTGTTCAAAGCCGATCACGTACCGCTACGTTCAGTTACGCCCTCGTCTAGGTCAGAATCTGACCGAGCGCGCTTCCCAGATACCGGTGACACTTGTACCGTTGCTTTGGAGGTTGTAACAGGTTCGTCTTGAGCATCTTCATCTTCTGACTCCCATGTGATCTCGTCGTTGATAGGCACCTTAAGGGTTGCCGACACGCTGATACCACTGTTGGATGTGACATCGTTGCCACCTGTAATCTCCTCTCCGTCATCATCCGAGTAGTCGATCTCGTCTTTATCGTCACCGTTCAGCGTGGCAGTAGCACTAGTAATGTTGGAGCTGGGGGCATCGGCTGTTCCGTTGATAGGTGATGAATGCTGGTTGGGATAACTACGTTCGGTAGCGGTAAAGGCATCATGCTCGTTCTGAATCTCATCTGTACGATCGTGGGGGGAACCGTTCGCTTGTTGATCTTGAAGTTGGTGAATGTTAGTAAATATTTGCAAATTCTCAAAAGATCGGAGTTGAGGAATGAAAAAGTGCTGTTCGGTAGGAGAGATTGTCGGCAGGTCAATATTGCTCCTGTGTAATTCGTACTTGAAAGGCTGATCAGCTCCGACGGAACTACCGGATGAGACTGATTTCAAGCTGTCAAGTTGCCAACTGGCTTCCATTCCCATAATTTCAACCGCAAAGCAATCGTCGCATATGCAGGTTTTAGTTCCAGTGCAACTGATGGGGACCAAGGGGCTGAAAAGAGAAGTTTGAGAATTACCCTGCTTCGTTGATGAAAGGTCGAGTTCGTCATCGGAGAAGTCGATCAAGCCGTCCGCTGTGGTCGCATCGGCACTCGCGTCTGCATTATTATCGTCGTTCTCTCCAGCTTCATCGGCGTCGTCGGCCTCATCAGCTTCGCTAGCTACGTCGGCCGCGTCGGCTTCAGCTGCTTCAACTGCTTCGCCTGTTGGATCTTCAGTGTTTGTACCTATGGCCGAGCCATGTACTGAGGGTGAGTTAGGCTCATCGTTGTTCTCGACTTCGCCTGCTTCACCTTGATCGGCTTCATCTTCCACGGCACCGCTTTCTTCATAGTCATAAGCCTCGTCTTCTTCTTCCCCAGAGGGCAAGGCGTACGGAGAGTGACTATCAAACTCGCCAGCTCCCTCACCATCAATGGGCGTATCTTCTCGAAAAATGGCAATTTCTGAAAGGCCACGGCCAGAATCTGCGCTATCTCGAAGCGCTATAAAGCGCTGCCTGCAATTAGGCCTTACCATGAGATACGTATAGAGGTCTGGCGGCGGTTCCGACCCGTCATTTTTTACCAATCTGTCATAAAGACCAAGAATGTCACCAAAAGTGAACTTTTCGAGTATTTCAGCCGTAGAGGACTATAATACAATTAGCTTATGTGAGGTTAATGTGAGGCCGTAATTAAACATACCTCAGAGAACTCCAGTCCCAGGACATCTACATGCATGACTAATTCATCCAGAGGAGAAAGCTCGTCTGAAATGACATCCCGCAGGCTGGACAACAACTGGCCGAGGGGAAACTCTAACGCTGCCATATCACTCAAAAAGTACTTGTTAGGATCATCGGCTTCGGACTTAGCGAATAGCCTGTAATCCGTATTACCATACGAGATATACATCTCATGGCGGGTAGCAACGGAGAGGGGGTGTTCTACAAAGGCTCTGGCCAGGGGTTTTCTCTGGTCGCCAGCAACGGCAGCTTCGAGGTCTTGTGTCCAGCATTATGTTGAATCCGACTGACTTTGCGTCTCATCGGCATCAGGGACTCCAGTCTCTTCCTTACTGTAGGTTTGATTACTAGATTCATGGTCATTGGCAGGCTCGTCGTGCAAGTTACTGCCTAACTGCTGCTCGATATCCCCTAGGTCGGTCGGATCTTGTTGGTTTACCCGCTCCTGCTCTTGTTCAACGTGATGTTCTGCCACGGATCCGTGATCAGATGCTACAGGAGCAGAAGGCTGTTCTCCATGCTGAAGGGAGTTATCATCGTTATCGTCACTATCGTATCCAATTTCGGATACATCATCGCCGCTAGCTTGATGCTGGACATCTTTGTGAGTTTCGTAGATATTGTTACCTTCACTGGCGTGTTTATCTGAGCGCGAATCATTCTCCTCGTGTTCCTGTTGCTCATGTTGCTCATCAACAACAGGCTCTTTTGTGGACTCTTGGAGGCTAGCATCAGCAGGTACATTTTGCTGTTCATCATACGCATTCTGTATCCTGCTTTCCGCTTCAATATTATTATTCTCACCGACATCAAGAGTCTCTGCATTGTCGCCTTCAGTCACGGCCAGTCCTAAGTCTTGGGAGGCTACATCGTCCTCTATAAGAACTTCACTATTTGGAAGTAGATTGTCGCCTGTTGCGTCAATTGTGCCAACATCAACCTGAGTGGCGTCTACTTCGTCGGGCTTGTTAATAGAGTAGGTTGATGCTTCCAACCAGCTACCTTGGCCAGTACCAACATTCTCGGTGTTGACATTGGCATTACCGACGTCAGTGGCTTCGACTATGTCGATTTCAACAACGGGCTCAAAATTCTCTTCAGGGGCGGCATTCTGTTGCCATAGACTCTCTTCGGGGTCGCCAAGATCGATCTCAATATCGTTCGAAGCTACTGCCACCTCGTTATTCTCAATGTCATCGGCGTCTATCATACCGTACGACGCATCATCCCCCTCAGCCATCAGCTCATCTCTCGTATCTGAGTTGAAATTCGGAATCTCCTGGACTTGATCAAAATCTGCAAGCTCCATATCCTCATCAGTCTGTCCGACTGCGAAATCTAGATCTATGTCGATATCTTCCCCAAATCCAGCTTGACCGAAATCGGTCGTTATCTCCATTTCTTCTCCAGGCATTGTGTATAGGATGCCTGGATACAATGCTATCTGCGAGGGAATCTATGGCAGAACCTAATAGAGAAATGACCCTGGAAAGGGAATAGTATTATTCTCGGATGTATCAAATTGGTATACCTTATAGGTTATCCAGTTTCTTAGTAGGGAGGCAGGAAATGACAAGTCCGTATCGAACAAAGCGGCTCAGGAAGTCGGGGTGAAGACTGCCTATTTCCGGAAAGAAAGGGTTTGTAAACTTCACTTGCTTGATGTTTGCTAGAGCCTACCCTCAAGTCTACAATAATTCGTCCCAATAGCTTCGCAAACGCAGGGCACGAGATGCGGTCGGAAACTTGATGAGGCCTGACGGTTCGCCACTACTCTTGAATGTGCTTCGCAGTCCTGCTATGCTGTGTTATCCGGACTAAAGGGTTGTCGATTGATGGCGAACGGCGTGTACAATACGAATAACTTGTATAAAAGTAAGAATCATTTGTGGTGACCGAAAGTTCACCCATTAAAGATTGATCTTGCTAAATTGTTGTGGTAGATGTGTGTAGTAGAGGCCTTGTGACGTAGGCTTTGGTTGAACTGCCTTCAAAGGCCGTAGTTCTTTGTTAAGTAGGAATTAGGTAGGAAAAATGTCGGAAGTCTTGGGCAAGTAGATCAGGTCAAGAATATTAAAGGTACGTAGGAAGGTACGTAATAGTTGGTCGTTGTTACAATGCTGTGTGGATAAATGCGAGGTAACAGGGATATCGTGGTGATTGTGTAAGATGCACGTCGCGTGGGTTTAGGCGGGATTTACGAAATGGGGGAAAGAAGGGCGATGCTGCCTTGTCGAAAATATGTCGAGAATATGACGGACTTAAATAGGATTATCGAAAAATTAGAAGATTAAAGTTTGTGGCTTTAACATTAAAGTAAGATCAATAGGCCGTGATTGATGAGACAAACATCGAGGGAAAGTAGGGCATTGAGTTGATGGAATATATGATCACTTTTTAGGTTAACAAAAGGTAGGCCGAGAAGGTGGACCGTAAAATAAGTTAGAAAGGTATTAAGGTAGGTATGTTAGGTAATTTTAGGTTGACAGGACCCCACCCCACCTGCCCGACAGCTGAAACCCAACGCATGCAGCAAGTTGGTGATGGTACATATGTACCTACATACATATTTCTACCTCTCCCTTTCGGATAAATATCGGCAATATCAAGGTAAAGTCAAACATGTGGCTTGACAGGGGATTAGTCCAGTATTACATTTTCTACGTACGGTGAATTGGCTTGATCGTTGGACAGCTGCTAGCCTTGGTACAATACCAACTCCCATTTCGTGGCATAACTCTACTTAGCATATCAATTCCCTTTAATTCTACAAAAGTTGCCTGTCCCTGTGGGCATAATACAGACAACATGGTAATAACATATTCCCAGATACCTAAGTAAGGTTCCCCAATGATCTCTAACTCGTATTAGGTCGTCTTAGCCGCATCTATTTGTACTCGAGGTGGGAAAGCTGTCCTCTCGAGGCAATTCCGGGAGATGCCCAGATCGCGAATCGAAGCCCTCCTAGCATCTTTTCCTAAGCTTGCCGATTCGGGCACTCAGCACACCACAGTTGAACAGGACAATGTTCGATTTGTCTACCAACCACTCGACGAGCTCTACATGGTCCTCATCACCAACCGCCAGTCCAACATCTTACAGGATATCGATTCCCTCCACCTGTTTGCGCAGGTAGTTACTAGCACATGCAGAAGCTTAGATGAGAGGGAGATATTGAAGAATGCCTATGAACTACTCAGCGCCTTTGACGAGTTGGTTTCTCTCGGCTATAGGGAAAACCTCACCATCAGTCAGATCAAGACTTTCTTGGAGATGGAGAGTCACGAAGAGCGCATCCAGGAGATTATTGCGCGAGTATGCTATCTACATACAAGGCTTTCCCATTGTCCTGCTAACAGCCGTACAGAACAAGGAATTGGAAGCAACCGAGGAGCGCAAACGAAAGGCCAAACAGCTGGAGTTGCAACGAAAGGAGTCTGCGAGGATGGGTCGTCCTGGTGCACCTCGAACCCCAGTATACCCAACTTATACACCACCTACGCGCCCCACGCCTGCAGATACCTACGATACCTACGAGGCTGAGAAGAACAAGACTCATAAGTACGAAATACCATAAATATATCAGACGCCAGGCTAACACAGAATTAGGACAACGGTTATGAAAGGCAAGGGAATGCAGTTGGGTAAGAAGTCTAAGACTACAGACATGTTTGAACGTGTCCGAGGAGACATGGGAGCCGAAGTAGACGATTCACCCCTGGTGCCCATCGCTCCCGCCCCGGCTGCCGAGCCTGCAGCTCCACGAATGTCTTCAACCCTAGACCGCGATGCGATCCACGTCACTATCAACGAGTCTATCGGTGCCAAACTATCGAGGGAGGGTTCTCTAAACTCCCTAGCCGTTACCGGCGATCTAAGTTTAAGAATCTCGGATCCCAGCTTGACCAAGATCAAGCTCAACCTTACGGCAAACGCCTCTCATGGCGTCCAGTTCCGTACACATCCCAACGTCGATCGTGGCCTATTTACGAGCTCCAAGACTATCCAGATGAGCAACGCCGCACGTGGTTTCCCAGTCAACAATTCTGTTGGAGTGTTAAGGTGGCGAGCTACGCCAAAGACGGACGACACCAGCGCTCTGCCTATTAGTTTTACCGTCTGGGTGAACAAGGGCTCGTCTGGAAACTATACGATAACAGTCGAGTATGAGCTTACTGGAAGTGACGCCCTGAAGGATGTTACCGTTGTCATTCCGTACGTTACTAGCGAACCATCCGTGTCTAGTTTCGATGCCACCTACGAAGTATCTGGCGACAGTCTCGAATGGACTATCGGAACCGTCAGCGACGACAATCCTAACGGCTCATTTGAATTCGATGCTCAGGCGGATGACGAGAACGAGTTTTTCCCTATGCAAGTACGATTCTCCAAGACGACACCGTTCATCGATGTTGATGTAAGTACTATACTCTCACCCTCAATCTAACATTTTCACCGTACTAACTATTTATATAGGTTACGTCAGTTTCATTGGTGGAAGAGAATGAAGAAGTGACTTTCTCTAAAGATATTAGGTCGGTGGCCGAATCCTATTTGGTCGAGTAACGATTTTTGAGCAGGATGTAATGAGTTCAGCATGGAGCAACGGCCACCAAAAGGGGATGAGACAGGATGTTATATGTTATATAGAGCAATGGCTAGATAGAGCATGCTAATTGATTGTGAATGATGCCATCAAGTATAGTTCTCTGCTATTGTGAATTCTAAGAACTCAGAAAATGTTATAAGATTGTATACAGTATATAAGTATAGAACATACTGTATTATGTACCTAATTTAGAGTGTTTTCAGTTGCGATCGCCCCGTTTTGGCGCACTGTGGACTCACTAACCTTCGTAAAATCGCAGCAGCAATAACAAGACAACTTCATGAGTGGATGTCTTTCTAAATAATAACAACGTCAACTTATAAAATGCTGTGCTATGATTAGAACTTTCCTAGATTAGGTACTCTCAAATCAAGTACCCAGTCTTAAAAGTAATCATGACTGAACCAATTGAGCTCACTCTACATAACGACTTACGTCTCGACCCTAAGCCGCACAACGGCCTTCTCACTTATAATCCGGTCATCGAACTCTTTGCCGGTGCGGTTGGGTCGAGAACGCTCCAGATATGGCGGTCAAATGGTCAAGCTGTTACTAAAAGTAGTCAACGTGGCGAGAGAGACACTGTCGAGGCTCTCCGCTGGAAAGCAGATGGTAGATTACTTCCGTTTTCATATTAGAATATCAACCCATAAACTAACGCGTATCAGGACAATTTCTAGCGGTAGGGTGGAGTGACGGGGAGTAGTGAGATTGATGGGTTTGGAGACGAACAAGGCTGTCCACCAGATGCCAGTATGCGAGGCGGGCAAGTCACGAATCACCTGTATCGGCTGGGCTCGTAACAACGCAGGGAAGCGTCAGAACCTAGCCTCGGAATCTTCTACAGTATCCTGGGAGGATATAATATCTCGCGATCTTTTTCCAAGCAGTAGGAAGACCGCCGTAGACCTTCCTCGGGAACTTACGTTTCTCGAAGTCGAGAGCGCTCTGCCAAAGCTCAGCCCTTTACCCGCATCGGGGGGTTCAGGGTAAGGAACACAGCCAAATTCATCGTAACAACTACCTGCTAACAAGGCCTTAAGGGATGACTCCTTCGTATTCACCACAAGGGCATCGCTGGAGTTCCTATTCCAACCCTTCGCTCCTCGTGACAGCGATAACGTCGATGTCATGATTGTTGGCACTGACGATGGGCAAATCCACGTTAGCATATATAATTCTTTTGTCATTGGCACGTTTAAGTACGCTCTACCGCAGCCCCTTGGGAAGAACGTCACCCTACAGTTATGCCATCACGCCTCCCATCCTGACTCGTCGACACATATGCTCGTGTTCAAGCCGTCTGGGGAAGTTAAGACGACAACTACTTATCTCGTACCAATAGACCTAACATTCGTTCACTCTTCACCTGAGAATTTATCCTTACTAGCCTCAAAAACCACGACACTACAAAAGCTGCTGAGGTATGTAAAACAAGTGCAGATACATATGATACACGAATGGCAGTCGACCCGAGAGCTTCCAACTCGATTTTTGAACAGCATTAACGAGACGCTACGCGAAACTGGTAACTACGGGGAGATGGGCATCGGGCAGGCCTTATATCACACTGTGGTGACGGGCCATACATTCCCAGAAGTCCGGGAATGGCTGGTCGACCAATTGGCGGAGCGGGTACGTATGCTTCCATTCATAGGTTCAGGTGGAATCATGAGGCTAAAGAATGAGACAGGGTCATAAACGGTGGGATAAGGCTGTTTTGTCAGGCCTCCATTCGCTTCGCAGCCTAGTGCACGAAAACTTCCTTCCGGCGCTCGAGCGCGTCGGTATTATCCTCAGCCGTTTATTCGGCATCGCGCGCTTCCACGAGTCAAAGGAGGAGCCCGGATTCACCAGCGCGCAGATTACCAGAGTCATGGATATCGTGTCCTGCCTGATGCTAGTAGGAAACAAGATTCTACTCATCGTCATGGAGGAGCTGGATCTGTTCCAGTCGTTTTCAATCTGGCTCCGACACGAGATCGACACACTGGCAGCTCCTTCGGCGGTAGAAGAGCTTTCCGAGAAAGATGCAACAATGGAGCACGGAAAGGTTCTTGCCTATATCCAACAGTATATGGCCGCGAGCCCCTTGAGGTACCATCTCAGCAACGTTCCAGGTGAAAGTTCGGATAGAAGTCGCCAGCAAGCTGAAGCTGGAAGCTCTCTATTGGAACTCCTTAGTAAACAGCTAAATAAACTAGACACTAAGCAGCCCGACGAAGATGCGTTCGCCCAGGTCGAATTCTTGTGCGGCTATTTGGATGGTAAGGCCAGTGCTATCTTTGAAGGCATCGCCGAGGCGGAAAAGCGAAGCGTGCGGTTCGGCCAGCCAACTGCTATCGAACTGGACAGTAGCATTGTGAAATTCGATGTCATAATGTCTGCTATATCTAATACGGTATGTCCACATCCAAGTCGTCTCTCATTCAACATTAACTGTCTCCTTTAGAATACGCCTCAGGCACCCACATATACAGCTCTGATAACGGAAAGCGACGAGCGCAGCGGTACGAATCACCAACAAGATTATCCACAACCTAGCACTGACTCTTCTCCAATAGTATACATATTCCGAACAACTACGAGCGTGTTGAATGGGATCAGCGGCTCTGTCACGACCGAGGTCTCATGCATGGTCCTTGGCGAAGGGAAGGTTCTCGATCTAAAATTCTTATACGACGATAATCTTCTCGTCTTATGGGCGCAGAGAGGTAATTTAAGCCCGCCCATTCAACACTTAATTATCGCTAATTCAAGCAGGCCAACCACTACGGATTATCAGAATACCACACAAATCTAACGACTTAGGGTATCGACCGTATTACTCAGGAGACAAGGTAACGCCACACGTCCTCAGCAACGACCAAATTACTAGCGCATTTATGAACGTGGTAGTACCCTGCGAGCCGAACTTCATACCGGCCCAGATGGAAGTGAGAGAAGCCAGTTCTGAGCGTGGCAAGGTACCTGTCAAGGTCTGTCTGCTTGGGAACGATATGCAGACATATAAAGTATTTTCCTTGCCAGAGGACTTATTCAAGCAGTTAACTACCTAAGGTAGTTATATAGTGATGGAATATCGGACTGGCAATATCTATATACCTTACAGACTAATGATAACCTATGATATCCAATGAGAAATTAGAAAAACCAATTGCTGCTTGATTGAATTCCCGAACGACCACCCCCTATTTACCCACTTCTAAAGTCTCCAATGTACCGTTGGTCTAGCTAGACCGCACCGATTCCAATCCAAGGTCCATTTTCCAAGACGATCCGGTTCCCTTTAGGTCAGCTATGGGCGGTATGGAAGCGCTCGTAGCCGAGGCAAGATGGACTAGCATGAACAATATGTCTCCTTATTTCTCACCCCATTCCCTTGTAGCTTCCTAATTTAAATTTTGATTGGTGCCTAGGCTTATGACCTATCTGATTATCGACCTACGCCATGAATCCGACTTGGATTTTACGGTCTCCAAGATATTCAGCTACAATTTAAATTCATCCCGTGCCGGAGATCAGTTCGCCTTCCCTTATTAGAGGCTCCTTCGCCCTAAGGCTGAGTTTAAGTATCAACCTACGATATCAGGACTTGTTAGTATTTTCGAACTGAACAAGGGAATTTTAATCGTGTGTATATGTAGATAACTTCCTCTTATAGCAGGTTATCTAAATCTAAGTTTACTTTTCTCTACAGCAGAGTGACCTTGAAATGCTCACCGGTCACTTGGTTTGAACTGCTTTATGATATACAAACTGCCTAATAACCCACTCTAGCCCTCCGGTTAGGAGCCATACACTTTGCACCATTCCTTCAAAGTAGGCTCATTCTTATCGGCATATCATCACTTCTTCCCTGTCTTCGCCCACTGCCTCAGGACGTTTTTCTGAATCTTCCCGGTACTCGTCTTAGGGAGCTCGTCGACTATCTCGACTTCCCGCGGGACCATAAACTTACTAATCGCGCTTTGAGTGCGAGCCCAGTTGATCATGTCTTGAGGCTCTAGCGTCTTTCCCTCCTGGACTGTTAGATACGCCTTGGGTCGCTCGCCCCAATGCGAGTCTGGTACGGCTACGACGCCTGCTTCGAGGACGTCCGGATGCTGGACCAGCATGGCCTCGAGTGCGACCGATGAAATATTCTCTCCGCCTTGACATGCGTAAGTTAGTACTCATGTCTGCAGATAAAATACATCTCTAGCAAGGGAAATGAGGCAAGCATACCGCTAATAATGATATCCTTAGCTCGGTCTTGAATCTGCGCGCTTCCATCCGGATGCCAGACAGCCAAATCACCAGAATGTTGTGCGCCCCCAGCAAAGAGCTTCCTCGTAGCTTCGGGGTCCTTATAGTAACCTTTGCAGCAAATATTACCGAAAAAAACGATTTCGCCAATCTCCTTGCCGTCCTTGGCGACGTCGATGAGAACACCTTCCGGCTGATCGGTCTTGACGACGCGGATTGGAAGACTGGTTATGAAGCCATGTCCCTGGCGAGCCATCTTGACATATCTCTCTGACTCTGGCAGGTCGTCCCATTGTGGGAGATGGTATCCCTTTGTTATTGGGCCGTAAGTTTCCGTTAGGCCGTATACATGGAGGGGGTGTAGATTTAAATCGGTCTGAATGGTTCTATTAGTAAGGATAAGGTCACTAGACGGACAGACATGTCTCATACCATCTGCTTAAAAAGGTGTGGCGTTGGTGGGCTTGCGGCTACAGTGACCTTTACAGGTTGTGGTAACCTCGCTGCTTCTTTCGAAGTGCAGAGCAAAGTATTCACCGTCGGCGCTGCACTGAAATTGGTGATGCCTTCTTCTTTCAGAAGTTTCCATATTAACGGATAGTCAACTCTCCTGAGGCAATAATGCGTGCCTCGAGCTGCGGTTACCGCCCACCTATAATAGGGGTGAGCACTTAACTTCAAAGTTGATGGTCGTTTGAGAAACTTACGGGAACGTCCAGCCTACGGCATGAAACCTGGAAATGTTAGCAACGAAAAGGATCATCTTGCGGAGTAGTCTTACATCGGTAATGTCCACAGATATTTACACCGCCCCTTGTCAGGACTCAATCCGGATTCAATGACGTTAGCTAGTGCTGCGAGATATGCGCCTCGGTGCGTATAGACGCATCCTTTCGGCCTCGAAGTCGTTCCCGATGTGAATGGAATGGCGATCATATCATCTTCATGAACACCCTGGACGTGCAGACCAGCCCACCCCTTGCTACCCTGTGCCTGGTCATATTTCAAACCTTCCAGCACTGCTTCGTCGAATGGTCCACAGAGCTCACCCTCAGTCGCATCGGTATCCTTTATTTGTTAACAGATTTATTCGATATCCAACATTAGATATAAGCTAGATGAGTCAGATAATATACTCACCAGATCAACGATGAAAGGCACATTCGGATGGCTCTCCTTAAAGCCGTCTAATAACGATAGATACTCGTTGTCTACGATGATAGAATCCACTTCAGCAAAATCGAAAATATAGGTGATATCATCGGGTTTTAAGCTATAAAATCGTCAGTATTCGGAGTATGCTTCAGCGGGGGTAGATGAATTTCCGGATCGCGTACCGATAATTCACAGGGACAATAACCCCGCCACCAGCTACAATTCCGAATATCGATTCCAGGAAAGCAGGCGTGTTAGTCGCCAGTACACCGACACGTTTATAACCGTGTTTTCGAAGGTAGTACGCTAACCCCCTGGCACGATCCGCGAACTCGCTATATGGTCTCCTCAGGACTTTGTTGTTAGCTGTAACATGATATATAGCGGGAGCATCGGGTTCGATAGCAGCGGCCCTCTCTAGAAAAAACGTTGGGGACAGCTGATGGATGTGATAGGTATGGTCAACGCCAACAGGTGACTTCGGGGTTGTCGGCCCTAGATGACCGAGTAAGTTCCTCAACCGTGACGTCGGTCCAGACATATTATTACAGATGCTGTAGCTAATGAAATGACAACTCCGTCTAAGTCTCAAGAGGTAGCGTCTAAACAAGACCGTACAGCTAATACGCAAGATATAGGTATTCTATACAGGTGTATGGTGGGTAGGGTATAATGCAAGTATGAAATGAACACGAAACAGAGCTATGTGAGATAAATGTCATCGAAGTTCAACATAAAACGCCGGCTGAGGAGGGTATCGAGACTTATAACAGTAGGTACAGAGGTACCTTAGGTATACAAAGCGGTGTCAGGGAAAAGGATGGTGCGCTAGTACTACCCCATAGACCCCGTAGTCCGTCCCCCATGCCGCCATGCCGCTAACCCCGGTCTTATTCGGTTAAGGACTAAGCATTACCGGGGAACCAAGGATTAAGCATACGGGTTTATTGATAAAAAGTAAGAGCTAAGGCGTTTTTAGCCCCTCGGAGTTGCGTCACAGTCACGACTTTTCCTACTTATTAAGAAGTAGAGTTTATTTAGAATAGTATAAGTCCCTTCGTAACTATTCCGACTAGTAAGGAAGTGAACATCCAAAGGATGTAGATTATCATATATTCGGCTTGACTCTTTAGCTCAAACTTTTATCAATGACAGCGGTACGAACTTGAGTAAGAAGGGAAATAGTATAAGTCTACATTTACTAACCTAAGGAGTTGATGAATGTTGGATCTCAAGTTTAGATGCTGGGTCCAACTCATTCATAAACTTCCACTTTGTAAACCCCATTTCGGGGTTAATATTCTACCGCCGACTAACCGATGAGCCGATTTCATAACTTTATGATAGTATAACTAACAGGTAGTATAAAATTCAAAATAGACGCTATAACTAACAGGATTATGATAAATTTCATAAACTTCAAAATAACACATCGGCTATGACATCCAGTTAAACTTTTCGAGCGACACAAATCCAAGCCAACATCCCCAGTATTCCCGTCTCCTTCTCTGTGTCACTCAGCTGTTTTCGGATCTCGCCATCCCAACGCCCTATTTCTTCCTAGTTCCATCCCTCCCAGAGTTTCGCCGTCCACATGGGCGAGCTGAGCGCTTTGACGGCTTCTTCCCCGGAACCACACTCCCAGTTCGGCTCGGCCTCGGAAATTTCAATTTGATCACCAGGAAATCTCCCAACCTCCATAACGCTAGAAAGCTTCTCTTTCGTCAACCACTCGGGAGACATGTACATGGGTTTTAACCCGCTGTTCGGCCGGATGGCATCCACCGCACCTTGAAGCACCTCGGCAGCCCGTCGAGTCTTCCACGTTGTGACTACTGCATAGCCGCCGGGTTTAAGTACACGATGCATCTCTGCAGCGCCGGCCACCGGGTCCTGGAGTGTAAATATGCCTAGGTTCATGACGATAGCGTCGAATTCGGCATCCTTGAACCGAGAAAGGTCCTCCGAATCTTGGACATAGGCGTCGGCTGTAGTCCAGTTTAGCGCGGCTTTGTTTGCCATGAAGTGTTCGATCATAGCGGGTGCGAAATCTATGCCAGTGACTCGGGGTGACGGAGAAACAGGCAGCCCAGGGACCGAGACGTCTGCTGGAGATGGCGATAGGAGGAGTTTAGCCACTATGCCCGGTCCGGCCGCCGAGTCTAAGATGTGGCTTGCTGAAGAATAGCTTAATAGCGGTAAGTGAGACAATGCGGCGGCTGCAAGGCGCGTACTGGTGCCACCTGCATGTTTTTCGTATGCAGAAGCATTTTTCTGGAAATGAACTTGTCCGGTTACCTTACCTAATGTCTCCGAGGTCATGTTGGCGATGAACGTCGTTGTTATCATGTGTGAAGAGTCGGTGGAAGATTTGAGATCTGCGAAACTGCGAAAGATAAGTTGGCGTCTGGTGGCATTTCTGAACATTGAATAATTACTCGAATACTACATGATTTAACTCAACGGAATGGTATATTTATGTCGCGTCGGATACATATTTTACTTCGCGAGGAGTCCCCGGAATGTCTCCGAGATACTTGTTTATGGAGACTTTACAGCTAAGGTCAAGTCACGGATTCCCAATTCCCGTAAACTATTGATCTTTTTATCTATTCGGAGATAATTCCTATAAATTTCCACGTCTGGCAATAGTACTGTCTTAGTTTATAATTTAAATCGTTCAGAACAGAACCGCCAAGTATTCGCCACTATATTTCACTCCACCAGATAACCCCTGAAGATACTGAGCCGGGTTTATTTTTGATATTCGTCTCGTGACATTTCGTTACATCACGTATCGGAACTATGCAACGTATTAGCGAATATGAAGTCTCGTAGATATCCTGGGACTTACATAGGGGTTCTCAAAGTCGGTGTGGTCTCGTTCGCCCATTTCCAAGCCAGCCTTGATTCTATCATCTTCCGACATTCCTAGCTCCCTCATCCGTCTGTCCCTACGCCCGTTGCGCATAACCAGGATGGTCCTCCATAAAATGATCAGTAGTATCTGGATTCCTAAGCATGTTATACAGCCAATCGTCCCTGGGGTGTATCTAGGCTAGAAATTGTTAGTATTAGGTATATCATTTTCTTTTAGGTTGACATACCGCATCCTTGGCCTGGAAAATCTGAGTGCCCACCATATTTCCAACGCAATATCCCACAAATGTGATTGATGATACGACAGTCCGCTTTGTTCGCCCGGCGATGTTTGACGGGATTAACGACCAAGCAAAGAACGTGGATACTATAAAAGGTGAAGTCATGAAAATCCCACCCCATTTCGTCCATTTGTATTGTGGCTCATTTGGAAGAAGAGCGATGATGAGAAAGCCAGCAATTGCCGGAAGTTGAGAGAGCCCCATGATCCACCTATATGCGAATTCGATTAGATCATATACAAATTAGGATATCATAGGTCTTACAATCGGAGGTTCTTCTTCTTCGAAACCAGTAGTCCTATCGCGAGGAAGAATAGCGCCGAGAAAATCATTTTCGGAATGTTCAACAGAATATTTTGTAAATTCGCTATACTGCCGTTAGTCAAAGTTATAAAGACTATAGTAAAATATGGGATACTTACTAAAACCATAGCTGGTGGTCAATATCCCCGAAAACGCCGTCAGGGCACCGTTTGGAACCGATCCTAGGAAGGCATTTGCACCAGCGATCCAGAACTAGTTTTAGGGGTTAGCTTCCTCAAGTCAAATAGGGCAACATCTAGGAGATAGTTATATGAACATACTATTGGATCTTGTAGACACTCTCTAACTTGTTCCCACTTCCAGTCCTTGACAGCTGTTTTATCGTGACCGGTGTTATTGGATAGGATGCGAGCTCTGGCTATCTTCTTTTCCTCTGCGGACAACCAACCCACTTCAGATGGTGTACCGAGGAGGAGAAAACAAGATAGTCCCGCGACAATTGTCAGACTACCGAGAAACTGTCACAATATTAGCCTACGGCCCGCTTTGTCATAGAAAAACTTACATAGGACATGTACCTCCACGCCTCGAAATTCGGGTTCCTGTGGGAGACGGTACCAATTCCATAATTTATGGATTCGGTGATAATGCTCACTCCGGAATAACCGCTTTGGAAGACCAAGGAGCGCGAAGGATGTTCTCGTGTAGTGTACCAGGTCCCAACTATCAAAAGGAATCCGGGACTTATAGAGCATTCAAAAACTCCTTGTAATGCTCGAAGAGTGACGAGATGCGCAAAATTCTGAGCAAACCCAATACTCAACACGACAAATCCCCAGCACACTATGTATATCGACAAGATCCGACCCATGGAGTATCTCTGCAGAAGAATGATAGATGGAATCTCGAAACACATATAAGTAAGATAGAAGACTGTTGTCAGCCATGAAAATTGCTGTCCAACGAGGCCCGTATCTTCACGTAACCCAAATGTAGCTTGAGTACCGACGCAGCCCTTGTCTACTTGCTGGAGTCCATGACAGAGCCACATACTATTGTAACAGAATTAGGATAACAGATTCGCCCAAGAACGGTTTTGTATAAGACTTACAGCGGGAGAAGGTACCTGTCCACTTTTCGTTTTAGACGATTACACTCCTCATCGGTATATTGAGGCGGGAGTTCCTCTTTGTGATCTATGACGACTTTGTCATCGTTTGAGAACTTAACGTTATCGTCTGACCCCATCTTAGCGAATACAGTCGGCAGTGCTCGGTGTCGTGAGTGTTGGTCCTCTTTTCATATGTTATATAGCTATGATCTCATAACTTCGCTTAGTGAGAGAGTATAGAGTCCTGGATTTCGTGCTGATAAACACAGCTATAAGTAGAAACTCGATGGTCGATAGAGATGGCTTGGAGTACAAGAAATAAGAATTAACGTCCACAATACCTAGGGATAGATAACTCCTGGAGTCTGGAAGGCCACATTGATCGAGCACGGAGTCTAGAACATCTAGGCAGGGCATATACCGGGAAGGCGCACGAATCAAAAAGGCAATCCAGAAGCAGATCTCGTCACAGGCATATCGAAGATTGCGTCCTTTCCACGACATTATCTCAATTTCTAGTTCTCAAGCCACAATTTCGGTACTCAGCAATCATACTAGATCCCGGGATTGCATTGTGTAATGTGATGTCTTAGTACGTAAGACAGAATGGTGGGAAGATACCATGCGTTATTACACGAATGCTGGCGTCTAAAGGGAAATTTTGCGTAACGTGTTAAGATGCAAGAAACACGAAAAAAATAAAGATCACAATATCGAAATGCCCAGCTTCGCTTCGTTGTAATATCTAGCCACGAGGCAAGGAACCTTTGAAGATCGTCATCCTTAGGCAACATATCGAATGATGATAAGGGATAGTGGATAATCTAGATACGCAATTTCCGCATGGCTTGAGAATGGTCTCGCAGACGATAACGTATCTGAGCGCGAGGGCTGGCTTGTGAGACAACAGCGGAAGACACGTTAGAGATTTCAACGTTGAGAATGACGGAAAGCCTCCTCAAAATTTGATGGTATGAAGCGGCACATCGTGACCACGAGCCTTTCACACGCCATGTGGCTATCCGTTTTAATTCGTCCTTAGATAGGGTACACCAATAGTTTCCACAGACCTCATATTTGCATGAGGTGGCTTGGGTTAATCCGGCAACAACAAACCGTGTCAATCTATTCTGGGAGAAGTTCCACAGCTACTCAAAGGGTCGGGCCGCGTCTAGCGGGATCAAGGGTATGGAATCGGGCTCTATGATTAACCCGAGCTATCTGGGGAATGTCTAAGGTCGTATCTTTGAGGGTTTAACAGGTAGGAGGTACCTATATAATCGTGAAGTGGAGGCTGAAACTGCTTAATATCAACCAGCCTCTGACTTCTGCATGATACATTAACTGGTGCTTAATAAACACTAGAGATCCAGATAAAATATTCATGCTATGCCGGGGCTAGGCATTCTATGTAGCGGAGGAGGTTTATCGTGCAAAACATGCGGATGCCATTCCCGCATGGAAGAGGGGGACACATCTCAATCTAGGGTCTGTGAACCTAGGGATAAACGCTTACAAATCTAGAAATCTTGTAGACCCCTTACACTAGTAAAGGGCTGTCTCGACAAGCCACAAAATGGTGACTGTAAATCTCTTCAATGAAGCTAGGTGCGGACTCGCGGTAAGAAGCTACTACATGGACACTCATTGACATGCTGGGCTAAGAGATAATATCTCTCAACAAGCAGAATTAGTATCCCTACAGCTAAAGGTTTCTAGGTAAGGAAGCTTTTACTATTCGATCTATCTATACAAGTATATCTAATAGTACGTAAGGGCTATTGATCAAACGCCAAGATTCTACCCAGATGAGACATCTGGAACAGAAGATGCTCTTGGTATCTAGATAGGTGGTTATAGGCAGTTACTTTTTGTGGTTTGGGTTTATAGTTTCCATCCCTTTGAGGGTTAGTCGCTTCTATGGTTGTTAGACTATTGAAACAATTTTACTCGGTTTACGTGTAATATCAAAAACTCTTGTATGTGATTCTTTAATCTCACAAAGTAACCACCGAGATCAAAGCTCTACCACTTTTATAATTCTATATCATAAATGATTATTTTCTCTATGTCAAATACATACCTAACTGACAAATAAACAAATACATATCCCGCTACGTAAGATGATGCTTATATACAGTGACATACAATGTCGCGCTTATACAATGTCATACATAAGCCAGATGATTATATACAATAATATCCTTGCACTGCAAAGACTACAAATACGACGCGCCTCTAAGATTGAACTGCAAACTTCGGTGCGCTCGCCGCCAACAGGCTCTGGACGGCTTCAAGAGCACTCAGCTCAACACCCAAGTCCGACTGGCCGTCAAAACCACCAGTGTACCATTGCACACCACACGTAGCATTGCCGTAGCCGGTGCAGCTAGAAGCAGCACCCTGAGCAGTAGCCTCGAGCAATGCGTCAATATCTGATTTCAAGCTAGGAACCAATACTGTCGTCTTTCCGAGCCAACGTGCCAGGCTGGCCTTGAAGCTAGTCTGGTCGATATTACACGCCGAGTCCAGTTCGCATTTCTGCTCATACATCACGTCGGTAGCGTTGGATGTAGGGCTAAAGAATGTACTCTGAGCCGTGCGAACTAGGCCCTGCACTCTCGATTCCCACGCTGAACTGTTGGTGAAGGCGTACATGTGAGCGGCACCATGGATGTAAGAGGCTATGTTATAGCTCCATTCATCCTTGTTGATCGCAGTGCAATTCGCATCCTTATCATCTCCCGCGCCGTCGAAAACGTGGAAATCGGGACTGACAAAGCCAACACTCGTAGACCAATCCCAGACCTTGGTAGCCCAATCACCAAATGTTTGGTTTCCGGTATACCGCGCAAGTCGAGCGGCAGTCTGGAAGAAGCCAGCATTGGTCACGGAGTTTTTGTAATAGTAGCCGTTGGCTGTCTCGACGAACTGCCATTTGAGACCACCCCCACAAGTTGTGCTGTCTTTATTCCATCGCGCCACAAAATCCTCGAAAGCGTTTGTGCCGATCGCAAGCCAAGAGTTGGCGCAATCCTCGCTTGCTTCAGTCTTGGACTTCTCACATGGTAGAGCTTGGAAGTTATACTCCAGCGCCGTAAGAGCGTTGTACACCCAGTAGACCTGATCGTCGTTCGCCTCCACGATCATGTTCGGTCGAACGAAGTCGTAATTCGGGCCCAGGTTCTTTGCCAGCGCGGACAGGATATCGGCTTGGTAGGTTGTGTCACCCGTGTATACGGTGTAGTCCATCAAGCCGTTCCATGCCGAACCCGATAACCACCAAAACCACGGTTCCGGTTGTTTAAACTGACCTGTCGTCGAGCTAGGATCATGATATACGTAAAGACCCTTTGCGACCTGGGCCGCATTCTCTTTGATAGAGGCCTGGTCTTTTAGGTTGAGGCTCAGAGAAGACGCGACAGGGACGAGCGTTGCCGCCGCAACAATCTTGGATAATCTCGTCATCTTGGATACCGATAATTCCCTAGATAAATTTCACACGGGTGAGAATAAAGAAAGAATCAATAAGCCACGACTCGAAGAGTCGAACACGCGTGTCGTCCGTCCATGCTGAAATATGTACATAACTGTACCCCTTTTTGAAGCAACGTTGCCCACCTAAGCTACCAACGGGTTGCAGGAGTGGGAGTGAGCTGTCGATCATTTCAGCATACAGCAAGTCAGTATGTGAGAGCGGCCACCAAATGAGAAAAAGGAAGTTGGATTACAAAGGCCAGGCACACGCGAGTGGCTGAGCCAATGAATCGACTACGACCCCGACGATCCTTGGCGGCTTTAAGCTATTTACAGTTACTGCAATAAAAGACAACTGCTTTTCGGCGTTTTTTTAGTACATTGTCATCGGATCAACCATCACCTGCATATGTTTTCGGACTTGTTTAGGAACATGTGAAGTTTTATATTTATAACTTCAAGAGCCTACGCATTGAGCTTTCAGGGACCTTGAGTATGATATGGTACGCGTGGTCAACACAAATAATGAGAGTCGATCTTTTCTTTGTTTACTCAATCAGGCGGTGATAATTGACAACCACAAGGGTTTCTAGGCTGGTGCTTAATATTCTATACAACGAAGGGGTTTGGTTGCACAGCTTAGAGGTAAGTTGAGTTGAAAATTACTTGATGAAAAGAGTATACGTCAAGAGAGAGGTTCTCCTGAATTGAACCTGGGGAATATTAGAATAACCCCGGGAATCGGATATTGGATGACACGTGCGCCAAGGAAATTAAAGGAGCAATATTCTTAAGAACGACCCAAGAGATCTTATCCTCGATTTACACATATCACCTTGATAGATTATATACTTTCTAATATCCCCTAGTAGATATTGACCCCATGAAAGGCACTCCTATAGCGAGACTATGAGGAGGAGGTAAATGCTTCCTAGCAATATCAAACTACTATACCACGTTAAGCTAGATGATTTACTTTATCGGATGCAACGATCCGATCTCTCACGGAACCCGCCGAGGGTTCCGGACGTTGAAGGGATGGGGAAAACACGATGATAGCTTCATAGAGAAATACTTAAACAGGTAGTACCCAGACGTCTTATAATAGACGTATTGTTCGTAGCTATCTTCTAAATTACTACCCGTAGCTATAATGGCTATATCGGCCAACAAAGACCATCGTCGATGACAAATTCAACACCATTCAAGACTGACTTTAAGAACTAAATGGTGAACGGCATGCGGACTAGACTCTCGTCGCTGGGTGTTAGCTGACCCGACAGACTGGGCAATCAGCTCGCTTAGATTCGAGGCATATCGCTTCTGATGTCAAATTAACCATCATGGTATAAACCAAGGCTTTTTCTGGCTAAGCGACGATAGCTTCCCCACATTCCCCAGACTGCCAGCGAAGCTTAGCTATCTACCCCAAATGCCTAGAAGCCAACTGGAACAAGGATCCTAGTTAAATAAATTGGACTTGGAGATTCGGTCAAGTCTACGCCGAAGAGCTTACTTGACAGAATATAATAAATACCAATATGAAAGAAGCACGGCACAGCTTCAGGATGAGTTATCAGAGGCTTACGGACATCTTTGGAGTTGACCCAATATGGCATACCTCTTGCTGCTTTCTCTGCTGCCGACGTTGGCCTTCGCGGCAATCGATAGGTGAGCTGTCGCCATCACGTCTGAGGCAAACTAAGACTAACATAACCAAAGACATGCCGTAGTCTCTCGATTCAATGTTGTCCGCTCAAACCTTCCAGAGGTGATAACCAACCAGACGACTCCTCTCCAGGTCGGGAACGGAGATTTCGCCTTCAATGTGGACAACACAGGCATGCAGACATTCATACCCTTCAATACGCTGTCAAGCTGGGGTTGGCACAATGACTCCTTACCGACAAACGGGTACGTATAGAGTACCACTGGATTTCCGCATACATCAGACTAACCGGCTTCTTTCCAGCGAAAAACTCGGTGATTATCACGGCGTCGAAGTGTTGACACACGGAAGAAACATTTCGTATGATCTAGAAGATCCTGATCTACCAGAAGTGTCTAAGTGGCTCACTGCGAACCCCAATCGTATTAACCTAGGTCGCATCGGTCTCAAGTATAAGGGCAATACTCTCGCGCAGTCGCTGATTACAGAACCGCGACAAGAATTAGACGTATGGAATGGTGTTATTACGTCGACTTTTAAGGTCGATGGGAAATATGTGAAGGTGGTAACCCAGGGAGATTTCGAGTCCGATGCTGTCGTCTTCCAGATCGACTCAGAGCTCATTTCAACCGGGGACTTACAAGTCGAATTTGATTTTCCTTATCCTCCGAAGCACAATGTGTCAGGATCGTCAGACTTCGAAATATTCATGGGCTCCTATGATTTTCCCTTAAATCACACGACGTCCATTGTGACACCACCTAACGGACCTAGGGATGGCATTGCACACATATATCACGAGATGCAGGAGACGACTTATTATGTCAACCTCCGGTGGCTTTGCAGATCACCATTGTCATTGACGCAAAATGAGCTCCAGGGTTCTAGCGCGGTGACAGCGCATCGGTACACGCTTTCACCAGCGGCTTCTTCCCGCTATGATCATCCGCCGACTTCGATCTCATTCACTGCTCATTTCTCCCTCGACCTTGAATTGCCTGCTTCGCCGTCGGTCATTCGGAGGCGTAATCCCACCGCTTGGAATCAGTACTGGAATGAAGGAGGCTTCGTCGATCTTACCGAGTCGTCTAACCCCAACGCTACTGAGCTTCAACGGCGTATTATCATGACGCAGTACTACATGAGGGTAAACAGTGCAGCTACAGGCCAAATCCCCCAGGAGAGTGGTCTCGTATATAACGGGTGGTGGGGGAAATTCCACCTCGAGATGGTCGTTTGGCACTGTGCGCACTGGGTCACATGGGGCAGACAGCAGTACTTCGATAGGATATTCCCCGCGATGTACGAGACATTGATGCCTACGTCAAAAGTAAGGGCTCAGCGTATGGGTTGGGATGGTGTTCGATGGCCGAAGATGACGGAGCTCGGAACGGGAGGTATCGCTCCGGGAGAGACCCGAGCGTATCTGATGTGGCAGCAACCCCATCCCATGTACTTGGCAAATCTTGCCTATCAAGCTAAGCCGACGCGACGGACATTGGAAGAATGGGATCGTGTCATCACGGCGACTGCTGACTACATGGCGTCCTTCGCATGGTACAATGAAACTACCGGACACTACGATCTTGGACCGCCATCAAAGGGCGTAACTGAGAACTCTTTCCCGCTTGAGACCCGTAATCTAGCTTATGAAATTGCCTACGTGAGTACCTAGTGTTGGAGACTCGCCCCCCTCCCCCTCTTTAGTACGTGATCGCTGACTCCTGCTGTCAAGTGGCGCTGGGGTTTAGATGCGGCAGCAAACTGGAAAAGAAAGCTGGGTCAACCTGTTCCTAAGAAATGGAGCACCGTCGCGGATAACTTAGCTCCTCCACCACAGATCGACGGGATGTATATCCCCTGGGAGGGTCGGGGCTGAACAGCTCGTGGTGGGAAGACCCGAAGCTCAGCAAAGACCCGCGTAGCGTTATCATGCTTCAGGGCATCCTTCCGAATACACCGGCGGTTAGTGACATTCTAATAACATCTATTTCCCTCTCCCGGATCTCGTTCGGCGAATGGAGTTACTGATTCAGAATTACAGGTCGATCCAGAAGTTGGCCTCAAGACCTCCAATAAGATGTGGGAGGTCTGGACCGACGAGAATATCCGAGGATGGGGACGATCCGTCCTTGCCATCAATTCTGCACGAATAGGGAACCCTGAGCGTGCCATCTACCATATGACAAATTATGCGTATTGGCCGTTTGACGACGCAGGAATGCCTACTCGATCCGGTCCTAGTAAGTTTTATCCTCCATTTATCACAAATTCTAATATTCGATCGTATATGTCTAACTCCTATAATCTAGACCCGTCACCACCGCCTTATTTCCCAGGTGGCGGTAGTTTCCTCTACGCGATCGGATATATGGTAGCAGGTTGGGAGGGTTCTGAAGGCGACGCTCCAGGGTTTCCCAAGGATGGAACTTGGATTGTCAAGCATGAGGGTTTGCTCAAAGCTCTTTGAGTGTAACTCTGTAGCACTAGATTATAATCAGCTGTGCGCAAAGCGTCAGAGATTGACACTCCTGTAGTAGCGAGAACCCCGTAATTATTTGCCACTCATCCCAATAAGACAAACAGTGAGACCAGTCTTGGTAGCATTTCAGTAATTTAAATACGTTGATTGGGGTCTTGTTTGCGTCCTAGGCCGTACGTGTTGGTTACGACGCTGTATCCATCGAGTAATTGGCCGCATGACGTAGAAAGGAGGGAAAGGGGTATAATGGTGACATCACGATAGCGACATCAAGGTGTTTACTTTTCTCTTTCCCTAAGGCCCTCAACTTATATCAGATTTTACTACTCTTGATTAAACATTCACAACAGTGTTACTTTTTAATATCACTGATACACGAATCTCGTATTCCTACCAACGTAATAAGCAAAATGTCGAAGAAAGGCGGAGATCTCAACGATATGGCCAAGGATGGCACTAGCAGTAAGGTAACCCTCATATGTTATCTTGGATCGCCATATTTCTTCTATTTTGTCCCTTTGATTGCTCTAGTCGTGTAACTAATAAGGCGAACCAGTTCCCGGAGATGCCGGAAAACAGAACACGATCCCATCAGTACCCAACCCAAGCCAAAAATCACAAGATGCTTCCGGCGGAATCGGCGGAGCCTCACTACACAGCGCGGCTGATAACCCTATCGGTGTAAGCAAGAACGCGGACGACAATGCGGTTACAGCGAGCGGACACGCAGTGCCCCAATCGACGGCCGCCAAGCCCAGCGGTAGCGGCGGCAAGGAGCGGGAACCCGTGAGGTTTCAGTAGACCACGGTGTTACACGAGATGAAAACGGCATTCTGGATATATTTAATAAATATAAATGAAAAATTTAATTGCGCTCCGTGCGAGGTGTAGATATGATATTTTCATATACAAGGCACACCAGGTATCTCGATCTCGAGCGATACCGGCGTATTATAATGTGATTCCAAACAAAATGGTTCCCCAAACGCCCCAGCTATGCGAAGCGGATATAATAATAGTAAGAGACTCGGAGTGTCTGTCCCACTCTAGTCCCCCTTTTTGAAGAATGATCCCATATCTTTCAGTTAATTAAATTCCCTCCATAATTTCCCTTGATTTCACGACCGGCCTAGGAGGTTGAGAAGATTGTCTCGCGGGTCCCCGTTGACCTCGACCTGTAGAGCGGCCTTTCGCGCTTTCTCGACTTCGGGCGTGTTCTGCTGGGAGAAGATGCGGTCCATGGTGCCGGCTTCGCGGTGGAGCTGCGAGCGGACGTAGGAACCCACTGTGTAAGCTGTTTTATGCCAATGTTAGTAAATGAGAACGAATAAAAACAAGTTAAATGTTATGTTAAGTAGGTAGGGTGAGACGGACCAACTCCGAGTACTACGAGGCTTGGTAGTATTCTATGCGAGATGTTAGCGTATATCCATAGTGATTCTAGACCAGAGTCAGGGGTTATGTTGGGTATGTTGGGGTATCCTTACCTTGATGATACAGGGCCGAGCTTGGGTGCTGCGACTGGAGCAGCTCTGGCGGCTGCGTGCATATGCGGGCGGAGACCTTGCGGGTGTGCGATGGCCATGGTTTTGATTGGGTGGATAGGGGCTTTGTGGTGAATTGGTGTCCTTAGTAGCGAGTAATGAAGGTACATGCAGTACTTGTAACTTTCAAATGAAGTTGTGTGGATGTAATATAGGCTTGATTGTGTTGCAGGCTGTGATGAAACATGAAGCAAGACGACAGGCTTAACGGCGACATTATAAGCTTCTTGATTTCCTCTATAGTCATTTTCGTTTCTTCCGTCTTCTCGTCGTGTAAGTCTAAGAGGTATTAAACGTGGGGTGATTCTATGTGGTCGATCACGATATGATGGGGTGATGTGGTGTCGACGGTCCTCACCGAAGCGCTGACGCCTGGCCGAATTCAGTAACGCTCGATCCGCCCAACGTCCACGCCGCACGAAATGAACAGACCAAAGCGAAAATCGAGCTGAATAAAATCATCCTCATATCCCATCAGGGCAGTTATGACACCATCAGATTCGCTCCGCCGGTTCATTATCGCTACCAACCACACTTCCTCCGCGCTGTCATCGCCGAAGGCCTGTTTCATCTGTTCATCTGTTCATCTGAAGGCTTCGGCCGGGAACCGATAATGAGACGGACCGCGGATTGAGAGATTATCAGCTGGCTAAGTCATCCTTCTGCCCATTTTCATATTGCACGTGAATAAGGAGGTCATCTCCGAGTAGCCTTATTGTTAAAGATCTTGAACCAATCACATCGTAGATAAATGTAACCTTTGTAGAATGGGCAAACAAGCTATTGGGGAGGGAGACTTCAGTTTGCATAGGGTAATGATTCTTCCTGGTGGTCCTCCGTGGTGCCAGGCTATACTAGTGTCCCATGTTGGCGGTATTACCGGCGGCGTGGGTGCGGGTCAAGCCAAGTGTGGTCTCTTATTACACCCTTGAGTTATAGCATCATGACGATATCAGACGGAACCGGACGTCACTGCCAACACGCCTTTCATCTTATGTTTAAACACCTCAGAGGATGTCCTAGAAGTAAGACGAAGAATATCATACAAAGTGAAGATTTGAGAAATCCGAAACCATCTCTACTCCTCGTACAGTCTACACGCAATCACAAAGCAACCAATGACAGCTCGTTTGCCTGCTGCACATTCCCGTATTGAAACCTCGCAATAACCAACATTCGAGTAGATTAAACTGTATATTGGTATTAGGAAATCTCACTACAAAGTATTGAAAAAAAAAAAAAAAAAGAGTGATATGCACTGAGTGGAATCCTCCTCCCTCCATTTCTCCTCTCTTCAAACTCATTATCATATATCAGTCATGATTCACCAATAGTTAACATACACTTAAGCCAGCAATTTCTTAACCCTCAACCACCATACCCCTATTCGAAGGTGACATATCTCATCCCTTTGAGAGAAACATCTAAGCGTATAGTTCCGGATATTCGGCCTTGATCATATCGGCGCCCTACAATCATTCAATTAGCTACAAACTCAAAGAAGAGGTTCGCTCGGTAATACATACCTTCTCGGCAATCGCATAGACCGAGTTCTGGATACGACAATCTGGGATCACCGGGATGACAGACGCATCGATGACTCTTAGGTTTTCAACACCAAACACCTTGAGTTTACCATCGACGACACCCTCCGCGATGCTAGGCGCCATGCGTGTGCTTCCGCAGGGGTGGAAGCCCGTCTGCGAGCGCTCGAGGATCATCTTGTCCATCGCCGCGTCCGAGGTCCGCGGCATCGGCCACGGGTAGTCCTCGCGGATCATGTCGCGCATGCCCTCGCCGTTCATCAACACGTCGTCTACCCAGCGGATGCCTTCGCGCATCGCCAAGATATCCAAGTCTTCGGCGAAGAAGTTCAGGTTGATCTTGGGTTGCACCAGCGGGTCTGCGCTGTTGAGCTCCACTGTGCCTGATCGGCTCTGGGGACGCAGCAGGTCCACGATGACTGTCATGTAGTCTCCTTTAGGGGGGTCGGGATGTGCCACTGGAAGGCATCGCTGAACATGGGAACAAAGTCGATTTCGAAATGTGGTTGACCCGCGGGACCAAAGGGATCGAGGCCTCCGTTGGCTTCTTTGGCGGCTACGTACTCGGGGTATTTCATCAGGCGCTCGTCGATACGTGGGAGTCCGACTAGTTCGAGTAGACCGGAAGTGTAGGGACCTTGGTTCCTCCATCGGTAAGAACTGACAGCTGCATCGTGCTCGAGACCGGCTCTAAGGAGGTGCTGGTCAAATCCGTTGCCATCTTCAATACGGAAGACGTGTGGGAGAATAGGATGGTCTAGTAGGTTCTGGCCGACATGTGGTGAATCGACGATTGTCTCGATGTTGAACTTAGCCAGCTCAGCCTTCGGGCCAATTCCGCTAAGCATAAGCAACTTCGGGCTCTCAAACACACCAGATGAGACGATAGTTTCGTACTTGGACTTGAAGCTGTGCGTCTCACCTGAGGGTAGAATTACCTCGACGCCGACACATTTCTTCGTGGCGTCGTCGATGAGTAGGCGTTTGGAATTAGTGCTAGAAAGTACAGTGACATTCGTCTTACCCTCAAGGTAAAGCCAACTCGAGGAACGCTTTCCATTGTATATGCTATTAGTGCATTTCCATAGGCCGCGCATGGTACCGTTGTGGACGTCGTCTGTCAACTCTCCGCCTTTACTAGTCCATGCCTGAGTCAGGGCATCTCGGAAGCCCTTTATCTCAGGAACCAGATCTGAATGAGACACGGGAATTGGTCCATTAGTACCGATGTACTTCAGCTCCTCACTGAACAGGGTCCTGTCGTCATGGTAGGTCGCCGGCTTATAAAGGTACTTCCGGATATTGTCCCACTTCCACTCATCTCCTCCGTAAGGAGCCCAGTCGTCGAAGGTTCCGGCCGAGCCGGGGATCCAAGTGTAATAGTTGAGACAGCTAGAACCGCCAAGGGTCTTTCCGCGTGTGTTGGGCTTCTCGACACGTGTGTAGTCGGGACGATCAATCATGGTTGTCTTATAAGCCCAGTCATACTTGCTATCGCGCAGCTCGAAAGCCCGAGCCGGCGTCGTAATAGCGTCGATATCTTTCGGGTTGCTAATACCAGCCTCGATGACTAGGACGCGGACGTTGGGAGATTCAGCTAGACGGCCGGCGACGGCGCAACCAGCAGTGCCTCCTATAGATGGTGTCAGTTGAGGATTCATGCCCCTTTTCATTATGTTAAACTCACCTCCGACGACGATGAAGTCGAATTGCTCGATGGACTGGACTTGATTGCTCATGTTGTAGGTGTTACTGATACTGATACTCGGTTTAGGTTCTGATATCCAGGGCGGTTGTTCAAGTTTTTATCTTAAGACTTTTTGAATAACTGCTGAAAGCTGATGGAAAGGCTATGATGCTCTTCTTGGTATCTTTGCTTAGTTGACTGATAATGCTGGTGAGGACAAATCTCTTCCATGATGGTTTCCATCTCACCCTCTTTATAGCCCGAAGACGATGCGGGACTTTCACCCTTCTCTATACCGACGTAGTATACTTCCTAGTACAATTCTATGCATGAATGGTTATGTACAATGAGTAAGCATCGATTGATGGATGTCTAGTATAGGGTTCCCGAAGCGCCAAAATTTGCTGTGTTACTTAGAACCGGTATACTACCGGATTGCTGACGCCAACGCCTATCTACGAAGACGAGGAGGAAACCGATCGGGTTCCTGATATGATTTCCTAATTTGGTAGTATACTGGAAGGGTTCTGCAAATGCGAGCCGCGCCGAGATGGGAGTTGGGATGTAATACCGGAGATGATCGGAATCTCGTCTAGTATCGCATTTTACTTATTCAATATGTGCAGCTTTCTTCCCTTGTTGCACGATAGACTTCAAAAAGAAACAATCCGAGCGAGTTAACCCCGTAGACCAAGATGCCGAGCTAAGTGCGGCATCTTTGGTTGCGGTCTTACAGTGCGGCTCGGTGAAAACCCGGAGATCTAGATATATTCAGAAACTTGACGTCGAGAAATTATCACAAGAGAAAATTTTATCCAAAACCTGTAAGAGCGTAAATCAAGAATCTGTAAATCAAGAAATTTATGATACTTTATGTTTGCGCCGTTCAAATGCAGTTTTGTGATGTGTTCTCTAGGCCTATGAATTCTCAAGTTAAACTGTTGACTCAGGTAAGACTACGGAGGTGCAGAGGGAACACATTAAAAAAACCCAAAATAATTATACCCACCCCCACATATAACCATAGGGGGGGAAAAGGATAAGCAAAGAAGATAAAAGAAAAGAAAGGAAGAAAAAGAAAGAGAAGAGAAGAAAGGGGAGAGAGAACGGGAAAGGAGGGAGAGAAAGGGGGAAAAAAGAGAAAAGGGGAGGGAGAGAGGGAGGGAGGGGAGGGAGGGGGAAAAAGAAAAGGGAGGAGGGAGAAAAGGAAGAAAGCAGGGGAAGAAAGGAAAAGAAGACAAGAAGAGAAAGGGGGGAAGGGAGACGGGAGGAGGAGAAAGAAAGAAAAAGAGGACAGAGAAGAGAAAAAAAGAGGAGAGAGAAGAAAGAAAGGAGGAGGAAGAAGAGGGAAGAGAGAGGGAAGGGGAAAGGAAAAGAGAGAAAAAGAGAGAGAAAAGAAAGAAAGGGAGCGGAGGGAAAGCAGAGAACCAACGGGGGGAGAGGAAGAAGGGGGGGGGGGGACAGAAGGAGAGAAGAGGAGAAAGGGAGGAGAGACAGGAAGGAAAAGGACAAGGGGAAAAGAGGGGAAAGAGAAGAAAAGGAAGGGGGGGAGAAGGGGGGCGGGGGGAGGGAGAGGAAAGGAAAGGAAGAAGGGGGGAGAAAAGAAGAAGAGACGGGGAAAAGAAAAAGGGAACAGGAAAGGAGAAGAGGAGAAAGGAAAGAAGGAGGAAGAGGAAGAGGAAGAAGCAAAAAGAAGAAAGAAAAAAAAAGGGGGAAAGGAAGAAGGGAAAGGGAGGAGGAAAGGAGGGAAAAAGAGAAGAAGGAAGGAAGAGAGAGAGGGGAAAAGAGAAAGGAGGAGGGGAGGGAAGAAGGGGGGGGGGAAAAGAGAGAGGGAGGGAGGGAAAGGAAGGAAAAAAAGAAGGAAGAGGAGGAGGGGAAAGGGAGGGAAGGGAAGGGGAGAAGCGGAGGAGAAGAGAAGGAAGAGGAAGAAAGAGGGGAAAGAGGGGAGGAAGAGGAAAGGGGAGGAGGAGAGGAAGGAAAGGAGGGGAGGGAGAAAGGGAGGAAAGAGGAGGAAGGGGGGAGGAGGGAGAAAAGGAGGAAAAGAAGAGAAGAGGAAGGAGGAAGGAAGGGGCGGGGAGGAGACGAAAGGGAAGAAAAGAGGGAGAGAAGAAAAAGAAAGGAAGAGAGAGAAGGAGAAAGAGGAGAAAAAAGGAAAGGGAGGAAAGAGGAAGAGGAGGAGGAGGGCAAGGAGGAGAAGGAGAGGAGAGGAGAGAGGAGGAGGGAAAGGGGAGGGAGGAAAAGAGGGGAAAGAAGGGAGGGAGAGGGGAGAAAAGGGGAAGAAAGGAAAGGAGGAAGGAGAAGAAAGAAGGGAGGAAGGAGAAGGGGAGGAAGAAGAAAAAGGGGAGAAGGGAGGGAAAAAGGAAAAGGCGGAGGAGGGAGAAAGAAGGGAGGAAGAAAGAAAAAAGCGGGAGGAGAAGAAAAGGGAAGGGAAGAGAGGAAAAACCGGAGAAGAAAGGAGGGAAGGAGGAGGAAAAGGAGGGAGGAAAGGGAGGAAGGGGAAGGGGAGGAAAGGGGGAAGAGGAAAGAAGGGGAGAGAGAGGAAAGAGGAGGGGAAAGGAAGAAAGGAAAAGGAGAGAAACGGGAGAAAGGGAGGAGAGAGAGGAGGAAAGAAGAGGAGGGGGGGGAAGGGAAAGGAAGAGGAGGGGGGGAGGGGAGGCGGGGGAAGAGAAAGAAAGAGGAGGAGGAGGAGGAAGGAAAAGAAGAGAGAGGAAAGAGGAAGAAAGAGGGGGAGGAAAAGAGAAGGGAAACGGGAGGGGAAAGGGGAGGGGCGGGAGGGGAGGGGCGGGAAAGGGAGGAAAGAGGGGAGGGAAGACCGGAAAGAGAGGAGGAAGGGAGAGGGGAAGGAAACGAAAGGAGGGAAAGAAGGGGAAGAGGAAAAAAGAGAAAGGAGAGAGGAAGAGAAGAGAGAAGGGGGGGGAAGAAGAGGGAAAAGAAAGGAGGGAGGAAGAGAGAGGAAGGGGAAGGAGGGGAGAGAAGAAGGGGAGAAGAAGCAGGAGAAGAGGGGGAAGAAAGGAAGGGGGAAAGGGAGGAAAGAAGGGAAGAAGAAGGAGAGAAGGGAAAGGAAGAGGAAGGAAAGAGAGAGGGAGAGAAGAGGAGAAAAGGAGAGAACGAGGCGAGGGAGGGGGGAGGAGAAGAAGAGAAAGAGAAGAAGAAGGGAGGAAGGAAAAGAGGAAAGGAAGAGGAAGAAGAGAAAGAGGGGGCGGGGGGGGAGGAGGAGAAGGGGAAAGAAGAAAGGAGAAGGGGGGAGAGAAGGGAGGAAGAGGGGGGCGGGGAAGGGGAGAAAGAAGGGAGAAGGGAAAAAGGAAAGAGGGGGAGAGGGGGGGGGAGGAGAGGGCGGAAAGAAAAAGAGGGGGGAGGGAAGAAAGGGGGAGGGGGGAGAGAGGGAAGGGCGGAAAGAAGGAGGGGAAAAGAAGAAGGGGGGGGGGGAAGAGAAGGAGAAGAAGAAGGGGAGAGGGGAGGGCGGGAAAAAAGAGAGAAAGGGGAGGAGAAAAAGGGAGGGAGGAAAAAGGAGGGGAGGGGGAAAAAAGGAGGGGGAGAAGGAGGGAAGGAGAAAGAGAGGAAGCGGAAGAAGAAAGGGAGGAGGAGGAGGAGAGGGAGGAAGGGAAGCGGGAGGGAGAAAAGGGAAAAGAGAAAGAAAGGGAGGGGAAAAAGAAAAGGGGAGAAGGAGAAGGGGAAAGGGAAGGAAGGGGCGAGGGAGGGGAAGAAGAGAGAGGGGAGGAGGGGAAAGAAGGAAGGGAGAAAAGGGAAGGGAAGGAGGAGGGGGAGAAGAAAGGGAGAGGGGAAAGGAAAAAGAGAAAGGGAAGAGAGGGAAGAGAGGGAAGGGAGGGGGAGAGCGAAGAGAGGAGGAAGGGACGAGGGAAGGGGAAAGGGAGAAAGGGGAGGGAGGAGGGGGGGAAGGAGGAGAAGGGAAGGAAGGAGGAAAAGAAAAGAGAAGAAAGGAGGGAGGAAGGGGAAAGAGAGGGGAAAGAGGAAGAAGAGGAAGAGGAAACCAGGGAAGGGGAGGAGAGGAGGAAGAAGGGGGAGAAGGAGGGAGAAAAGAGAAGAAAGAGGAAGGGAAAGGGGGAAAAAGCGGGGAAGAGGAGGGGAGAGAGGGGAGAAGAAGGGAGAAGAACGGGGAAGGGGGGGAAGGAAAGGAGAGAGGGGAAGAAAGAGGGGGGGAAGAAGGAGAAGAAGAGGGGGAGAGGGAAAAGAAAAGGAGGAAGGAGAAAAGGGAGAGGGAGAGGAAAAAGGAAAGGAGGAAAGAAGGGAAAAGAAAGAGGGAGGGAGAGGAGGGGGAAGAGAGGGGAAAGAGAGGGGAGGAGGAGAGGGGAAAAAAGGGGAGGAGGGAAAAGAAGAGAAGGGGAGGAAGAAGAGAGAAAAGGAAGGGAGGGGGAAGAGAGAGGAGAGGAAGAGAAAAGAGGAGAAGAAAAGGAAGAGGAGGGGGAGAAGAAAAGGGAAAGGGGGGAAGAGAGGAGAGAGAGGGAAGGGAAGAAGAAGAGGAGGAAGGCGGGGAAAAAAGAGGGAAGGGAAGGGAGGAGAGGGAAGGGGGGAAAAAACGGAGAAAAGAAAGGGAGAAGGAAAGAAGGAAAACGGGAGAGAGGGAGGAGACGGGGGGGGAAGGAAAGAAGAAGAGAGGAGGAGGGAGGGGGGAGGAGGAAAGAAAAAAGGAGAAAGAGCGGGAGGGGGAAAGAAGAAAAGAAGAGGGAGGGGGAGAGAGAAAAGAGGGGGGAGAGGAGGGAAAAAGAGGGGAAAGAAGGGAGAGGAGAAAAAGAGAAGAAAATAGAGAGGAAAAAAGAGAAGGGAAAAGGAGAGAAGGGGAAAGAAAAGAAAGAGAAGAAGAAGAGGAAGAGGGGGGGAGGAAGAGGAGGAGGAAAGGAGAAGAGAAGGGGGGAGGAGAAAGAGAGGGAAGGGAAGAGAAAAAGAGGAGAGAGGAGAAGACCGGAGGGAGAGGGGAGGGGGGAAGAAGAGGGGAAGGAGAGGGAGAGGAAAGAAAAGAGGGGAAAAAGAGAGAGAGAGAAGGAAGGGGGAAAAAAAAAAGAAAAAAGAAAGGGAAGAGGAGAGGAAGAAAGGAGGGAAGAGGGGGCCAAAAAGAGGAGGCGAAGAAAGAGAGAAAAAAGGAGGGAAGGGAGAAAAAGGGGAAGAAGGGAAAAAGGAAGGGGAGTAGAAGGGAGAAAAGAGGAAGAAAAAGAAGGAAAGGAAAGGAGGGGAGGAGGGAGGAGAGAGAGGAGAGAGAGGAGAAAGGAAAGGAGACGAGGGGAGGAGGAGGGGGAGGGGGAGAAGGAAAGGAGGGGGGGAGAAGGAAGAAAAAACGGGAGAAAGGGGGGGGAAGAGCGGCCAGGGGAGAGGGGAGACAGAGGAAGAGGAGGAAGGACAGGGAGGACGGGAGGGAGAGAGAGAAGGGAAGAAAGGAAGAAGGGAAGGGAGGAGAAAGAAAAGAGGGGGGCGGGGGAGAGGGAAGAGACGGGGAAGGAGGAAAACGGGAGGGGAGGGCGAGGAGGGAAGAAGAGGGGAAGGAGGGGAAGAAAAGGAAGGAAGAGAAGAGGAGGGGGGGGAGGGGAAAGGGAGGAAAAAGGGGGGAAGGAGAGGAGGGAGGAGGAGAGAAAAAGCGAGAGAAAGAGGGGGAAAGAGAGGGAAGGAGGAAAAAAAAAGAAAGAAAAAGAGGAAAGAGGGGGAGAGAAGAGAAGAGAAACCGGGGGGAAAAGAAACGGCGGGAAGAGAAGGAAGGAAGAAAGGGGGAGAAAGAGAGGAGAGGGAGAGAAGAAGAGGGGAAAAGAGGGAAAGAAGAGGGGGGAGAAGGAGGGGAGAGAAGAGGGGAAGGAGGAGAGGGGGGGAGGGAAAGAGAGAGAGGGAAAGGGGGGGAGGGAGAAAAAAAAACCGGGGAGGGGAGGAAGGAGGAGAGGAAAAGGAAAAGCGGGGGAGAGAAAAGAGGGAGAAAAAAAGGGGAAGAGGAGAAAGAGGAAGAGAGAAAGGGAAGCCGAGGGGAAAGGGAGAAGAAGAAAAGAAAAAAAGGGAAAGGGAGGGAGGGAAGAGGGGAGAGGGGGGAGGGGGAAAGGGAAAAGGAGGAGGAGGAGAGAAGGGAAGGAAGAGAAGAAAAAAGGAAAAGGAGAGAGGAGGGAGGGAGGGGGAGGGAGAAGAAAGAAGGGGCGAAGAAAGGGGGAGAGGAGGGGCAAAAAACCGGGGAGAGGGGGGAGAAAGGAAGGGGAGGAGAGAAAAGGAGGGAGGAGGAGGAAAAAGAGGGAAAGGAGGGAGAAGGAAAAAAGGAGGAGGGGGAGGAAAAGAGGGAAAGGGAGGAAAAGAGGGAAAAAAGGAAGGAAAAAGGGAGAAAGGAGAGGAAAGGAAAGGAGAGAAAGAGGGAGAGAAAAGGGGAGAGAAGGAGAAGGGAAAGAGGGAGAAGGGAAAGGAGGAAAAAGAAGGAGGGGAAGAAGAGGACCAGGAGGAAAGGGAAGGGAAGGAGAAGAGGCGGGAGGAGAAGGGGGAAGAAAGAGAGAGAGAGGAAAGGAAGGAGAAAGGGAAGGGAAAAAAAGAAAGGGGAAGAAAGGAAAGAGGGGGGGGGAAAAGAGAGGAAAAAGAAGGGGACGGGAAGAAGAGGGAGGAAGAGGGAAGAAGGAGGAAGGAGGGGGGGGACGGAAACGGGGGAAAAGAGAAGAGAGGGGGAAGGGGAAGAGAAAAGAAAGGGGGGAGGGAGGAAAAGAAAGGGGAAGGGAAGAGGAAAAGGAAGGGAAAAAGAGGAGGAAAAGGGGAGGAAGGAGAGGGGGAGGAGAAGGGGAGAGAGGGGGGGGAGAGAGAGGGGAAGGGAAACGAGGAAAAGGGGGAGAGAGGAGGAAGGAGAAAGGGGACGGGAAAGGCGGGAGGAGGAAGAGAGGGGGAGGAAGGAGGGGAGAGGGAGGGAAGGAGAGGAAAGAGAGAAGAGGAGAAGGAAAAGGAAGAAGAAGAGGAAGGAGGAGAAGAAAAAAGAGAAAGAAAAAAAAGAAGAAAAGAAAGAAGAGGAGGAGAGAGGGGGAGAAGGGGGAAAGAAGAGGAAGAAAGAAAAGGGGGAAAACAAAAGGAAAAAGGGGGAAAGAAAAGAGAAAAGGGAGGAAGAAAAGAAAAGGAGAAGAGAAGGGAGAAGAGGAGGAGGCGGGGGGAAGAAGGGAGAGAGGAGAAAGAAAAAGAGAGAAGAAACAGAGAAAGGAAGGAAGAAGAAAGGGGGGGAAAAGGAGGGAGGGAAGAAAGAAAAGGGGAAGAGACGGAGGGAGAGAGAAGAAAGAGAAAGGGAAAAGGGAAAAGGGAAGAGGGAAAGGAGGGGGGGGAGGGAAAAAGCGGAAAGGAAGAGAAGGGGGGGGAAAAGGAGAGAGAAAAGGAGAAAAAGCGGAAGGGGAAAAGGAGAGAGAAAAAGAGAAAAGCGGAAAAGGAGGGACGGGGGGGGAGGAAAAGGGAACAGAGAAAGGAGGGGGGCCGGGGGAAAGAGGGAAGGAAGGGGAAACGAAGGGAGGAGGAAGGAGGAAGGAAGAGGAAAGAAAGAAAAAGAGGAGAAGAAGAGAAAAAAAGGAGAGAGAGAAGAAAGAAAAGGGGAGGAAGAAGAGGGAGAGGAGAGGGGAAGCGGAAAGGAAAAGACGGAAAAAAGAGAGAAAAGAAAAAGGGGAGGGGACCGAAGGCAGAGAACCAACGGGGGACAGGAAGGAGGACGGAAGAGGAGGAAGGAGGGGGGAGGGGGGGAGAAAAAAGGGGGAAGGGAGGGAAGAGAAAGAAGAAAGAGGAGGGGAAAGGAAAGAGAAAAGGAAGAAAGGAGGGGAAGGGAGGAAAAGCAGGGGAGGAGGGAGGGAGGGGAGGGAGGGAGGGAGGGGAGGGAGGGAGGGAGGGGAGGGAGGGGAGGAGGAGGAGGGGAGGGAGGGAGGGAATATTTATTTATAATAAAATTTATAAAAAAGTTTTTTTATCATTAAATTTTATGCAATTAAAAACTTATTATTTAATACATATCATGGCTATAAACTTACCCTATTCATTTAAAGGCTTATATATAATAAACAATATAATTTTAATCGGTTTTATTTTGATTTACCCCCTTTACCCTTGGGGTCAGTCCAATAATTTTAGCGTTTTTTTAATGTGTTCCCTCTGCACCTCCGTATAAGACGAATCTGTACAATCATTCTTTACTTAGAGTATTCTCGAGAATTAGTCAAGAAATCACATTTTTAGACTGAAATACGGGAGTCCTATCAAAATTTCAAATTTACTATTGTCAGAAATATGAAAATGGAAAATACAGGTAGTCGAGAATATAAAGCTTTAATTCTTTTAAGGCAAGCCTTGGTGGAAATCTCTTTATTTTAGGTATCACCACTTTCTTGCACCTAACACTTCAAGATACGTACGGCTTCTATTCTAATAGTGTCTACCTACTATTAATATAATTTACAACTTGGATCGCCATACTACCACCAACGTACAGTTATCCCACGGACTTGAAATTCCATACCATATTATCAAAGTTATTCGCAGTCTTCCTATCCTTTTTTTCTTTTCGTAATTCTAAGCCATTTGAATTGTCACTACAGATCAGAATCGGAGTTTTTACGGCATATTACAAGCACCCTCTTCAGATATCATGCCGAGCATTCTTGCTCATGTGGCGAATCTTTTCACCATACTACCTAATGATCAGCTTGTTAATTTAGGAAAAGATTGCTGAATTAAACTTACCCGATAGAAGATGAAAGGAATAGGAATGAAGCAGATAGCAATACCGCCAAGGAGTGAATTACCGGGGCCAATACCGAGTTGGCGAAAGAGCTCTCGAGCCTAGGCGCATATACGTGTCAGACTTGGAGCAAGAGTTAACTCCGGTGTAAAACTTACAAAAAGAGGGAATGAAGCTCCAAACGAGGCTCGGAATAGTGCGTTCCCTGCGAATATCGACGCGACGTACGCAGGGTATGATATCCCTAGGTAGTTGAATACCGTATTGAATAGCGTGACCACACCGACGGTGAACAAGCTAGAACCTATAATAGGCAAGATCCAGTGTACGCTTTCCCGCGCCGTCCACCCATACCAGAAGAGGCAGACCGGAAGGGAAATGGCACCGACGAATGTTGGCGGGAGTACCATTTCCGGCTTAAAAGACGGCTTGTTGAATCTCGGAATTACGCCGTGTTTAATCCATAGCAAGAATGGAGGCACGGTGACAAGAGCGCCGATGAAGATCCCAAGGAAAGCCAACCCTTGCGCCCCAGCGCTAAACCCATAAATATCTCCAAACACGAGAGGGAACGACTCGAACCACAGGAATAAAATCCCGTAGAGAAGCGCCGAGTATAAATCCATGAAGAAAACAATAGGCTCAGAGAAAGTCAGCGTGAAAGCCCTACCTAAAACAATCAGATGGTCTTTTAGCTTGTGACGAGCAGCATCGATCTCAGACTGGCTCCTGAGTCGAGAATCACCCGTTATGCTTCTCAGCCTCTTCGCCCTCCTATACAAGATATTCGCAGCGCTAGTCTCAGGAAGCAAGAAGAACAGCAGGATCACCACCAACGCGCACAACCACGTGAATATCCAAATCGTCCACCGCCAGCCCTCCGCCGGCGCCGCAAACCCCCCGATTACCGGGCCGAATACAGGACCGAGGACGCCGAACGAGGATAATATGCAAATGCCGTATCCGGCGCTGCCTGGATCGTACATATCTATGATAGTGGCTCCGCCGGTTGCTAGAGGCGGACTGCCGACAAAACCGGTCAGGACGCGGAAGACGAGGAACATGGGCATGTTGACGGCAAAGCCTGTAGGGAGCTGGAGCAAGATGAAGGTGAGGAATGTCCAGAAATAAAGGGGGCTGCGGCCGAGTTGGGGGATTTCGGACATGGGAGACCAGAGCATGGGACCTAGCCCGTAACCACTAGTAATAGGTAATAGTATAAGTTAGTGCTGTTCTCTTGAGGGTTGAGGTTGAGATGGGGGTATTGGCAGTTCTCACAGCGTGAATAGGGAGAGTCCTAGCGTAGCCACGATTTCGTTGACGCCGAAGTCTTCCATGATGCTGGGTATACCGGGGACGTATATCGAGCTTGCAATGTAGAATGAGAAGTTGAGTATACACATGAGGAAAGCGACCAGTAACTTCCACTTGCTGGACCAGTTTTGAGGGTTCTGGATCGAGTATTAGCTTAAACACTTATATTCTTTTCTCGAGAGTTGAAGCTAATAGGGGCAAATACCTCTGGGTCATCAGGTCCATACCAGTCTATCAAATTGAATTCCTGATCGTTTTCACCGACATGAGGTGTGTTAGGACTCTGCTTGTCAACACCATGTGTCTCGTTAGCTTGCTCTGCCGGTAGTATGGGTGCTGGATCTGTATCGCCTTGTAAAGGTCTTTTCCATAGGGAAGGGTCAATTTCATCAGGGTATCGGAAGACTTTATTTCTAGATAGAAAGCGTACGAGGTGACCGAACTGCGTATCGCGGATCTGGGTGGCCATGCTGTTTCGTAAGAACGTGAAAACAAATTTGTAGTGTTTAGTTCTATCACCTTAGAGAATAAGTTCATGGAAGTCCTAGATAGATATTTATTGACCGTAGTTGTTTAGCTAATATATTTTAGGTACATCTATAATAGCCTCAGGGAGAAGACTCGTTCTTCATCTATTACCACCAATCTCATCTATGCTAGATATCCAATTACTCACTTAGTTCTCATGTACCCAGAGTATTTTCAGATACAAAAATTCAAGATATTAACCGCCACTGTGTACCTAGTGGGTAGACGTTCTGGCGGCTGGGACTGATAGAATGCAAGATCCGGAATTTGCATGGAGCTAGAGAGGTTATCCCCGAGGCACTCTCCTTTAATTCCAAAATCTGATAGACGGGATCAAAGCATCTGATAAACACAGCACCCCGACTTAGAAGACGTTAAATCCTAGCACCGAGATAGTCGGCAGTCAGCCGCATGCTGCTGACATGATGGCTTGCGATGCCTAGGAGGGTAAAGGGATTTTCATGTCCCGTCTTGGCATAGATCAGGTTGGTTAGGTAGTCTTTCAATGTGTTATATGATAATACTTTAACTTAAGTCATTGATAAGCTGCCGCTAGAGCCCCTTCACTCGAAATTTTATATTTCCGATCTGTGATGGGCGGTACTTGACTGACTTAGATATATAGGTACCTAGGTTTTGTAACGCTTTGTCCTTATTAAGAAATCTGGAGACCGGATGGTACATATCAGGTCTAAGACGTCCATCTATGGGTGATATCGTAATTTCTTAAAGGCGAGTATCGGAAGTCTAAGCCGATTATAACCGTAAATGACGTCTTCTTGTTGCTTCTCTTGATTGTCGGTTTATTGTTCTCATGCTTGGTTGACTTGGTTAAAAGGTAATTCGGTGTGATTGACTCAAGTCCCTAAACTTCCTCAAGAAATTCTAAAAGCTAACTAATTGCATCAGTTATAAGGTAGGCAAACTGCATAGAACTATATCGTTTCGTGGTTTACCGACTGAGACTTGATTTTAGCTTAAAGATTTACTTCTTTGTATTGTCTTGGTCTTCATATTAGCAGCTTACCCCTGGCACGTAAAGCTTGTCTGAACAACCCTGGTTATGGAGCCATATAAATCCACATATAAATCCACATATATGAAGACCATATCTTTAATTAGTAATCTATTTACTTAAGGTCTATAGAAAAGACGATATCGTTGCGCCTCGTTTTAAATACCCACGCCTATAAGCACAAATAATCATGTGGGACTTGGAGAATTCTATGATGATAAAATTAGCATCAGCTCGCATCGTAGGACTCGGCTGGGGAAGCGAAAGAATGCATAGATGTACCGTTATGGATTGCGGCTGTGTCGTTAGGGTTGAAGACGTGGCAGGGTTTATAAAATTACACAGTAGCATAGCAACTTGGCAACAGGCAACATCATCCTCTGCTTCTACCGAACTTTCAGCTATCTGTCTAAGATGTTATCGATTACGACGTTGCCCAATCGCTGTGTGTGGTGTGTGGTCGGCTCGTAGCCCTCGTCCACAGTAAGGATCGACAAGGAAACGTCGCAGCTGGATAAAGCAAGCTTAGCTAGAGCGCCGCGCCTCACAGTCGTGTCTTAAGCTACTCTAGTTTGCTTATTCCAAGCCTCTCTGTAAGACGTAATTACCTAATAATTAACGTCGCTCGTGTAAGACGGGAGAGGTATACATATACAATCGAGCCTGCCCTTCTTGCATGAGGTCTCTTGCTTTACACTTGTACCGACTATTCAAGACGAAAAGACACCACCATGGGGCACTCACTTGTACTTACGCAGGCGTTCCTCGCGTTTGCGACCTTGAGCTCGGCAATCACTGTGACTGTTCCAGGAGCGCCTACGCTAAAACTGACCGGGTCGAAGTCGATTCCCAAGAGAAGTGTGAAATCCAATTCGACGGATAGCATCTCGTGGGGACCATGTCCAGATTCCTTCCCCCCCAACATCACATGTGCGACCTACACCGTACCGTTAGACTGGGAGCATCCGCAGGGTAACGAGACGATAGAGCTAGGAATGGTCCGCATTGAGGCTCGCGACAAAAGTAACCGGATCGGAAACCTTTTCATTAACCCGGGCGGTCCAGGAGGACAGGCCACCAGTCTTGTCGCGGCATTGTCCACGGTGTCAGGCGTTGTAGACCCGCAGATTCTCGACCGTTTCGACGTGATCGGTCTAGACCCTCGAGGAGTCGGCCTCAGTACTCCAGTGCAGTGTGACGCAGCTGCGTACAATAAACGCATTACTTGGCTCCCTAAGACGCAGGACGAGTACGACGCGCTCGTCGCGTATAACAAGAACCTAGGCGAGAGCTGTCGTGCCAAGACGGGCCGCTTGATCGATTTTGTCGACACTATTAGCGCTGTCCGGGACCACGAGGCCGTGCGCAAGGCCCTAGGCGGCGAGAAGGCTAATTTCCTAGGCCTATCGTACGGCACGCAGTTGTTCAGTCAGTATGCAGAACTATTCCCGGACGGTATCCGCGCCTTAGTACTGGACGGCAATCTTCAGCACTCTCAATCAGAGTCTAGCAACCTTATCATCGAAGGCTCCACGTACGAGGACACACTCAAGAATTTCTTCACTTGGTGCGCTAATGCGTCTGAGGACGTGTGCCCGCTAAGCGGACAAGATGTCCAGGCCAAGTTCGAAAGCATAATAGCCAAGGCTACCAAATCTCCCATCCCGGCTCCTGGCTGTGACGACAAGGTCTGCCGCTCCAACGTGACTGTCGAAGATATACGGTTCAATATCCAGCCATACCTGATCTCCCCGTCATCATGGCCTTCCCTAGGCCAAGCCATCGCCGATGCCGACGCCGGCAACGCAACGCTGATCTCGCAGCAGCAACCCCTCGTAACAGGCGACACATACGAAGACTCTTCATTACTCGCCGGCACAGCAATCGCCTGCCAAGACTGGGCACACGCCTCGACCTCTCTCAGCGACGTGCAGGCTAAAGTAACCCTTGGCGCGATCTTCAATCCCTTAACCGGGGGCGTATGCCAGAGCTACAAGATCCAGACCTCATGCATCGGATGGCCGGCTGCCTTGACGAACCCGCCGAAGCCCGTATCATACAAAGGCGACGTAAAAGTCCTGACGCTGCAGTCCACATTCGATCCCTCGACAAGCTATGTTTGGGGACTAGGTCTGCACGCGGAGATCGGGAGCGACCGCTCTGTGCTGCTTACGCGCAACGGCACTGGCCACACGAGTTACCTGTTAGGTGGCACGACAGCAGCCGCGGCTAACGCGTACCTTTTGAACTTGACGCTACCAGAGCCAGGCACGGTTTTGCAGTCGTGAGCAAGACTGGTATAGTAGGTGGTGGTGTATGAGTTATGTATATGGTATAAGACGAAACCGGGCTTTACGGAATTTCAAGAGTATATACATTAGAAGAATACTAATAGAATACATATTTATTCTTAATAAGTGATCCTCTTGTCGTTAAGATGTTGGGACTATAAATCGTCCTATGTATGAACTGAATGTAAGATGTGTTTTTGGATCAAAATGAAAGCGGTAAGGTAGAGCACTATGAGGTTTAGGTATTAATAAATGGCTGTTTAGAACTGCTACGCCCTAGATTTTATGCTACGCATGGCTTAACTACTAAGCTTACCTCATACTACTCACCGCGCTTAACATTTTCTAATACTTACCCAAACCCAAAGTGCATCATAGGCGCCTAGGTAGCCGGATATAACACCGGAGTGTAACTGACAAGATAGCTACGTTGTAAAATATCACCAACTTGATAAAAAGACGATTGCATTTTCCGTACACCAATGTGTCAGTCCTACCTAAGGCGTGAACGAGGCGTATTATAAAAAAAAATTTCAGGCGCGAGCCAAAGCCTTCATAAGCAGTAAGCCATAAACGTTTCCTGCGTCCGGATCGCCTTACAGACAATGCAATATTCCGCCACCTTACCACACAGTTCCTTTAGGCCCCTCGCCTCTAGTAGTCTTTTTATAATTACATAGGGAGGTTGGCCAACCTCTTTCAGATATATCCACGAAATTCCTAATTCCTAGTCATGAGGATAGCAGCCGATATCGTTGATCCTATCAACAAACTATTGGCTCGGTTGGAGCATCCCCTGACTCGACTCGATCTCATTAATAGCCTCGTTAAAAACCCGGGTGACCGAGTTGAGCACTTTCATGCGGTTATTCTCGCCTCTCGTCCTCCAGAGCTCTACCATCATCTCGCGGTAGATCTGCTGCAGCTGCTCGATGGTGCAACCTGATGTGCGCTCGGTGAGCCTCTCCAAGAAGTAATAGGCCTGAGAATCGTCTAGCTCGACCTGCTGCGAAGCTGATGACACGCCTGACTGGCGCTGCGATTGCGATTGCGACTGCGATGGTTCGTCGAGGGGAGGGTCATTTAATAAGTTTGCCATACTCGGAGCATGTGATGATTTTCCACCTGCAGGCGATGCTTGTGCGCGAGACCCGTGGAACGACCCGGGCTGGGGGATATATCCTCGCAAGAGGCCGTGAGCCTGAGAGTGAGGCCACTGGTCGTCGCTGGACGTAGCCTGGCTATTTCCGGGATACGGTTGGGTATCTGGAAGGTTGTCACCAGGGCTGGAGTGTTCGTGATGAATCCCATTAGTAGCCTGTGTGCTGAAGTTGGATGATCGGTTGGAAGGATCCGATGTCTTCGTGGTGGACGCGTCGTTAATTAATGCTGACGGGGATACGCCCGGAGGAAGAGACTGAACAGCTGAGATCTGGGAGAACTGGTTCGTGCCCCCTGTCGTCGCTTGTATGGACGTGTGCAAGGATTGAACAGACATACGGGGCCACTGAGAGGGTGGCTGCATGGGCATGTTTAGGCCACCAGGCGGCGGCTGACTATCAATATCAGTCATGGTAGCATCGTCGTCCAAGACTCGCGACGCTGCGGATGTTCCGTTCGTATTGTCATGATTTAGTGAGCTCCCTCCATTCGTGATAGCTTCCTCGCCGATAACTTGGAAATGGGCTGTTGTCGTATGGGACTTTTGCAACTCTACCGGTTGAGGGTCCTGCAAGAATTTCCCCCCGGTTTGGTTGGCAAGCGCTTCTCTCTTGCGGGCTCGCTGTATTCGCTTCAGCTCCCTCTTCCGGAATTGCTCTCTCTTCCACTCTGCATCCCAATTGATTTTCTGGAGTTTATCATTAATATCAGAGACGTCCACGCTCACGTTAGTAGCAAGTTCGTCAGCCTTGAGCCAAAGGGCCTTGTCACCGAGGTTCTTTGCGTCACGCTCAAAAGACTTTACGTCCTTCAAGAACACCCATGGGTTAACATAGTAACCGTGAGCGAGCCTCGTCTCGATTGTCACCGTGTCGAGATTATAGTAAAACTTGCCCGTCGCCGTCTCGAGGAGGCCCGGGGCTCCCTCCGCATCCTGAGAAAGTACATAGGGGCGCGGCGGGGCATCTGCCACGTCGGGTCTGACAAAATTCGGATTTGCCTCGTCGAAAAGGTATTGATACTGCGATAGGGGTATGATAGGAGACCGGAAGACCTTATATTTGCGCTTGATCTGGTCCATGATAGGTTGCAGATGGATCTTCAACAAGTTGAGAGCTTTTCTGTACAGCAGATTTTCGGCATCAATCTCTTCCTGAGTCATCTGCTTAGGCGGAGGCGGCGGGGCAACGGGAAGCACTTCCAGCACTCTCTTTTTTCGATTAGTCGGTTCGGGAAAGTCCTTAGGGAGTCTTCGAATATGCCCCAGGATCCTGTCGAAGTATTCACGTCGATTCTCCTATGTTTTGTTAGCTTCGCGCTATCCATTATACATATAGGTTAGACTCACCTTCACTGGGCGGGCAATCTCCACAAAGTTGGAATTAGACCATCCAAAGAGATCGCGTTTGAGATCGGGACTGATCTGATCCAGCTCCTTCTCTGCGGTACCTACGACCATGATGGAATCCGTAGGCTGTATCGTCCTGAGCATGGACATGAACGCGGTGAGCGCCGGTCCAGCTAATGTCTCATACCACATGTCAACATGCGGGATAAAGATGACGCTCGGTTTTTGGCGTCTGGCTTCGGCGAAAAGCCCGAACAAAACTTGCTCGGCAGGCTATATATACAAGTTAGCTGCCAGCCCGAAAGAAATTTTTTATTTAAAGATGCCTTGCGCTACTTACCAAGGGATCACCAAGTATATTTGCTATGTCGAAGTTTTGAACGTGGACACCTTCGAGGTAGTGGAGGATAGCAGCACTGATATAAACCTGGCCCATTCCCTGCGAGCCGCAGATTAAAAGTCGCGGTCGGTAAACGCGAAATCTATGGAATTCCTGCTGTAGAGCCTCTCGACCGAAACCAAAGTCTTCATCGTCGTAAGGCTCGAACATGGCCTCGTCTAGGGCCGTCACTTTCTTCTTGCGCGGAAAGACACCATCTAAAAGATTGGTAATGGTGTTAAACTGGTCTCGAAGGAGAGGCTCGATAGGTTTCGGGAAGGGCGCGGCCCCGGATATCGCAGATCTCTCAGAAGAAGGCACAATCTTGTTTTTAGAGAGCATAAAGTCGGTCATGTGTATGTTGATCTTCTCCGGGTTGACGACAAGCTTCTCCTTGGACATATAAATCTGCGGATACGTTCGCTGGATTGCATTGAGAGCAGCCTCGGTGCACATAGCACGCAAGTCAGCACCGCCGTAACCCTTCGTGTCCTTAGCCAGAGACAGCTTGAACTCGTCGGTAAGTCCCCAATCCTTGGTGTGGATATCGATGATCGACTTGCGACCGTCTACGTCGGGTAGAGGGAAGTAGAACTCTCGATCAAAGCGACCCGGTCGGCGAAGGGCGGGATCCACGCTATCCGGTCGGTTGGTAGCACCAATGACTATCACCTGGCCGCGACCGTCCATGCCATCCATCAAAGCGAGTAAGGTAGATACTATCGACGCATGAATCTGCTCCTGCTTGCTTGACCGTACGGGGGCGAGTCCATCAATCTCGTCAAAGAAGATAATGCTAGGTTGTGTTCTTCTGGCTTCTTCGAACAGGAGACGCAGCTGTTTCTCAGCCTCTCCAACCCATTTGCTAAGGGCATCAGCACCCTTGCGCATATAGAAGGTGATCTTTCTGCCTCCAATGCCAGCCGTATTTGCGAGGGCTCGAGCCAGCAAAGTCTTTCCTGTTCCCGGTGGACCGTGGAATAACACACCTCTCGGCGGCGTAACGTGGAATCTAGTAAATAACTCCGGGTATAGTAGCGGCAGTTGTACCATCTCTTTCAGCTGATCGATGTGACTCTGTAAGCCACCGACGTGGCTGAAGTCGACGTTCATGTCCACGCCGAGGGGGTCTGCATCAGCAAGAGCCTTCGGGTTCTTAATTTTACCGACATTTGGCGCGGGCGTAAGGAGACCACCTCCCTCCGCATTTGCGAGCGACGGGCCAGGGGGAGCCGCCGAGGTTGGCGTCATACCGACCATTCCAGCCATTCCTGTTCGATTATTCATCTCATCGTCGCTGCTATCAGAATCCGCACCACCCGCGGCACCAGTACCCCACGGTCCGCCGAGCAGCGAGCCGACAAGACCAACGCCGCCTAAAGCGCCAGCAGTCGTGTGGAGACTGTGGTCCCAACCGCCGCCTCCGTTTACACGTCCACGTCGACGGGCTGGTGTCGGAGCCGGGTCGTCGTCGTCTTCTTCCTGCTCAACGGTGAATGCGTTGAGCGGCGCAATTGCATAATTTACCGGCTGACCTCTACGACGTCTAGTCTCGGCTTTCTTTTCAAAGAGGATTTGTGGCGAGCGGCGTTCTCTGCGCGAACGAGAATCTTGTCGGAGATCTCTGAGTTCTTCTGCTACTTCATTTTCGTCGACCTCGTCTTCATCTCCAGACTCGCCACGACGCTGCGATCTTCTTGCAGATCTTCTTCCCTTGCCTCTCGACGATCTTCGACCACGGGCACTAGGACTAGAGTTATCATCGTCATCACCGACATCCCCAACCTTGTGGGCTTCGAGACCAGATTCGTTATCTTCTGCAGACTCGTTCCCGGGCTCAAAATCACTGCTAGGCTCTTGGAGGGACTTTCCGAACCGAGATTTCCGAGTTAGTCGGCCGCGAGTTCTCTTAACGGGACTACCGTCATCAGCAGGAGCGTCTTCGGTAGCTGCTGCAGTTTGATTAGCTCTCGCGCTGCGCGTCTTACGTGCGACAGGGACATCGTCGTCTTCTTCATCCACTTCCATAGCATCATTTGTCTCCACCGTTTTTATAGGCTCTTCTTGATCTAGAACGGTATTTTCGATCACTTCATCATCTACTTGACC